CATGCAGTCAGAAACTACATTCTGAAAGTGTTAAAAAAATGACCGGTACCAGTACTAATTTGATTACAGATCTAGCTCTCGCCTATATGCTGCACGCTGCGATATGATGGACAAAATTGATAGCTTACGTTTCACACGGAGCACTTTTTTTACACTTATTGAGTACTTGCAGCTCATAAATATCTGCTTATAGTATATCTTAAAGCAGTGGTATAGAGCGGTTTCGATGCATGCCAGGGATCAGCCACCGATTCAGCTACCGCGAGATCCGTGGTCGCTGTCGATGCGATGCGAAACCAAAGAAGCGGTTCCGCCCAGGCTTCTCCCCATGCCTTGGCCCTTTTTCCTCGGGGAGAGAGGACCCCGGCCCTTCCCCTTAGGGAGGGGGTTGCGGCCGCCGCGGTTGGGAAGGATGAGGGGGGTCTGTAACCTGAAGCCCTGGGTTAATCGGAGCTGGAGGCAGTGTGTAAAATGTATGTCTGTATGCGTGCCATGTGTGCCATGGCCTGGGTGACGACTGCGGGATCGGACTTACATACATACATGTTACATATGTCTATCCTCTCTTCACCTCTTCCTACCCCAACCTACCCTTTCCCCGCTAGCATTAATTAATATTGCAGGCGAAAACAAAAAATTATGTCGATTACATTTTTTGGCTGGTAGGATCCTGGTTTGCGTCTCGAATGTGTGACTTTGACGTAACCTCGTGGAGGTGGAGCAATTTTGCTAGTAGGGGGTGGGCGATGCCTTGAGTGGTGGGCTGGTTTAAGGCGCAGGCGCGCCCCTCTAGAAGTCTATGTACCGTAACTGCAGGCGATTCGTACAGGCTCATGGACGAGCAACTGCCTCGGTGAAAAGATAAAAGAAACGTTATTAAAGGAGGAGATTCGGAAATCTTTGGTCACTTTTTCGATCGGCAAGCAATGCCCTGCACAGTGTGGTGTTCATATGGCTTTATTATAGTCGACAAGAAGACGTGAAGACACGGGGTTATAGAAGCGCATTATAGTTTACTTCCATCGGTAAGTGCGCAAACTAGGATAATAGGAAAGCCGTTTCCACGTGTGTCACCCGGGCAGGACCATTCCCACGCCCATTCCAGCAAAGGAATACTTCAGTGCAGGAAAGCGAAAAGAAGATACGCGTCATGTTTCTCAGGAGGTTGGTATATAGAGCACGAATTCCTGCCAACCCCGCAATTCTTTTCATAACCCCCTTACATATGATACGCACCATAGCCTGCGGGATCGATAGAAAATTTATTCATTCGTCATAGTGCCACCAGAATGCGCACGCACCTCAACGCTTTGACCTTCGCCCGAACGTTGGCTAGCCGAATTTCGCGTCTCGTTCCCCCTGCATCGCCGCTTGTACCCGCCTCTCCAGGCGCAATAACCATGTTAGGAGAACCTGATGATGGTGCCCCTTCTAGCATGCCTTGACGGGCGGATTCCATAATCGGTCGAAGGACTGTCTGCTAGACCTCGAGTCTGGAATCCGTTAAAACCCTCCGGTCAAAAGAAAATACATAAATTCAACCACCATAATGGCAGCTATGAGGTGCATAGCGCCCGGCGTTCAACAAGAAATGTACTCTATTAGTACTAAGTCGCCATACAGGGTCATTTGAGTTTAAACCAGTTTACACCATATAAAGATGAAATTTCCTGCAGTTCATAACTTACTTACCTCGTTACGCTTCCTGGCGCCTCAGGGGTCAGGAGGTGTCCGTTAGCAAATCATAGGCCCCATCTGCATTTGATGTCGCTTATCGTGGCAGCTGAGGCTCCCAGCGATTCCTGTATCAATATTATGCTGAAATGCCTACCGGCTGAAACATGGCTGGCCTTGACAGCCGAGCAGTCACTCGGCCAATTTAAACACGTAATCACGGCACAAACCCGATAGTATGCACTTTATCACATCGGAACCTTTCAATCGTGAAAAACTAACCGAGGAAATTTGACGACGTCACAGCCATGGCTACACCTCTTCTTTCTTCCCTGGCTCGCCTACCATCCGGCGCCGAGCCCTTACGCGCTGTCGCAGCAGCATCTTCCTGGAACATCTCGCCATGGGAGGTTCTCGTTTTGAAAGCGACTGCTCGTGCGCAACGGGATGAAACAACAACGCTAACATCATCTACGCCAACGCAAATGCCGGTTCCCACGGCAGCTGAAAGCACTCGTTTCCTTACACGAGCCGCGCGTTTGCGCCTTCCTGGTCCACTTTCAGGTAAGAGTCTGTCAAGCCTCATCCCACCGACCAACTTTCACGCTGTCCCGAAACCTTCCGTACGCGAAACGAACCTCCGAAACCATTGCAGCCTTTACATCGCAGCAACGCCCTGAGAGGGACACCCGTGGACACCACCTGGGGCCGCGTCAACAAAGATTTTGTCGATATTGTCCTTATTCCCCTTGCTTGCGCTCCAAGGCTGTCTCCTCTCTGTAGTGAATTTTCTTCCCCCCATCATCTCCCCCCTCCCATCCTGATGTGGTCCAGCTGTAGCAGCTGGGCTTTCCACTGCCACCAACACCACAAACAAGAGCTGTAGCCGCGCGAACAGCAGCATGACGTGGGGGCCGTCCTTCCGTACCTTCGCCTCTCAGCCCGCATCAGGACCTCCTCCTCCTCCTCCTCAGCAGCAGCAGTCCCAGTCACCCCCCGCTCCAGCCCCGCAGCAGCCTTCCCGTCCCCCGAACGATGTGGTGTATTTGGGGCCGCTGTCCCAACAGCACAAGCTGCTCAAGGTGGAGGGGGTGGGGTGGGGGCGGAGGCTTGTTCAGGGGCCAGAGCTGGGGCCATACTAGGCTGGGGGCATACCGGGCCTTTGGGGCATGTGGTGGAATTGGAGGACGACACGCGTAAGGGGTCGACTGAACGTGGCTGTCAGTTGCGATCGCGGTGACGTCTCGCGATAGTCACACACATACATACATACATACATACATACATACATACATACATACATACATACATACATACATACATACATACATACATACCAGTGTTCGACACCCCGTACGGGGCCCGTAAGTTTTTGGCCTTTTTTTCGGTATCCCCGTCAGGGCCCGTAGGACTTTTCGGTGGCTCCCGTAAGGATTTTGGGCGCGAAGCACCCCGTACGGGGCCGCCCCCGGACCGGCCGAAGGCCGGTTACGGTGGCTCCCGTAAGGAATTTAAGGATTTATAAGAGGCCGTACGGGGCCCTGTAGGGGAGAGGACGGACCATATAAAGGATAAGGCCACACACTTGATTCGCTACTTCGTGTGGGGATGTTGGGACCTGCTGCTGATACCGGGGCGAAGCCACTGATTGATCAGGCTGCTGAGATCTACTCGCGTAAGGGCTATACAGGCATTATTCACAAGTTGTTTTCTGACGTTAGCAAAATTAATTTGAATCCATACGGAGAGGATGATAATGAGGAGGTTGCGACTGACCCAGAGATTGAATTACTGGTACAAGCAACATACCCCGCTATTGACGATGAGGCTTTTAGTGACAGTGACTACGAGACCGACGTAGAACGAGATACCGATGAGTCGTGCGTGGATGAGGATTTTGATGATGATGATGAGGAGGAGGAGGACGAGAAAGAGGAGCAGAAGGGATGGGCGGCCGCGGCGGCCAAGGCGCTTGGCTTTCGCTGAGTGTGCCGTGTCCCCGTGTGTAATGGTTCACGGGAAAATAACGAAAATAACGATTTACAGGGCAAAAAAATGCAAAGCGTCACTTTCCACAGCGTTTCAGCCAAGGACAGTGTCCCCGTAAAGGTTTTGCGGGGTTACGGGGGCCCCCCTAAGGTTTTCGGCCAGTACAGGAGCCTGGTACGGGGGCCCCTCCGTAAGGAAAATTTGGGAGGTACGGGGGATCCCGCAAGTTTCAGGAAGGTCAGTGTCGAACTCTGATACATACATACATACATACATATATATACGCACGCACGCACGCCTTTTCGTATAGGCAATATCCTCCCCTGCTTTGTCGTGCGCTCCTGCTCCTCCTGTCCTCTTCACCCCCCTGTCCCCCCCTCCGCCCCTGCAGCGTATCAGTATCGCCAACACGCTGGTGGCCGCCGCGGCCGCCCCAGCCATCGTTGCCTTCGCCGACAACATCTCCCTGGTCAGCCGGTACGGACTGGCGACCTCCTTGCTGCTCTTCGGAGTGGCCACCACTGGTGGGTGGGGAGGTAGTGGGAGGGGCGTGTTAGCGAGGGGGGAGGGGAGGGGGAAAGGGGAGGAAAGTGTTTGTGGGAGCTAGGCTCGGCGGGTGGAGATGGGGCTGGGGGGGGTTTCATGTTCACCTTCTATTCACCTTCAGCGATGTCCTCTCACCCAAGGTTGCATTCCTTAGCCGTGGCCTGTTCGTCACCATTACGGCGAACCATGTGTAATATATACATGTATATATATGTATGTATGTATATATATACATAACAACTGCCTTACATACATAGCAACCTGCTCTCCAGGTGCGCTTCATTGGGTCGCCAACCCGTACGTCCACGAACTGCGATATACGGCAGCCACCGGCCAAATTGACGTACGCACCACGACGCTACTGGGGAACTCCAGGTGGGGTGGGGTGGGGTGTACGGCAGCAGGAAACCCGCCATGACTGGTGGTGAGCCAGAGCCGTAAGTGAATAATTTGAAGCGGGGCAGAGGAGGTGGGAGTTGGGGGAGTGGTACCTCTCATGGGGGTGAGGTTGGGGGGGGGTGAAGTGGTGGAAACGTTGAGACCGGGGAAGGGCCCGGGGGGAAATCACTTCAGATGCAAGAAAGGCGCAGCAAAGGAAGGATTAGATGTTGGGATGGTGAAGGAGGAGGGGGCATGTGGAGAGGGGCATGTGGGGAAGGTGGCGAGTTTGACGGGTCGAGCAGCTCCTCCGTGTTGCCGCTGGGGGCCCCGTTGGTGGGTCGTTAAGCACCTGGAGCTGCTGGAGGTGGAGGGGGGAACTGGGGAAGGGAGGGTTGTAGGTGTTTTAATCATACATACATGCATACATACATTCATGGCAGGTGGCTGGCAGAGGTTAAGGCCTGACTTCTGCTCCTCGAGGAGGTTCCGGGTTCAAATCCGCCTGCCGACCCCTCGGTGTGTGCGGGGTGTGGAATTGGGAGGTGGCCCCCCATCTTGTGGACGGTGTAGGACGTGATTATATCAACTTGCGAGCTGACCAGGAACTAAGTTGTGACGCCGTTGATCCGCTCGATTTGTGGTTGGATGCTGGTGGTGAGTTGCTGAACCCAACGAATACATTCTGAAATCGAATGGGGTGAATGGATTAGGGTGCCCCTCTCGCAGGGGAGAGCAGGGAACTGCCTCCAAGGGAAAGGGGGCCGCGGGTGAAGCTATACCACCCTGTAACATCATACGCACGTCCTATTCCCCTGCCAGGTGGCGCTCATTCCAGCTGGAGGATGTGAGACCGCTGCCCTGGAACCGCCCCGTGGCCACATTCACGGTGGGGAGGGGGAAATGAGGGGGGAAATGAAGGGGGGAATGGGAAGGAAGGAGAGCTAGGGGGTCATGTATGCAAGTACGAAGAAGAAAGGAGCGACTAACTGTGCCGTACAAGTCTGATGCACCAACAAGGGGCGTGTGAAGGGGTTCGATAATGAGTCTCAATAAGGGACTTCGGTATCCGATTCACATCTACCATATGGCACATGAGTGTCACACGCGCTCCAACGAGTGGTGTGTGAGGGTGGGGGGTATAGTCGATGTGGGTTGGTCGGATGGCGGCAGTCGCATCATCGGGATGGCGCCAGACCCGAAAAGGGGGAGTAGGGGTAAGAGGCGGGGTAAGAGAGGGGGTTTAGGGGCCGAGACGGGGGCAGGGCAGGGTGAGGCCGCTGATGCTGTTTATGGGGTCCCCCATGGCACTGGGGAATGCCCCTCAAGTGCCCCTCAATAGTCTTACTCAGAATGATGGTGGGTCCAATTAAATAATAATAATAATAATATATTGCCATATTCATGATGTTAATGACAATGATAATGGGTTCCCTGAACACTCAAAACTATGGGGTTCTATTTTTTCCGGTCCTGTTTAGGCTCGCAACCGCTTTTACTACATCGACGTGTATTCTTTTCCGGAAGAGCAACTGCTGAGACGGCTGACGCCAGATGAGGCGGACGTGCCCAAGGTGAGGTGCATGTATGTATGATGTGTGAAACAGGGGGGTGTATCTTCGCCCGTGGTAGCTACCCTGCGAAACCCTGCCTTCCCCGGTATTTCGGGGCACCCTCATCCAGTCACCCAAGTAAACTTCTCAGTAGATCGCTCAGGGGGGGTTCCGCACCCACCACCAGCATCCAACGGAATCTGCCGGGTCGACAGCGGCCCAACTCCATTCCTGGTCGGCTCGCGGGTTAACTTTATCCCAGGTCACCACCGTCCATCAACTAGGGCCGCAATGCCTTCCACCATCGGAAGGACTTTTGAACCTAATGGGTATCGATCCCGGGATCTCCCGGGGGCAATGGTCGCGCCTTACCAGTAGTGCCAAAACATGTATGTATGTATGTATTTATGCGCTGGATGTCTTCATTGCGTTGCGGTTCTTGTTGTTGATGTTTTGTTGGTTGTTTAGGGGGTTTAAATTGGAATGACCCGTGCGGTGACTAACATAGCTCAAATGGTGGGTAGAATTAGGTGTGGCACATCAGCATGCACACATACATACATGCATACATACATACGCATGTAAGTATTTGCATAAGCTGCCAAGGATTATAATCCCTGTGTGTGCATATCTACCCCCACACCACATACCGGGATGGTGAACTCAACACCCTGAGTCGCTTTTCCCTTCATCGGCTTTACGCGTCCCGATCGTTCACGTATGTATTTCCCACCCCTTTCTATTTCCCACCCTTCTATTTCCCACCCTTCTATTTTCCAACCCCCCACACCCCTTCTTTCTCTCTCAAACCCGCTCCCAGGGGTACAAGGACAAGGAAGACGATGACGACGACTGAACAGCTCGAGGGGGGGCGAGAGATGCGGGCAGGGAGGGAGCAGAGGATGAATGAACGGAGGGATGGTAGATTGGGGGAGTGCCGGAAGCCGTTGGTATCTAGAGGAGTCAAGTGAAGGGAGTAATTTGGGGTAGGGAAGAGGAAGATAGAGGCGGCAGGTGGACAAGGCGGCATCAGCACACAGCAACAGCAGCAGCAGCAGGCTCCGCACACGTTGTATAAATCCTGAAGGATGTACGGGATGTATGTACGGATTAAGGAGAGGAGACATTTTTGGAGGATTGCTCTTAATGTATATGTGCGCACAGACATAAACCGGACAGGTGCCCGATGCATTCGCATCAGACAGGACACGACGAGTTCCCTAAGTTCGAATGCAGGAGGGCGAGTCGGGCATACATACATGCATACATGCACGGTCTGGAATCGGGCTCGAGTAGGGGCTTGGAGAGGCAGGCAGGCGAGGAGAGAGGAACTCTCCCTGCCTGTGTGCGACAGTGCATTATTATTTTTATTGTTATTTTGAAGAGAAAGAAAGGAAGAAAGGTCGTGACCGCATGAGAGCTGAGGTCTACTAGACGTAAACATTAAGATAGGAGTTAGTTCGTCCCCTTCAGGGGAACCAAAGGGGAAGAAGAAGAAGGAATCCAGCACCGAAAAGCATGTTGCGCCGCATGTGGGAGAACGGCGACCTGCCGGTCAGCGGTACAGCGAATAAACGCCCCCATTTGTAGATGCCAATATTGATACCATCGTATCGACATACCCACCGAAGCCAGTGCCGGACATGTCCTCTGTCGCATACCGCGCTCCTCCCAAGCTCAACCCCACTCCCACAAGCCCGCCGTCCGAGCCGACGACTGGGAAGCCTGCGTCTGGGCTGCATGGTCACGCACCCCCCTGTTTCGTGCATGGTCATGACGGCTTCCCTTGTCAGTGTAATGAATCCAGCAAACTGTGCTCTGCTTCTCCTTCGTCCTGGAAAAAATTGACCTGAAACCGGTGCGACCTATCCGCTACAAATGGGCGCTGAGCTGAGAACTGTAGAACTGCCTGGGGTTGAGGAAAGTGGCAGATCCAGTATCCCAGCCTGACAATCCAGCTAGTCCAGTGCCTGGTCATGCATTACCCAACATCCCAGGTATGTACTTGTAGAGGTAGTAGGAGGAGTCACACCACTGCACTTGTCACCGTTTATCATAAACACCTACTCATACTCAACCAAAACATACTAGGTCAATTTAGTGACCAGGTCTGGTGCCAACCGCCAACCGCACTCAACAGTTCCAAGGCACCTCCCCCACCACCTGATACCTGTGATATATGCGCCGTTACGTATTAACTAACGGAACGCCGATATACCTGGGCCTGGTTCACACCACCGATTATTAGGGGACCATCTATCCATGCAAGCATACTCAGAGAGAGAGGGAGAGAGAGAAGTTGTACAGATTTTACTCTACAACATGCCCATGTTGCAGCTGTCATACAATACGGCAAACACGACGTCAATAAATACGCGCTAAATAAGGAACGCTCTCCTGCCGGTAGATCCGGGGGGATAGGGGCCTTTTCGGCGGCCGGACAGCTACGGCTAGAAGATTCAGCCCACACTTTTTTTTCACAAAGTGGAGGATCGACCCCCCGACAACGACACACAGCGCGTGCGCGGAGCCGACCCACGGGCCTAGTCGACACTTGTGCCCTCCGACCTAATAAGGACGGCAGAGCACCTCGCGGCACTTAATGCAACCCGCACCGATACCAGTCGGTATCCCCACTGGTCACGGTCCAGCCGGTCCAGCAAGGAAAGCTCCAACCTCCAACCAACGACAATGCCGGGCCGCCGCCGCCCTCGCACTGGCGAAAACGGTCATCCATGCAAAACCCGAACCGCCTTCGGTCGTGGGCCTCAGCTTTCTCCGTCGACTGCCACTGTCACGCTGATTAATGTCTTCGCTGGCTACTCTTGTTGCTGGTCAACGCCGTTGGGCGGCTCGCTGCCTGCCCCTATCCTGAATTGGTCAATGAAGTTCACCACCAAGGAGCCATCCGCTGCCAGGTAGCCCAGATCCAATAACAAGCGCAACCGCTCTGGCTCGCTGCCGCCCAAACCGCTGTCCCAAAACTCCTGAAGCACCTGCAGTCGCCACACACACACACACACACACACACACACAAGTACAAACGTAGCACTCAAGATGAGCGCTACAGACGAACGTGCAAGCACAGAGCAGTGAACCTGCCTAAGACGCCATAAAAATACGTAATCCAGCATTGAAGTCATGATTATATCATCCATAAGACAGGATTGAATTGGCCATGGGGGGAAACGGTTGAAATGGATCAATGCCCGTGTTCCAGGAGAGGCCAGTAGTGGACACAGGCAGTACAGGACTGCGAGGTAGATGGAGCTCGGCGGAGCCAGCTGACCGGGCTGCAGTGCCGCAGCAACCCCCTGGTGCGTAAGCATCGCCATGAAGGTCGTCAGTTAGGTGCAGTCTTCGCTGTGTTGCTGCTGCTGCTGCTGCTGCTGCTGCTCCAACTCTTTTCGTCCTTAACGTAAGCCCGGGGTTTCCTCTAGGAACCAACCAACCATGCAAGCAACCAAGCAGCCAAGCAACCAACTAGGCAAGCGGGGGCGGTAAGGAAGCGGCGAATATTAGGAAAGACTCCATGGTCACCGCCGTTATCTTTACATGTCACAACAACCCCTTCGACCTCAAGGGTCAATGAAAGAATCAATTAAGATTTTGAGCCTGTTAGCTATTTCTGATGCAACAACTCACCAACCATCCACACAGGACACCGACCCCACTGTTCGACGTACCCTGAACGACTCCTGCCACAGCCACGAGGCTGTGCCCCAGTAGTGGAGCGGCTTCGCAGGCAAGGCGCACATCTCCACAGAAGCCGCTGCGGTGGAGCCCACACCGCCGCCGCTGACATTGAGCGCCAGCCGCGCCACCATCGCAACCATCATGGCGCATTCCAGAGATCTGCACTCCACCAACACTGTCGCCAAGGACGGCACGAAGAGGTAGTATGCCGAGCCGGCAAACTGCTGCATCCAGGCCGTAAAAGCGTCCTTCGACCAGGCAAGCATGCGGAAAAAGGGGCTCCGTAACGTCACGAGGTGGAAAACATCGCTGCCGGCGGTGCTGTTGCTGGTGCTGGGGACGGTAATGGCGTCACTTCCTGGTCCCGCCGGAGAGGTCAGTTCTGGAGCTACTGATGCCGCTACTGCTGCTACTGCTGCTGCTGCTGCTGCTGGTACAGATAATGCTGCTGTTGCTGCTGCTGATGGTAATGCTACTGCTGCTGCTGCCAGGCGCTGCATCACTCGCTCCGAGAGAAAGGCTTCTTGTTCCGCGTGCTGTGACAGGTCCCCTTGAAGACGAAGCCTGGGCAATGCACTTGCCACTGCGGCGGTGTCCGTGCGGAACACGCCTGCCACTGCGGCGGCTGCCGGGTGGGGGACTGGACCCAGAAGCTGGCAGCAGGAGATCCCATCCACGAAGAAGACCTTCTGTGGCAACCCGAGTACCTCAATAACATTGAGGAAGAGCTGATAATCCACCTTTTCCTCTTCCAGGTAGAGCGCCTCCACCTCCAGACGCCGGCACCTACCTGCCAGCTCACGGAGCTGCTGTAACTGCTGTTCACTAAGGGAGTTGTTGCGCACTTGGACACCCCTAAGACGCATGAGCGGCAGAACCGGGGACAGCCTGTAGCACGGCAGCAGGATAGCGCACACAAACGTGGCAAAGCGGTCCAGAAGCAATGGTACGGGAAGCTCGACCGAGGTGATGCGGCGCGCCTCAAAGGTGAGTTCGACCGTGTGGTCCGTGGCTATCGGGTCGTCTGGGTCATCGAGCATGTCCAGGGCGATTTGGAGGTGCTCCAATCCTGCCGGGAGATTGTGGAGCAGCTCAACGATGCCAGCAACACCAAATAAGCCGCCTCTATAAAAGCGGACTTTCAGCTGTCTCAGCTCCCGCAGCTGTGCCACCGCAGGGATGAGCCAATCCGTCTCCAGGAGGGCCTCATGGTCGGGCCTACTGCACACGTCGCAGAACTCGACATCCTTAAGACGGTCTGCAAGCGGTCCGATATGCTGCAAGAGAAAAAGCGTCGGTAGCGACAGGCTTTCCAAACGCGAAAGAGGAGCCAGAGCATTGTAGAGAAGCAGCTGTTGTGCCGCCTCGGATGAAAGGATTGTCCCGAAATAGATGTATCGAAGGTTGGGTAACCGGCAGAATAACCACCCCAAGCCCGCCGTCGGCAACGGCCGTTCGTTTGCAGCGTACAAGCGTAGCGCCTCGATTTGCTGCAGCGACTCCAACGGCTGACTTACAAATGGAAGCGTAAACAGCGTTACAGCTTCCACGCCACCTTTGTCGTATTTATCGGGACGTACCGAAAGCGTGAGCTCGCGAAGTCGGTGCCATCTCCAGAGAGGGGAACGGCATCCTCGTCCGACAAGACCCTTATGCATTGGTGCTACAATGATCGTGACGTTGAGAAGGCTGCCATCCACAACGTCACGCAGCGCTTTGGAGACCAGACGTGCAACTTTGAATGTTTGGCTGCCCAACGCCTCAGTGAAAGCATCTTTGCCACCTAAACATACTTTCTGAAGAACGCGCAAAAGAGCTTCAGAGGCATCCGACTGGTCGAGCCCAGCCATTTGTTGAAACGGTGCACACCGAGAGCCTTCCACTCTACCTCATCGATGATTTTGAAAACATAACCTTTACGGCAGAGCTACAATTGACTATTCGGGTTCATAGCATAGCAGTAGCTGCGGAGTGGCACGGATCTGGATCCTGCAATAACGATGCGATATCCTGACCAGACAATTAATTCCTCAATAGTCTTTGCTGGTAATTATTAAAGGTGCAATGTCATCACAATAGCCGCTAGCTGCACTCAAATGAAAGTACGATGCGTGCAATGCTTGCGCAAATCAACCGCTGTGTACAAATCGCAGCTTAGTGAAAGTTTAATAAGTTCAATTGGTCGTACACAAAAGACCTGAACGGCTGGCACAAGTACCTAGTCCTGTAGGGTACCACAATGGGAAGGCCATGGTAGGAGGTCTAGGTGGCGAACACAAATCAAACATGACGAGTTTTGTGCCGAAAATGCGCACGAAGACTTGCCTGCGTGACAACACATCCAATTCCAACAAAAGCGCGCCCGCCCCTGTGCTGTGTTTCGGCCCGGTCAGGGCCGCCAGAGCTCGTCCTTTCTCGGGACGAGCCGCCCACAGTTTAACACCACATCAATCAAAAAGCAACATCTTTGATAGACCCGCCTTTACACCGAGTTACATTATTTTTTAAGGTTACAAGCAAACTGTGAACCTGTGTACTTATACAATATTCTCATCCCATCCTGTCCACATCCGACGCGCCTATCACGCCTATCACGACGGCAGTGTGCTTCGCAGCCACCTCTTCGCTCCACACCGTCAACTTATCTTCTTCAACTTCTGTAGTATTATCTACTCATGGGACGTCGTCGCCCCTGCACCTCCACGGCCGCATAAAGCCTTGTCACTGCCGCTAAACGCTCCCTAAGCCTCCCTCCTGCAAATCCGTAATGAGTCAATCCATCCAATCGGGCCCCCCTATACACGACCTGACGGCAGTCTCGAGTAACTTTAGTAAAATCCTACGTCAGTAAAAAAACCTCCTCTCCGGACAAAACTTCATCTGGCCGTGCCTAAATCTGCGTCGGATGCTCGTAACCTCGCCAGCAGAACAACACTACCACACGTATCATCGCCCAGTGCCTGCCGCCTCCTTGCCAGAGGCCGCTCGCGAGTGCTGGGGCTGGCCTGTCGCTTGCCCCTTACGGAGCTTCTTACGCAACCTCCCGGGGAGCGACTTGAACCTGCGCTTCGCCGCAGCCCTCTGACCTTCCAACGGCTCCACGTCATCGCCATCATCATCATCATCATCGCCATCTCCGCGACTGTTATGGCCAGGACGACCCCCCTCAGTGCTCCTATCGCCTGAAATGGTGCCATCGGCTGCTTCCGACTTCGCTTTCGCCTTCCCCATCCCCTTCACACCGCCGCTACTCGCAATGGCGTTCCGGAAAGGGACCGGAGGTGACGGCTGTAAATCCACATCCCAGTCTGAATCTGGATCCGATTCAGGCCCACCGCCGCTTTCACTGTCAGACAGGAAGTCCGAATGCCGTACCGGTATGATGGGCTTATTGCGCGAGGGCAATCCCCAAGCTGAAGCCGCCGTCCCATTTCCCCGCTGGCCGGCCGCTGCTTTACTGACCCCTTTCCCTGAGACTGCTGCTGCAGCGGTGGCTGGTGCCGTTGCTGCTGGAGCCGTTGACCTCTTGGCAAGCCCTGGCACCGCCGCGGCCGCCGACAGCGGCGCGGCCTTGCCTCGTTGCCCCGCTGCAGCTTGTTGCTGGCCTTGCTTCTGCTGGTGCTGATCTAGGTAATACCCCAACCCCAGCGGACCTTTCTTAAACACGTAGCCAGCCATAGCACCCTTAAACGCGGCAGCAGATACAAACGCAGCGGCCCGTTGCAACCCCCCGTCGCCGCCGGGTTTCTGTTCCTCCCTACGTTGCACCGCCTGACGCTGTTGCTCCTTGGACATGGGCACCAGCTGGACATCCCCAGCAGCCTTCTTCTTCTTCGCCCGCCCTACAGCCTCCACCTCCGCTCCATTCGTAATCACCCTAGCTCCCCCAACTCCCTGCTCCTCTCCTCCTCGCTGCTGCTTCTTGCTCGGTCGCGTATCATCCCCATCCCCGTCCCCGTCCTCGTCATCGACATCGACATGTCCATGACCTTCCTCCCCGGCGCTGCTCGCCTGCTGCAGCTTCTGTTGCTGCTTCCTACTCAGTTTCTTCTTCACCAGCGCAGCAATCGCTCGGGCATCCTGCGGGCCCAGACCCTCCATCAAGTCGTCTGCCGCAAGCAAGACCTCCTCCGCCAAGGTAAGTCCGCTGTCAGCGGCGGCGGCGCCGTCACCCTCGTCATCGTCCTCCTCACCCGACTCGTCCTCGGCCGCCGCCCCGTCAGCCGGGACGGCGGTGCCATCGGCGCTGCGCGCCGCTGCCGCCGCCGCTGCTGCAGCGCCCTTGCGGCCGAGCTTCTCCTCCGCCACCTTCCACGCCGCGGCCAGCGCCGCCAGATTGGGGTCCACCGCCTGGCCGTGTGTCTGGAGAAGCTCCAGGAGGGGCGGAGCCAGGGGCGCCTGTAAACACCGGCAACGACACGGAATTTTAGAAGGCATACTCGCCGTCGCTATCATCATGACCTCATGATATCGCTAATATGGAAAGGTGCGTTAAGGAAAAAAAGCTCGGAGACAGAAGGGGGGCAAGGCAGGTTAATTGTCACAAAGTTGAGGAAGTACCCAAGAACAGAAGAACGAGAACTTTTAGGCAAGACTTGAGAGAAGAGTAACAAGCCTTCAGGCGCCCTACATCAGAGGCTTTCTGTATCGAGCAGGACCCTGCACTGCCAAGCTGAGCAATGGCCTTCCACGGGCCTTTGACTGAATCCCATGCGTGATGAGAACTATGCAATGGCCAAGCCCGCAGTCTGTCGACAATCTCACTCCTCTCCCTACCCCATCTCCCTCACCAAGTTGCGCGTGAAGAAGCTGTACGCATGGCCGTACGCCGCAAGCCGACCTGTACGGCCGACCCGGTGCACGTACGTCTCCAATCGCGACGGGAAATCGTAATTCACGACGTACGGCAGAGCCCGGATGTCCAGGCCGCGCGCCGCCACGTCAGTGGCCACCAACACCTGGAAGTACAGCAAATGTACGGTCATACCGATCAGTGTCCGGTCGTATGCATGCATGCGCATGCACACGCACGCATCAATAACTTTTGAATCGGTTTTCCGGGGGGGAGGGGGGTCGCCCGCCACCACACACCTGTATTGGGTCACAACCTATGAGAAGACATCAAGGTCAACGTGGTCCATATGCCAATGCCACCATTGTGGGCAGAGTCCCTTAACCCTAACAAACCAGGGTAAATCCCAGGTAAATACCCAGCACCAACCCCCGCACTGCCCTCTCCCCCCCCCTGGCAGACCCATTCCCCACACAGCCGTGATGCCACCACGCACCTGCGCCTTGCCGCTGCGAAAGTCAGATACCGCCTGGTTGCGCTCCGCCTACAGCCAAACAATCAAACAGAGCTAAGGTATCTATCTCTTCAGGTCACTTGTTGTTGTGGCGCCGGCAGGCACATCATAAAAGCGCTGCAGAGAGGCCCGAATCGGACAACGACGGAGTGGAGTCAGCAGTCCAGGGGCTCGGATCAAGAAATTCAACCTTCGAGTACACGTCATCACAGCTGTTTGTCATCAGCAGCGCGGATAAACTCGTATCGACTCGTCATAGCCCCGACAGGTACCGCATTGTCGTGCATTTGCGTGAAACCAACCGACTGAGAATCCAGCTGACCGCCGCGCCGCAGTTGGTGGTACAGCTGGTGGACCCGTAATGTGCACCACCACCGACTAACGGCCGCAGCAACGTGCAACATTATCCGACCAGCAATCCTGATGCATGCATGCATGCATGTATGTATGATGTATGCAAACATCAGCATGTAGCCATGCAGGCAAATGTGTGCCTTTCTCCGCGCCTCTCCCCCTCCACCCTATGCCTGTTCCCCCCGCCCTCTCTTTCAACCTCCCCCCCCCCCGCTTTCCCCCCCCGCCCTACCTGCGACCTCTGGCCATGCAGCTGCGCCACCTTGTACCCCTCCTTGGCCAGTGTGGCGGCCAGGAAGCGCACCGTCTTAACTCGGTTGGCGAACACCAGCAGGCGCGGCGGGTTGCGACTGCCGGCCGGCACCGAGTCGCGGATGCGGGCCAGGTGCTTGAGCAGCTTATCCGGCTTCTTATGCTCCGCGCATACGTGGACAACCTTGGCATGCGGGCGCGTGGGAGTGTTTTGTGTGTGGTTGGAGGGCGGCGTGGGGAAGAGGAAGAGGAAGGTCAAGCGTGTGGAGAAGTTTGAGTACACGTACAGTATATCAGCAATTACAGTTGACTCGCTGGTGAGCATATATGTCCAAGGTATAGGTAGCAAACGACTCGTAGGGGTGGCATGGCTAGACGATGACAAGTATGCAGCAGCAAATAAACGGTAGCAGGGGGGGATGTACGGACAGAGAGGGACTCAGATCAAGAAATTCAACCTTCGAGTACACGTCATCACGGCTGTTTGTCATCAGCAGCGCGGATAAACTCGGATCGACTCGTCATAGCCCCCTTTTTTACTTTCCTTCCCCATCGTTCAGTGCGTGCCGTACCGTCATGGTCGTGCCGCGAGGCGCAACCGGGCTTTCCTTGCCACTCCGAAATACCAACGACGCGACACCCCCTTCCCCGCCCACCCACCCATAGGGCCCCACCTGCGTGACTGTACGACTGATGGCATTAGCGCCACAGGCGCTCACTTGAACAATCTCTGGCAGCCGCAACCACTGCGCCGCAGCCGCCGCCACATCCGTCGGCATGGTGGCGCTAAACAACAGCACCTGTGGCCGCTGCCCACCATTGCCGTGCGTTGCCGCTGCCGCCGCCGCTTTACTATCCAGCGTAGTAGTAGCAGCAGCTGTTGTTGCTGCTGGCGGCGGCGGCACCTCCTTGCCTGCCGTCACCTTGGCCTTGGCGGACTTCTTCTTAGCAGCTGCAACAAGATTGGCCGCGCCATCGTCAGCGGACTTGTCGTACGGCTGCAGCAACATGCCGTACAGACGGTCCAACTGCGGTTTGAAGCCGAGCGACAGCATCTTGTCGGCCTCATCCAGCACCAGATACTGCACACTGCCCTGTGAGGTTTAGCGTTTTGGAGGTTTAGCAGAAAGTACTTAATTCACATTACTTGATTCACCGTAAATTTCCAAAACAGGATTAAAAATGGCCAGCAATTGATATCACGTTCCGCAAAAAAAACAGGAACAGCACTACAATTATGACTCCAAATATGCAAAGAGGAGATTACAAACAGGTTAAAAACGAGAACAACGAGCAACCACCCGTTCAACCGACACTACCCTCACCCTCGCGCCCACAGCCGCCTGGTGTGGGTATATCATTATACGTTTCCTGTTTCTGCCCCCCTTCCCCCACATACACAGCACCTTCACCCTGAGGAGGTCCACCCCTTCAACCTCACCCTCAACCTCACACACACCTGCAGTTTCAGCTCTCCTCCATCCACCAGGTCCAGCACCCGGCCTGGAGTGGCCACCAGCACGTGCGGCTGCTTCGAGGTGAGGAGTGCAGCCTGCAGGATTGAAGAGGGGTGATGGGGGAAGGAGGGCATTTGATGGATGGAAGGGGATGACGGGCTGTCGCTTCCCGAGATTCGGTGCAGGGAAACGCCGGGGGGTGGTGATGCAAAAGTTTGCTACATGCTTCAGGTACACAGGTAAAACTATAAACGTGTTGCGAGACGCAAATAGATGTCAAAAATTAAAAAACTAAATTAAATTTTTTTGTGCGGCAGTACAGCATTACTGATTCGGGCACCATATCCGCGAGCCATTATTTAGGCTGTTGGTCCAGAAAGGCATTTTGGCTACATGCTGGTCAAAATGCTCTTGGCTCGACTTGACCTGACTTGATAATCCCACTGCGGATAATAACCCTTTTCAAGGTCCCAGTTGAGAAGTTGCATCCATCTGCTGCGGGAAGCCCTCCTCTCCCCCTTCGCCTTCCCCTCCCCTTGTACACACATACACACATGTGCACACGTACCTGTTCTTCTCGGGATGCACCTCCAAACACGCACACTGTACGGAGCCCCGTCACTGCGCGCATGGCCCGACACTGCACAGCCACCTGGAAGGGCACTTAGGAGGGGGGGAGGGGCGAGAGGAGGGATGGATGGATGGGTGGCTGACAGACCCATATGGGAGAGCTAGGCACGGCGAATCCAGAACGCCTCATCGACAGCGATGATGGTAAGAGGAGTATAAGACAAGCAAGTACGATGCGCGCAGGGAAGGCATCATACATCAAAGAGGCCTCTTTCCAATCCATGCGATGGGCGTACGGGCATTTCACTGTTCACACATGACATGGTTGGGTATTTACAGGTACGGGTGGGGTCACGCACCCCCCAACCATGTGTAACACACGCACACATACTGACGTTACGCATAAATTATGACCAACCCGTGCCAATAACGGTGCCATCAACATGCAGACGCGACCATAATTCAAAACCGCAACAGAACCATTGCTTCGGAAGTAATTTCGATAACCATCAAGCAGTCTCATACTCGAGAACTTTGGGGGCTTAGCACTTGGCCAATATCAACGGGTGTGAAGCGGTTCAACCAGTGTGGCTCAGTTCAAGAAATTCAACCGTTTAATTGTTCTTCGTCTTCACTTGCTGGATCAGCAGCGCGGATAAACAACTGCGTCGTCACTGCCACACGGTGTCGCACATAGTGTGCCCGCACTAGCCACACAACGGTAAGTTATTAAATTTTACGGTATGCTGGAATATGCTGGAAATTCTTTACACGGTAGACAATGTAGTCCTCTTTATGCATTTGACCGAATACACGACGATGCCGCGAGAGATAGATGGGAGGGCGAGAGCCAGACGCGGAGTCCGACACCCATATCCGACACCGGTATCCACATCTAAACCACGCCTTCATGCACCAGCCCGGTGCCTTGCGCTCTGCTCCCACAGTCCCATACCACAATCCACTTCATAGAAAAACCCAACCCGTACAAGCTCCCCTCCCTCCGACCCCGTGCCCCCCCCACTGGTCAAACCCCCCCACACCCCAGACTTTAGATAGCCTTTCCCCCTGGAGGCATCCATCCGATCTTGCGATAGTTTTCCCCAAACCCCCAAAAAAGAATCCTTTTCTTTTTCCTCCTCCCATGCCTTCTCTACCTCCCCCGTTAACCTCCCTGCGCCCTTTCCGCACCTGCTGTGCCAATTCCCGTGTGGGCAGCAGCACCAACATGACCGGACCTTCAGGATGGGTGCTCGCGGTGTGGCCGCCAGCCTGTCAGCACGGCGGGTCCCGGAGGGTGTTTGCAGGGGGGCGATGATGATGACGACGACGACGAGGGATTCCGGCGTCATTTGGACGGGGGTTGGAAATGTGTTGATAGGTTTGAATGGAGAACGACCTTAAATATGAAATTTATTAGTTTACTAAAATTACACATAAACAATACCGGAGTGGGGTAGGCGACTGCTTATTGTTTTTACGTACATACATGCATACATGCAACACTTGACACGTGGTGGTGGGGGGGGGCCCGAGACAGCGGTGTGTGCACGTTTGTGTAATGGATGCTGGTCATGAAGAAAGATGTATATAAAGCGGAACTGAGAGGTGGAAAAAACGGGTGCACTTGCAAAACCTCGAAAATCCAGGGGCTCGGATCAAGAAATTCAACCTTCGAGTACACGTCATCACGGCTGTTTGTCATCAGCAGCGCGGATAAACTCGTATCGACTCGTCATAGCCCCCTTTTTACTTTCCTTCCCCTCACTATCGCTCATTCCACGACGACATAGATGAGATACGGCCACACTGAGATGCAGCCGCACACGACGGTAATGTTGCAGGACAGGTTACGATCCTTGCACGTGAATCCACAGTCCTGCAGCAACAAATGCGTTCACGACCTTGCTTTGTCTGTTTGTGGCTCCTCGCTCCACTCCGCGAAGCTGCCTCCTTACTACACGCCTTTGGCACTCCTAACAAACTGCTCTTGTACGGCACAAGTGAGCTGATCTTGCCGTACAAACGAGACATGATGAAGTACACAGCTGAAATATCCAGCTGATAATCCAGCTGCACCGCGTCTCAAAGCGCCGTGTCTTCAATAGCCACTTTCTCAACCAGATAAGGGGGGTAGGTAAGGCGAGCCATAGATGATTGAAGCTGCTACTACCTGAGATGCTCCCTTGTTAGGGTGGTTGCCATCCCTTTAAAAGCACCTCCACCATGCACCATGTCCTACCTGCAGTTTGACCAGGCCTGGTAGCAAGTAGGCCAGTGTCTTGCCGCTGCCGGGCTCCGCAACACCCTGCGAGAAGAGGAAATAAATGAAAATGCCATTAAATGAAAATGCCATTAAATGAAAGTGTCATAAAACCACCAACAAGGTGGTCAAGAGGAAATGGGACGGCACTGCGATGAGGAACAAGGACAAAAGAAAGCCAGTCGTCCAAGGCTCTCGGGATGTGAGATTCGAGACAACGCTCAGGAGGGTTGCGATGCGGCTGGGGGGATTGAAGGCCAAGATGATATAACATGCCGTACAAATGGCGTGTCGTACCTGTACGTCATGGCCCTCAAGCGCCGGAGGCCAGCACCGCTCCTGAACCGGTGTGGGTTCCACGTGGTGCATCGTCAGCATGCAGGCTTGCAGCAGCGGCGGGTAGCGCTCCAGGGCGTCAGCCTTGGCACCTGTGGGCAGTTTCTTCAGGGCCGCCTGCCGGGCGTTGTGCGCAAGAGCCGTCGGATCCAACAGCTGTACGGAGGTCGACAGCTTCGCGCCCTGCGGCGTAGCGCTTTGGCCGTCGTTGTTGTACTGGCCATTGCCTTCATCATCGCGTTTGCGCTTGCCCTTGTTGTTCTTTTTTGTCTTAGCTTTGGTGTTGTTGAAGGCGGCGGCGGCGGCGGCGCTGGTGCTGGCGTTGTGATTGGAGTTGGCGCGGGCAACCGCTTCCTCTACGTCACTGTCCGGGGCGGCCTGTGGAATTGGAGATGGAAGAAACATTGTAAAAAAGAGGTTCTTCCGATGGTGGGGCGGAGAGAATGTGGCGGGCCAGCGCCTCGCCTTAGGAAGAAGTTCCGCGAGCGTTGGGTTCCAGCGATTTAAGGCAGAGTTTCTGATATCCCAGAAGCTTGATAAGCCTTCTTTCGGGAGATGTGGTGAACCCAAAAGTATGGACGTACAGCGTCATCATTTTCGTGGTCGGACCATCGCTTGTCGTCCTCGGTGAGTTCCGGAGGCTTGTAGCACACCCCTTGGCACAGCCGCCGGATCTACACAAGACACGCGATGGAACAGGCTCAAAACAATGTATGGAGGATTAGGAGTGATTGTACACAATGCAGATGAAGAAATGTTAGGACATCCAGACCTTCTTGCGCCGCCGCTCCCGCTGTGCTACGCCATCTTTACCGACGGCCTGTCTTTCCTTCTTTTTTCGCTTCTTAGCTGATTTTCGTGCGATATAATCCACACCCATTTACAGATAACGGATGCCGTGATTTAAGGGAAGCAAGGAAATCTGGACAATTATGTCGCTGGATGTTCCAGCCAGTATGCCATGAAGAAACTAAAGACAGAAGAAGACATTTTAGAACTCTTTCTTGAGTACTATAATTGCGCCTAGATGGACGTCAACGCAGTACAAGTGTACTGCAGCTCACGTCTGTTCATCCATCCGAATTGTTAAACCAGTAACTAGTATACAAGTAAGTAGATATACGACCTACCTGAAAGCATAAGATTGTTTCTAATCCTTATTGCTAGCGCTACTCTCGTCGAGATGGCGCCCGTGACAGTCCACGTTGTTTTCTGTGGTGGCTGAGGCTACTTCCCGCGGTATCGCAGGTGGGTTATAAGCGCCGCTTTGCCGCTGTGGCAGAGTGCAGCCGCGCACCTTGTGCCCCTCCTAACTTGAGCAACGTTGCTATGCCTGCAGCCTTGAGAATGCGTGCCGCATGAAGTTCCCCAATGCCGACATGAAGTTCTCATATGAAGCCACTGAGAGCGTCACTGGTGCGTGGTTGGGGCATTCTTCACCTAAAGCTTTTCTATCGTATGAAGGTCTTTTTCGTCCATGCTGTTAGGCCTATCTCCCGTTTTTTTCCCATGGTGGACTTCTTGTGTCCTGTCGTCATGCCACGCAATATTGGAGGTTTCACTGTAATCTTTCGCTGTCGAGGTCTGTTGCAACCTTCGAAGGTCGAGGCAGGTTGAGGAGTGGTAAAAAAATATATACGGTTGAGCGCTCAAAATGTTTGCCATGGGGAAACAGCGGATAAAAGGGAACAAATAGTACGTCGATTAGTCGCCGGTTTCTGACAATCGTGGGCCATCTGCATACGGTCAGGCTTTTTCGAGGTCGAGGTCAACGGTGAGCTGGTCCACTCCAAGAAGAGCGGACAGGGCCACGTCGACTCCACGGAAAAGCTTGCGCCGATCCTTGTCAAGATCGAAGCCGCGCTTGCCAAGTGACATGGCCCCAAGTCAGGGCGTCACACGGGCGGTGCGTGGGATCCATTGGCGCTGAGCCCTCCAAAATTGCTCATCGCTTTTGGTTCACGCTCGTAAACAGCGGGTGGAAATTATGGTGGGTCATTTGGGACTGCGAGAAGCTTTCCTGCACCGGTTTATAGCTTTTAGCTTCAAGGGCCGCACTTTCCTAGTCCTTTGCAGTATTACCGTATCTTCTGCATAATTCTGACCTCCCGGCCGCGGTGTATCGACCACCATTCTATGTGCATTTTACAGGTGCAAAGTCCATACGATTGCTGGCGATATGATGGTGACTGGTTCTAAAGGTCGACAGGTCCTGAGCCAGTCCTTGAAAGATGACGCTGCGCGGCGTATTGACGGTTGCATCATAGATTTAGCCCCCTTCATAACCCACGCTATTCTTTCCAGCTCGTTTTCTGTACGACTGGTACTAGCAAGTACTGTTGTAACTATTTGTTGCTCGCTGCTCAATCCACATAGGTCAGCAGTCCACGTGTTGCTATGCAGCTGGTCAGCCGTAAGAGACATCGCTCCCGCGCAACTAGTGCTTGGGCAGCGAGGTAAATCCTGAGCCTCAAAGTAACCCGTTGCTCGCACGGTGCATAGTAGTGCACACAGCATATGTATGGAATGGAAGCCACACACCTTGCGACGCGAACGGCCTTGTTACGCTACACCGCAAGCAAAGCACAACGAGTGCGATGGAGCTGTTAAGAGAAACGCGTCAAAAACCCCAAATGAAATCCGTCAATCGACCAAACCAACCTCACATACCAGCAATACTAAGTGCATCTTCTCTCAACAGTCTACGTTAGGCGATGCCGCAAAGTTTGGATACCTTGACTCTAGTACTACTACAGTTCAGAGAGCTGTAAACGTGAGAGCTATGCCAGATCCGGGATCTTCCCCATAGAGTGGGTACGCAGAACGTGGACTAACCAGGCAAGCCCTTTCCGGGTATTGACGAACAGTGCTCCTCCGTTACTCAAAATCTCCCCCGCTCCAAATACCCGTTCGTTCACCAATTCATTCGTTTATGGCTCATCAAGGCTAGGAGGCGGCTGTCCACGGGGATCCGGGGCTTGAATGCGACGGCAGCTCAATGGGCCCCAGCGTCACGGCGGCATCCGGGAAGCCGACATTGATAAGCAGCTGCGCCAGCCACCTAAGGGGTTTTGGTCAGTCCGCAGAGCGCCAGCAGGGAGGGTGCTAATGAACCCAAGGGTTAGATTCCCTGTATAGATTTCTGGACATAATCGATAACTGGATACACAGCGTAGGCGACCATTCCCCCAAACTAAAGACCCCCATTGTATTCCAACCTGCTGCTAGATGCATATGTACCTGCGTGTCAATTCGTCGCCCCGCAGCGGTGCGATAAACTGGGGGTTGCGCAGCAGCTCCGGCAGACACGACCTCAGCGCCTCACGGGCCCTATGTTCCACAACGGTGGCACAGGGCGTGCGGGGGCAGGAGCGGTTGCAGAAGCAGTAGATGTGGGCGGCACAGATGGTTTTCAGGAAGCTCGCCTTAGTTTGACTTGAAGTTCAGGTAGTCTATTTTGGAAGCTATCTGACTGCTGCTGCACACGATACCTCTCCTGATAAGAATATTGCTGCCGGGCAAAATGCGTACCGGGGGTTGTCTGACAATCGCAGGTAGCAGCGGATGATGTGCTTCAGCAGCCGCTGGGAAGGAGCTCCGCTTTGACCTTGCTGTAGCACCATGCCATACAGGGTGTTGCTGACGGCGAAGAAGCGGTCCCCTAGAGCGCAAATATAGTTCAGGCCTGCCTGTGGACCGGGGGATGGTGCGTGGGAAGAACGTGTGGATAGGCCCCTCCTCCCAGCTCCGTCTCCTCACTATCGCCAACCGCCTTTCCCTCGCCATCCCTCCCTCCTTGCCTCCCTTGCCCCTGGCTGCCACGCACATCGTCCAGCAGTATCTTCTGTACGATAAACGTAGCCACCGTCTTCGACAGCTCCGTGCCGATCTCCATGGTCCGCAGACACAGCGGGATGATCTCCGTGGACAGCAAAAAGTTGATCACGTCGGTGTCGTCAACCTGAGCAGACAAACAGACAGACAGACAGATATGATGGGTGGGATGGCAAATGGCAAAATGTGACAAGGGCTGATGAGGGGGCGAATGAGCAGGGGAGGCGAGACGGGCCCGTCCAGTAGGCATGCCACACCTACCTTGACGAGGGCGCCGATGACGCCCAGACTCGTCAGTCTCAGGTACTCGAAAGGGCGGGTGCGGCTGGCGTTTTGCAGGAACGGGTACAGGAAAAGTGGCATATGTGCTGCAACGGAAGGCAAAAAGCACAGGTGCAGCACCGCAGGGAGCGAGGGAAGCAGAGCTAGCGTTGGAACCAGGAGATGATTGCGATTGCGTGGTTGGTGTGGTCCAGGCGGATGGATCCAGGCAGCATCCCTACGCTTCATTCAAACCGGAGAATTCTGTAGGTTACCTTGCAGGAAGGGCATCCGCGTCTCATTGTGGGATGCCACGCACTGCAGCAGCGCGAGCGCGTTGCACACGCGGTTGGACGCTTGCGCGGTTAGTGAGGGCGGCTGCAATTGCGGATAGATGGACACAATTTCTTGTAATAACGCCGCGATCGCGCCGCAACTGTGCCACAGATAGGGCGCCAAGTCGGGGAAGTTCTCGCGTTTTTTGCTGAGTTCCAAGAGCGCTTCCTCACGAGTTCCCGGGTCGATCAAATGGAAGACCAGTCCCTCAACTTGTTGAGCCTCGTTCATGTCTGTCTGTCTGATTGGCTAGCTGGCTGGACGGTTAGGTTAGTATATATGCCCGGTTACTTCCTCTTTGATCTGTTACCGTTCGTTTAGCTGCGACTGGCTGGCTTCTTCATTGTTTAACGTGCAGCCTGAAACGCCATTGCGCCTGCTGGCTTGATGACACGGTGAGAGGAATGCAGTGTAATAGAAATCCGTTTAGGCTGGGTCGGTCTGAAGGAAGAGGCCTGGAGAACGAAAACCTAGAAGATTGTAACTGTCGGGAGCGGACACTAGCGGACGCCGAACCGGAGAGTTTCCCAGAGTCATGTAGCTGCCGCGCTAAAGCGGACGTCATTTCCAAAGTGAGGTACTGACAGAAGTACAGCAAGGTGCGTTAATGCAAATACATACACACACTGTGGCATGAGGTAGGCGGGAGACCTTCCATGTCGTGTCGCATCACAAGCGAAAAATCGGATCGATAGGCGATTGCGTGTTACCTTGTGGCTCTGTGTCAGTTTGGTGTGAATTGCGCGGGGAGCAGCTGCGACAGCCGTCATTTCTAAGGTGTGACACGTCACACATAATAAGCGGCGGTGTCCAGGATCGGTCATCCTGCCGGAACGCGAATCCTAGCCCCAACAAAAATAAATTCCTCTTGCCTCTGTATTCATTTGTATACTGCAGTGTATATTTCGCACGAAATGGAGGAACCTTTTGCTGGCTGCATTCGGCAATTTGTTGCGCAGGTCGTGTCAGAGCGCCAGAGTTTACGTGATCGCAATGGCCGCAACAGCACGTTGACCCGTGGGTCACAGTCGGCATGCAAGCCAACTAGGCATCCCCCGCCGCAGCCTCTCCTCTCCTTCGGCACCGGGACGAGAATGACAACCGCCTACTGACTTAAACCTGGTCCAAACATGCAAATAATTACCACCGCCACAACATGCATGCGGGTCTGCTTGGCGGCTAATGAAATGCGGCCACAAGCTAGTTAATAGCTGTAGCTGTTACAAAGGAGAGTAGTGTGCCTTGGGTTTTGTGTTAGAGGGCCATCAAGGGAGATGCGCCGATGCCTAGGGAGGGCTAAGAGCAGATTGTGCCGCCCAAAGGCGGAAACAAACCCACTGAGGAAGTCGTCGGGGGGTCGACTCAGTTCCTGAAACAGTATTTTCGGCCAGCCTGACGCTCACCCGACTTCTGTGTGAGATTGCTCACGAGACAACATCTCTTAAGTTTGGACACTAATATCACACAACGAAAACACAGAAACCATCACCAATAAATGTTGGCTGCACAAGCATATCATGTGGCTCGCACATATTCGCAGGTTCCGAACCAACAAGAATCCACACGACAAGAATCCCCAAGCAGACGCGCCGCAGGAGAAGGGCCTAGCAGTGTAACTAGCTAGCGCCCCCAGTAGCTCACACTCTCGGTATGACCTGTCCATCAGGCATCACGGCCGGTGTCCTCCTTCCCTCCAGGCAGTGGCTCAGCCCTCCTCTCCGTCGCCCCTGTCTTCGTGTCCAGCCACCACCGCTGTGGGCACGGCCCGACGTTAGTCCACACTCCCCCCATGCGATAGCTCCGCTATCAGGCCCTCAACTCCTCCCCGCATCCTGGCCCCATCAACAGGGGCTAAACCCCCGGGGTGTAGCTAGCCACCTCCGACCCACATCAGGGGGGGAGCATCAAGCACACCTCCAGAGGCACGTTTTCAGCCACACCCCGGATCTCACACACATGTACGTGGGGGACCCAGATCCGAATAGCAATAACTCCTGCGCGCCTTGCCTGTACCCGTACCTGTACCCGCACCCACCCATCCGTCCTTCCCATCCTTTCTGCCCGATTCCTGGCCTAGCCGGGAGGTGAGAAAGTCCAGGCGGCCAGCCTTATGACGACTCGGGGGCCGGCCCGTCCAGGAAAGGACCACGCCAGGCTCTCCATGATGAATGGAACGGGGAACGGGCCTTATCAAGAACGTGATATGATGCCTGGCAGAGGTTCTTCTCTGCTGGCACCTCTCCTCCTTACCCCCGTCTCAAACGGAACCGACAACCACATCAATCCCGGGCGGCATTGAAACGCGCCCAGTCATACACATACACACACGCACACATCCGCCTGCCCGAGGGCAATGTTGGTGCGACAGACTTTGTGTGTGTGTGTGTGTGTGTGTGTGTGCCTCGCAGAGCTTCCGGCCCAAACACTTCCAGTTCGGATAAGAGTAAGGCCAGCTACTAGGCAGCTTCAGGTTGATCATCTCCACCCGAGGGCGTGGTCGTGTGGTTCACTGCGTTTATCGCAGTGTAAGAGGACCAGATTGAACAACTGGCGGCCGCTATAGCTCCTTCCCTATCCTTCCTATCGCGGTCTCTTACGGTCTTCTCACCCGCAACCCGCCGGCTTTCCCGCCAGAAACGGTGCCCTCGGGTATGGCACTGTGCCGTGTTAGTTTTCACGGGGCCTGCTTCAGCCCATAGGGACCCCTCGCCTTGCCTCGCCAAGGCCCCCCCTTGCCCTCCCCCCTTCCCCAGCCAACGACGATGGAGAACGCGTGTCCCACAACCCCCAGCTTGCCCAGCAACCCCCAGCTAACCCATTGCCCCTATGCGGCCTATGCGCCCGTCATGGGAGTTGGCTGCACCACGTCCAGAGCACCGAGTGCCCCGGCGGCATCCGGGAAGCCGACGTTGATGAGCAGCTGGGCCAGCCACCTGAGGTGCGGAAAAGAGCGCGCACAGGGGCAGGGATGGGGTTTGTTTACAGGGATGCGCGCACGTCAGGAGTAGCTGTAGAGAAATCTACAGCTCTTCCTCAGCATCGTGGGTAGCGCGCGGAAAGGGAGAAACGTCCAGTGGTAGGGCAGTGCGACTAGGTGGTGGTAAAGCTGTATAAATCTTTCCCTTCAACAAATGATAACATTTTAAGGAATATAGACGTAATCAAGAAACTGAAAAAAAATCTGCTAAATAATAGACGCATATCGCCAAAGACGCGCTACATCGGCGACCCTGTGCACCGTGCATTACAAGCGCGTCCTCCCGCTTCTGCAATCAACCATTAAAAAACCGCCCTCCCAAGATAAAAAGCAAGTTCACATCAGTGGATTCCTCCCATCATGGCATTATATCCAGTACGCCCGGTGCCCACCTCCTCGTGGTCTCGTCGTTCTTGAGACACGCGGTGAACTGGGGGTTGCGCAGCAGCTCCGGCAGACACGACCGCAGCGCCTCACGGGCCCTATGTTCAAAAGCGGTGGCACAGGGCGTGCGGGGCCAGGAGCGGTTGCAGAAGCAGTAGATGTGGGCGGCATCTATGATTTGCAGAAGTTATTGGGCAGCCAACCGACCCATGCACCATTGCGGCCCAGCAGGTGCAGTCACGGTGTCCACCTCCTTGGGGTCCGCAGGTAGCCATGCGCCTTCACACAAGTGCCGCATTTCCCCGCGAGTGCATGCATACGAGATCCTTCGTTTTACCAGCACCAAACAACGCAAACAATACAGGGAGGGCCCTACCAACTCCCAAAGCCACAACAAAATCACACCACGAATCCCCCACATGCAACCCCCAAAACCGAGCTCTACCACTCGCCAGGTAAGTGGCAGCATGCGTCATGACCAGTCTGCCCCAGTCGCCCGTCTTACAGCTCCGCGCCATCCCACCAATCCCCTTTCCCCCCCTCCCACACACACAATCTATTCATTCATACGAAAAACAGTGCGTACCGAGGGTTGTCCGACAATCGCAGGTAGCAGCGGATGATGTGCTTCAGCAGCCGCTGGGAGGGCTGGTCCTGCATCTGCGCCTGCGCCACGACCATGTTGCCCAGCACGGCACCAACGGCGAAGAAACGCTCCGCAGTCGCGCAAATGTAGTTCAGGCCAACCTGCGGGGGTTCGAGATGAGCCACGGACGAGTGGAGCAGATACCAGATATAGACAGATAAGAGACAGGGTAAGAAGTGACGGGGGTAAGAGACAGGGTCATGTGAGGTGCAGAGACGGCATGCAGGTGATGGAAGCCATGGACACGTCCCGGGCAGATCTGTCGATATGTGTCCGGTATATGATGACAGATCGTTCACGAACGCGGTTTGGAGCAGAACATTATGTAAGAGCTAGCAAGTCGCGAAGCAATAAAGCGCCGTGGCCTTTAATGGAAGTGACGGTGGCGCGCATATGACACAGACGTTTATCAACGAGTAACCAGGGGTTGGTTTGGGAAGAGAGTTAACGAAAAGACCACCAGCCTGTTCCACCAGCCTTGGCGCAGAGCTATGTGATGCACTCTTTCCTAAACCCCTGACGACCTACCGACATCCGAGTCCGGCCGCCTTCCTTCCAACAATTTCGACACATCCGACGCAGCCGAGAGTGCCGACGCCGTGCGGACTAGAACACAGTGAAACCGTGAGCATGCTGGGGCACCTAAGGACTGTAGCCCTAGGGCTAAGAACCTTCCACCTTCGCTCCTCCGCATGTAATCCCCTCGTCGTCCCTCGCATTCTCACAGCTCCGTCCATCTCTTGCCACCCTTTCTCCCTCCCTCCCTCCCTCCCTCCCTCCTTCCATCCATCCGTTGCCCCTGGCTGCCACGCACATCGTCCAGCAGTATCTTCTGTACGATAAACGTGGCCACCGTCTTCGACAGCTCCGTGCCGATCTCCATGGTCCGCAGACACAGCGGGATGATTTCCGTGGACAGCAAAAAGTTGATCACGTCGGTGTCGTCAACCTGAGCAGACAGGCAAACAGACAGATAGACAGACATGATGGATGGGATGGGATGGATGGGATGATGGATGGGTTCCACACATGTCTGATGCACCACCTAAGCCACAAATTGCCACTACGCAAAGCACCGGTACAGCATGCTGGTATCCACGTCGACCCGCAAATCCATCGAAGCATTATGCATAACAGGTGCATCGCCAAGATGCCCAGTGATGGAGCGCGATCGTGATGGCCGTGTGATAACCCGTACATCCGCCCGTCTGAAAGCCCATACGCGTTCGCCGGATCCGCAGGGTAGGTCTGCCCAGACCTCAACAGCCTACCTACCTTGACCAGGGCGCCAATAACGCCCAGACTTGTCAACCGCAGGTACTCGAAGGGGCGCGTTTTGCTCATGGTTTGGAGAAAAGGGTACAGGAAGAGGGGGATGTGCGCTGCGAGGGGAGCCGTGGGTATGGGAGCAGCGGATGTGAGGTTAGGGGATCATCCAGGGGTTTGGTCTTGTGTGGAATTCGGGATCGGCTGCTCGGCACACCGAGAGCCACCGGCCACACACCCCAGGGCAACCCCACCCACCCTGCAGGAACAGCGCTCGCGTTTCATTGTGAGACGCCACGCACTGCAAAAGCGCCAGGGCGTTGCAAACACGGTTCGAGGCATGCGCCGTTAAGGACGGCGGCGACAACAGAGGGTAGATGGCCACGATCTCCTGAAGCAACGCTGCGATGGCGCCGAAGCTATGCCACAGGTAGGGAGCAAGCTCTGGGAAGTTCTCTCGTTTCTTACTGAGCTCCAGTAAAGCGTTTTCCCTTGTTGCAGGATTGATAAGATGCTGGACATACTGCTCCACTTGCTGCACATCTGATAAGCCACTAGTCGCCATCCTGGGGCCTGAAGCCCCTGCCGCCAAAATCAAATCAAACTAAAAGATGTCTTTTAAAGAAGAGTGCGTCAATTGGTCACGAACAGAACACTTCACGGCCAGGCGCTGAAATTCCGCAACCTTGGATCTCTTTCACGCTAGACAAGGTAAGCATGTAATATTATTTAAGCATCCCATTCGCTAGAAGTTACTAATCAACACGTGCCAAAATCAAGCGGAGCTCAAGTTTAAACTGCAGAATTGCCCTGCAAGTTGCTCTATATGAATGTGAAGTTAATTAAGGGCATGTCCCTTTGTCCAGGTCAAAAGCAGCGCCTGGTATGCTTTTCACCAGCCCCCGATACGCTGTACGGCAGGCAGTGTGATCGTGGCCTAACTGCACAAAGTAATGCTTAGGCGAGACGCTATGTACAGCTGCAAGTGCTCTCAGTTATATACCTGCCTTTCATATAAGCCCCTGTCAAGGTAACGGTTGCGTGTGGCTCCCAATTCCCCAAACTCCAAACCGTATGTCCACCACGGGAAACAGTGCTTGTTAATCTCCAATCCTGACATGGGCATAACTGGTTCCGTAGTTAAGCGTGCATTCCTACACATAGTGCAACTCCCCAAAGAATCGAAAACGACTCATGTTGGGTTTCGCTGCTGCAGCTTCTGCTATTGCGGTCTTCGACCCCCGGTGCCGTGGGGCCGATGATGCCTGCAGCTGCTGCTCCTGCTGCCGCAGGCTGATGCTAACAACCGGGCATGCGGTACATACACGGTACTCCTGTCAAGTCACCGAAGCCGCGCGAAACTTAACCATCCTGATTATTCTTGGCTGCATCCATATGCGGAGGGAGGGTGAAGGCGCCTTTTCAGTCTCGCCTGATGCAGCCGACCTTCAACCAATTTAAACTGAACGCCTCTTATGATTAGATCTAGGTACAGGCTGTTACCTACACCGCTTGTACACAAGCAAAAACCACTTATAAGCACGGAAGCAAACCTTCCTTCCCATTAGCATGCTTTACGCTTTGACAACCCAAGGACCAATCACAAATGATCTGCCACGTATTTGGGCCTGGTTCCCGGTTAGGGCTTGTTTTCCCATTCTGCTTGAAAAAGCATTTCCCTTGAACTTGTTCCCTGTCTGCAGATAGGATGGTGCTCATCAAGCTATCTTCCCCACTGCTCCCTCAAGTCATGTTGGTCATCAACTGCTGCCAGCTCGCGGGCCAGCGCTTTGGACCGCGTTTCATGTTGAGTGGACCGCACCAACACATCACTAATTGAAGCCCACGGAAATCATAACAACTCATTCATGAGTTTGTTGGCTAGCCAGCAACAATACTACAGCAACTACTCACAGGCAATTAATTGAAAAAACGCGCAGCACAAATCCAAATAGGTACTTTTACGCAATTGGCGGTGTGGTGCACACCAGACTGCTCATTGATATGTTGACGGGAAATCCGGGGAGCTGTGTTTCCGAAGAAAAAGCCAGGTGCGACCAAACGCGGGTCCGTCCACCGCGCAGTCCAACAAACTCCCTCCCCCTTCCTTGGCATCACCTTCACTCGCTCGTGGTTCGTTCGTCTTTCCCCCTTCCCCCCACCAAAAGCCTCGGGACGGACCCCTGGTAGCACCACACAGCACCAGTTTTGGGATTCTACCTTTTCGACTTTGCAAGGGCTGGCGGCTTCTGGGCACTTTTCTTCTTCTCCCCTAATTTATCCTTCGTCTTTTTCTCAATCCGACGTGCCGCTACACCCGGTGCCCCGCGTTCCACAGCCGTGCCGCCACACCCAACCGCACTTCCACCACCACCCTGCACGGTCTTTCCCTTGGTCTTCTGCACTTTACCGGCAGCGGCCGCCGCTGCCAGAGAAGCTTTCACCGCCGCTATGCCGGCATTGCCATTCGCTGTCTTCAAGCCAGCGGCCGTGATAGCCTTCTTGTTGCCTTTGTCTGCATCTCCGCGTTGAGGCTTTTGTTCGGCAGCGGCTTCGTCTGCCCGCTGCTGGCGGCGCCCTTTCTGACCATCGTCGCCGGCACCGTCTGCGGTGTCCTCTATAGCCGTCTTGGCCACCACCCTCGGGCTCTTCCTGGCCTCCGCCTGCTTGGCCTCCTTCCCCCCCTCTCTCTGCGGGCGCGGTGCTGACGGCGTCTTCTGCACAGCCGCTGCCGCCGTAGCCGCAACAGGAGCATCCGCCCCGCCGTTAGCAGTTGCCTCTCTGCAAGCGCAACGCGGAACGAACAGTGAAATAAAAAGCTTTGGAAAAAAAGCACCATAAGCACATGAAAATATAGTAGCACCGACCCGTCGTAATCTTTCTGGCGGTACCCCCTAACCTGTGCAGGCTCGCCAAATTACCTGAATCCTTGAGAACATATACGGAAGGCGACAACACCTCTCAAATCCCCTTTCCGGGGGCCCCTTCCAAGGCCAGGCCTCCCGATATCGGTGTCCCCCAACCCTTTACTCCGCACGGAAAGGACTGCAACGTCATGTACCCACCTCGTTGATCCCCCCTCGGACTTCTTCCGCTTCTTCACTGACCGCTGCGTCCCCCGATCCTCCCGCTCCTCTTCCGCTGCTGCCGCTGTCGCTGCCGCCGCAGCAGCACCGCCACTTGACGTCCGTTTTTTCTCCGTCTCCTTCTGCTCCGTTTTCTTTTTCTTTGCCTCGCTATGCCCTGAGCCGACCTCGCATTTATCCGCACTGTCCTTGCCGACATCCCGTCTCACCGTTGCCATCGCTTGCGGCTGTGGTTGCGGTGTAAACTCAGCTGCCGCTATCGTACTCGCCTCCGAAGCCCTCTTTTTCTGTTTCTTCTGCTGCTTCTGTTCCTCCTCCAGCTCCATCCGCGCCGGCTTGTGCTGCTCCTCGTCCTTCCCCTCCTCCTCCTCCTCGTCCCGCTGCGCTACCCCCCCTTTCCCTCCTGCTCCCTTCCGTTTGCCCCCCTCCTCAGCCCCCAGCAGCCGCCTGACGGCCGCCACGACGTCCTTCCCTTGACCCAACCTGAGGGGCTGCCCGTCGGGCCCTACGGCGCGCCAGCCGCTGAGGTTGCTGCGGGTACAAGGCAGGGTGAGGCGTCGTATGGAGGGACGGTAGGGATGAGGAGGATGACACAAAAAGGGGAGCGAGAAGGCTGAAGGGGAGGGAGGGAGGGTGCAGTAGTGGAATGGGGGCACGGTGTTTGGGCCCGTTGGAGCGAGGGTGACGGGGGGGAAGGCGCCTGGAGGCGCACAGAGGAGGATTACCGGAGGTAGGGATGCAGGAACAACACCAGGAATACTAGTCAGCAGAAACAACAGAGGATAGCCAGTCAGGGAGCGGCCAGTCAGGGAGAGGCCAGTCAGGGAGAGGCCAGTCAGGGAGCGGCCAGTCAGGGAGAGGCCAGTCAGGGAGCGGCCAGTCAGGGAGAGGCCAGTCAGGGAGAGGCCAGTCAGGGAGCGGCCAGTCAGGGAGAGGCCAGTCAGGGAGCGGCCAGTCAGGGAGAGGCCAGTCAGGGAGAGGCCAGTCAGGGAGAGGCCAGTCAGGGAGAGGCCAGTCAGGGAGAGGCCAGTCAGGGAGAGGCCAGTCAGGGAGAGGCCAGTCAGGGAGAGGCCAGTCAGGGAGAGGCCAGTCAGGGAGCGGCCAGTCAGGGAGAGGCCAGTCAGGGAGAGGCCAGTCAGGGAGCGGCCAGTCAGGGAGCGGCCAGTCAGGGAAAGACAGGCGGAAACCGAAAAGTGGTCACCCCTCTGTTATCATTCACCTTACCGACACCCATACCTGTACCCACATCCACATTAACATCATGGGTCCACATTTGGCTGTTCCTCACTCATGTTTCTATCGACACCACCTGGAGTGGACGGCCCTGCGCTGATGCGTGAGCCCCCAACGAAACCCACCAAACCCAACCCAACCCACACACGCACCCACATGCACCACCCGGATCCGACCGCTTCCACGTCGGCAACCCACCCACCCACACGCCCCACACGCGCACCCACACCAGGCCCTCCATTTCGCCCACCTCGCCACCACCTGCAAAGCATACGCCCTGCAGTACACCTCCTGCAGCCACACCGCCAGCGCTTCGGGACTGGACTGCACTTCCCCTGGAGCTCCGTTGACGGAGGCGAGGTGGGCTGCCAACACCAACAACCGCTGGTACTCGGACCGGTGGTGGTGGTGATGTGAGGAGAAAGGGCTATCGTCGTCATCATCGTCCCCGTCGGTGTCCCCAGGGGCTTGGCTGCATGCGGGGGTATGGGGAGATGAGGGGCGGCAAGGAGAGGCAAGGAGAGGCATTTCCCTGAAGGTTCCAGGACCTGAACCGTGGGCAGGAACCTGCGATTGAGGCTAGCATATCCATACATCCATACATCCATCCATACATACTCCTGCAGCGACTTCTGTATTGATATACACAAACGATGAATGACAGCCTGGTAAAGGTTGGGCCCTCCCCAGCATACCTACGTACCTGGCGCTCTCCCCGCCGCCAACTCGCAACGCCGCGAAACGGATCATGCGGCATGTGCTTTGAAGGGCACGACACTGGGTGCAGGCGAACTGGAGGGTTAACGGGATGATGAGGGAGAGGGCGCCAGGCAGGACAGGGTAGGGTAGGACAGGGCAGCGAGAGGGCAGCGACACGGTAATCAGATTCTGGATGAGACATCAGTGCTTTCATATGGAGTCATAGCCCGGAAAGGACATCGGTAGGGCTAGGGTGTTGAGATACGGTTATCCTTGAGCACCTTTACTGCAATGGTATTTTACTGCGTCCTTGTCCGGCTGCGTGTCGCAGCGCTAACTGGGAAAGGGAGTTCTCGCCGGTGACTTAGTCCAGGGTAACATCCCCGGCGTTGACGAGCCTTCCCAAGCTGAAATCCCGAAATCGCGGCGGCGCTTCAAAACATAGCTTCAGACGTACCCCAGCACGCTTCAACACGACGCTTCGGGTCTTAAAGTCCAGTCCTGTAATGAGGGTAAAGAATAAAGACGATCCCTCGTCGTCCTCGTCCTCCGCGTCTGAGTCACTGCTGCTGGTTGTTGGGTTGCCGTCCGCCCCGCATACGCAGCATGCCGAGACCGTTTGGCCCACACGAACGAGGAGTTCCTCAAACGCATGGATAGATTCCCTTCCTGCATCGAATCCATGATTTGCTTAAGCATCTCCTCATCGTTGTCGAAATTAGCTGAGCCCAGGCGCCGCTCATTACCCACCAGCATTATGCTGCATAATTCCAAACAAATCCTGTGTGTCGTAGCCCTTTGGAATTATTGCTGGGCACAAGACCGGGCAGCACGCCTGAAGGGCCTGGACCTTTGCAAAGGAGAGAGTTGTTGTAAATCGTTCGAGTCTTACAATCTATAAGTATATTTTACGCTACGTCATATCGCGCAACGCGCAACGTCACGGACCTCGCATTGCAGGGAGTCAGCCGTGGCCGCCATGACTGCTTCCGATAAAACAGTAGATGTATACTAAGGATTTAATCTAGACAGTCATTGTAACTTATTACAATCAAATAATCACCAGCAATATTTCCGAGTATCCACAGGCGACGTGAAATTCGCGTCTCCATCAGCCCAATACCACTGCACGACACAAACCGAAATAACGGACCGTCCGACCAAATTTCATTACACAATTTATATCATAGGTTCCAGTTCTTGTAAAAGCTGATGCACCCGGACGTCAAGCCCGCAAGGGCAAGCACGACGGGGCTGTTCAGGGCCCTGTGCCGGCCACCTGCAACCAAGGAAACATGCTCTCTTAGGATAGCGTGCACCCAAAATTTCCACGTGAATTGCGGCAGCACTCACCGGTCACGTCATTGAGTGCCATAACGGAGTCAGCGATGTCCTGGACTATAAGTGCGCACCGAAGGTTCCTCTGGAAGCGCAGTGTCACCAACGTGCTTTCCAACTTGGCGTCCGTCACGCCCTCCTCCTGCGTGCCGGAAAAGTTACAGGTGAGAAGGCATACGGGTTGATCTTTAGCGCCGGTCCATTCAGCGGCGCATTATAAGATTGTATGTACTAACTCGCTCGTTGTGTCGGTTATGAGTTGACAAACCTTCCGTAGCTTCAGCAACCGCTCTGTAAGCTCGCTCTCCTGCTTGATCAGCTTTTCCAGCTTTAAATACGAGATCCAAATGTTTCCTGCGTAGCCTACAAGCTCCGCAAACGCGCTTGCATAAGCCAGGCGTTCCTCGAGGTCTTTGTTCAGCGCTCCAGTCTTGACGAGCCTGGCACACGTGTACAATATCGATTTATTTTATTAAGATGTGCGTGGGTGCGGTCATCATAAAACCAAACCGCAAAACTTACCAGGTGAATTGCTCAATGAAATAGTAAATACCCTCGCCACCGTACGCCAGCAGCTCCAGGATAATTGTGGCATCTTTCGTTTTGCTATGGCGCAGACTATTGACATCCTGGAGGAACTTGCCCAATCGGAACGCTTTCCTGTATGGCAACCGACAGAAGTCACGGAAAGAGCACCATGACGAGGAGTTTGAAAGCCCTGCACCCACCGGGATACGCCGACGCTTTTTTCAAAGGAAGACAAGCGTTTCGTCAGTTCCTGGTCCTTAGGACTTAGGGCTACCGCAAGCCGGGCCGAGTAGCGGAGGACCTTCAGCGTCTGCGCAACGCCGCACAGATTTAAGGGTGTAATTTGATAGAATTCCCTAAGGAAATTGGAGCGTTCATACCTTGTCGATACCTTCTCGCTTTGCAAGGAAGCGTGATATCTTGTCAAAAACATCTTCCTGTGAAGCCATTTCGTTCAAACCAGCCCTATGTAGCAGTTGTGGAAGCAAGGGTTAACATGTCATAAGACAGGCAATGTGTTACAGGTCAAGGCTAGCTGACGTAGATATGTAATCTGCAAGCCTGACCAATACGCCATGACGACGATCACGCAGCATGCCATGCATGCTGAGCTCCTGCTGTGAATTTCCCTGTGGCAGTTAAAGCAGGATAACAAACTTTCATGTCAGGAAACCGCACAGGTGCTGCCACCTTTGCAAAACGTTGCGAACCTACGTAATGATTGCCTTAGGAAAAAACTCGCTTTTCCCCTTTTCCTGCTCACAACCCATCTCCAAATCTGCAATCCACCCCGAGGGTGCCATTCCTCCGTGCTTCACATAAACCCAATTTCCAGATCATACCGGCGCGCTTTTCCTTGCGCGATGGGCAAAGAAGCGTACCACGGAGTTAAACGAGGGAAAAGGGTTCCCGTATTCTTCGTGCTTGCGCGTTCAACCCCTTTCATTTCCCGGCTGTTACACATCCACACATCTCCTTCTTGCACCACCCGCACCACGCCTTTCCACTCTGCACTGCGCGCATGGAACAACGGGAGCCCAAACTCACGCAGGAGGTTTGGATCGCAATTCGAAACTTCATAGGACGATGAACGCATGACGCACACATGCCAAGGCATAATTTTACGTGGCAGGGGCACCATGCATGTATGATGTTACAGGGGTGGGATAGCTTCAACAGCGGCCCCCTTTCCCGAGGCAGTTCCCTGCTCTCCCTTGCGAGAGGGGCACCCTAATCCATTCACCCCATCCGACTTCAGAATGTATTCGTTGGGTTCAGCAACTCACCACCAGCATCCAACCAAATCTAGCGGATCAACGGCGCCGCAACCTAGTTCCTGGTCAGCGCGCAAGTTGATATAATCACGTCCTACACCGTCCACATGACGGGGGCCACCTCCCAATTCAACACCACTCACACACCGAGGGGTCGGCAGGCGGACATATGTATGTATGACTTAGATTACACTGTGGGCTGCGAGAGCCGGGGCCCGAATGTATGTATGTATGTATGTATGTATGTATGTATGTATGTATGTATGTATGTATGTATGTATGTACGTAGGTATGTGCGTGTGTATGTATGTATGTATGTATGCCTTTGGGTGCGGCGTCTTCCCGGCGTAATATGTAGACATGAGCATTGCGCCGCCGATCGGCATGCGGAATATGCCAAGACGACGCTCTCGTTTATACTGGGCGGAGTAATGGAGCCGTCTCCTGGGTTATGCCTGCATGCAAAATCGCAGGCTCAGCCGGTGTCCCTATTCCCCCCATTCGACAAGTCGGGTGTCGGCTTCCTCCGCCCAAAAAGGCCCTACACCCTACCACCCACGCGGCCCTTGAGCTAGTGCACCCTCCCAAGCACTTGCCCACCACCAAAAGGGCTGATCAACGTGTCGAGGAAATTTTGCTATGGTAAAATCCTAGCGAACGACCTGCGATGACCTTGTTACCAGGCTGCTGTGATCCTGTGTGCGTGCATGACAGCACGTCCTACTAGTAGAACTCAGCAGACGTCTTGCCGCGTCGCGCTGATATCCACAAGGAAAATCCTTCTACAACAGAAGGCCCCACCAGGGCCCAGAGGCCATTACCACGAAGCCAGCTTCGCCCTGGAGATCATCCCTTGGTCCGCAGCCGCCTTGGTCCGCAACACCCTGGGGACTGTTCTGTCAGTAGCCTCAGTCAGGAACACCAGCCACCAGCAGGATTATAACGGCACGGGTAATACAAGTAACTGTATAGGAGAGGTGTTCGGGAGGCGAGGGGAGAGCGGGGCGAGGTATGTGGGAGTGAATTCTCCCTGCCATGCTTGGAAAGATTTCCAGCGGCGGTTCAGTAAGGCGCGGAAGCCGGAAGCCAAACGCACCGGCGGCGTAAACAGGGAAGATAAGGGAGATCCGTAACCGGAACCTTTACATTTTGAACTACATAACACGTTATACAGCTTTTTATTTAAATTTTTGTACGAAGGAATGTACGAAGCAACCCAAAGAGGAAGGGCGGAGAAAATAAACAATCATAGTTTTATGTATGATGAAAATTAAGACGAGGACCACAAAGCCTAGGCCTGGGCAGTTCACGACAGCAATAATCACAACGTCAAAACAACAACGACAACAACTGCCAAGCATGTCGAGGAAATGAAAGAAAAAGGCAAGATCCGAACGACGACTGCTGGTGCTGCTGGTGCTGCAAGCCGCATCAGAATCGCCGACCGCCATCCAGCGCAAATCCAGCGCGACCTCCGCGACGATGCGAAGCCCCCTAAGCTGTGTAACCCCCGTAAGCTGCCCTCCGTCCCAGCCTGAGATCGGGGCACGGGGTTGTTGCCCAGACATGCGCGCAAGCAACCCCGACTGGTCCTGACTGGACTGGGGACCCGCACACGTGTCTGCGTGTGTATTTTTGTACGACAAACCAACCTATCTGGGCCCCTGTGCCTGCGGCGCCTCCCGCTCCGAACCACCTAGACCGGCACCCCGGCCCCCAGGTGAAGCAGCTCCGAAACCCACACAAAGAGAAGATAATGTCTCCAGATAGTGGGTTCCTGCCGACATGGCGTGGCCAGCGGCAGCTGGACAAGCCCCAAACGGCGCAGCTCTGATGCCTTCTTGGCACCAAACTACTACTACTCTTCCAAGCAGCCTAGGCATCACTAGTACACGACACACGACACATACTGCCCAAATGCAAAGACGTGTTACGGACAAGCATACATCCATACATACGGACAAGCATCTGTCCAGACCTGCCATCAGCATTTGTTCTCAAATATGGCGGGGGGGGGGGGTTATACCTGGATAGACGACGGCGACAACGGCAGCCCGCCAGGGTCGCTCTGCATCGGTCAAGTCCTGCTGCTCCACACCCTCCGTCGCCCTCGCGCTTCCTTCACCGCCTCTTAACCCTCTCCCTGCCACCACCACTACTACTACTAGTACTACTACTACTGCCGCCACCATCATTACCATCACTACCCCCACCACCACCACTACTGCCCCTATCGCCACCACCACGGCAGCTGCTCCTCCTGCTTCCCCATCCGCCTCTTCCGGGGCGGTCAGGGCCGCAGCCGACTGGCGATACCCCGCCAGCAGGTCATCGTGATGAGCAGCGCAACCACCACCTGCGCAAGGGGGATAACAATGCGACCTAGCTTGATTAAAAAACAGACGGCATATATATGTATATATGTATACATATATATAGAAAACTCCCCCCTCCCTTCCCCTATCTTAGGAAGCGCCGTCAGCGTTTACATCGGATCTGCCGTTCCGATGTGTCGTGGGTCTCCCGGGGCCTCCCGGGGGGCCACCGCAGCGAGGCCTCCTTTCGACTTAAAGAGGAGCTCCCAGGGCATCCCGCGCACCTCCAGCTGCGGCGACAGGTCATCGGAGTTGAGTCCCTCCACGACGGGGGCCGCATCCAGCGCGTTGCGGGCCACCAGCACCGCGTAGGCGGCGATGGAGGCGGTGGAGGCGAAGGCCCAGGTCAGTGCGGCACCCAATACCTGTATTTCATGTGCGTGTGGGTAGGGTGCGCACACACAGAGAACCGCAGAGGTGCATCATCCAACCAACCATGGTGACAGGGGGAAACCTCCGCCGCAGCTACCTGCCGCCGTGCTTCCCCCTCGTCCGGGTATACACGTGCGCCCTGAATCCCCTCCCCCCTCTCCCCAGGCGTTGTCACTTGCTCGGATCGACAACAGTTCGGGAAAACACACATGCCACGCCCGCCTCCTCAGCTCGATACATGCAGTCGACTCGCTAAAGCTCCGTCCCTAGGGCCCCCCTTTCCCTTTTATTTACGGCAGCGTAGTTGTGGGCATCGCTTGTCTAGAACCTCGCCATCATCATCTTGATCATCGTATCATCGTCATCATCATCGGCCCGGCCCTCACTCACCGAGCCAAACGTGGGTCCAAGCATAGACAGCTGCCAGGGCACGTCCTCGTGGGCCCTACTGCCCGCCGGGGAGTAGTCCCCGTTCCAGACGCCGGTCGCCACCCAGCACACCAGCAGCACCCCCACCAGGGCGGGGAAGGAGCTCCACTCGATGCGTTCCGAAGAGGCCTTACGAGCGGTGTATGATAGTGGTGCATGATAATGGTCATGGTAATGGCGATGGAGGTGGTGGTAGGGGTAAGGGTGGGGATTCAAGCAGGGAAGACGAACCACAGGTGGGTGAAGCTGGTGAATTGGAAGTGGGATGAAAATGGAGAGGTGCGACTGACTACGGAGGATGACTACTGTGAGAATGAATGACTGTGATGGTAGTCGTGTCGTGATCATGATCGTGATCATCATCAGCTCCTTCGAGAGGTCGAGAGGTAATCCCCACAACACGGTCCAGGCGCCCCGGGGCCAACATATTGGGATGTTGTTGGGATGGGTTACAACGCAGATGGACGATGATGGAAGGTAAGGTGATGCTGGATACCCGTACATGCGTACGACGTGGCCAGGGGCGTCGTACCTCTGTTGCCAAAATCATGACACAGTCCCCGAGCAGCAGCGTGGTGTCGTAGAAGCGTGAAAAGAAGGGATGCTTTCGCATGTACACATCGAGTCGCGAGGCATTACTATTGCTGTTGGTTCCGGAGCGCGGCGAGCCTGGTGGTTGGGATGGAGATGAGCGTTGCTGTTTTTGTTGTTGCTTAGTTTGGCGTGGTGCTGGCTGTTGTGGTGGTGAAGGGCTTGAGCGTGTGCTGCCGCTTCCGTCCGTCCGACCGCTAGTCGTCCTGCTGCTGGTGGTGCTGGCGGGCGATCTGCTACTGCCAGTTCTGTTGCTGCTACTGCTACTGCTGCTACTGCCATCCCCTTTGACGCCACTCGTGGACTTGCGGCCTTCCTGCAGGCGCCCGGCACGGGGAAATGAAATGACCGTCACACTTTATGGCGTAGAGACAAGCGACAGCAGTTCTGCCCATTATCGCGGCGGTCAATAAAAAGTTGGATTTGCGAGGGTCCAGCCCGAGCAGCTGGCTCGAATCCATCTCAGGGCTGGCGCTGCGGGTGCAGCTAGTGACCTTGGGGGAAGTAACAGCATGCGTGGTAATAAGTGTTTAACCAGGCATGGGGCTTTGGACTTGCGATGGAAGATTCTGTCCGCACCTTGACAGTACTCGCCAGAGTTATTAGTCCACCGGCGGGATTCGGCCGGCAAGCTCGGCTGGGTTGGCACCGGATGGTCATGTTGCGGGGACCAGGGTTTGGCCAAGCCATCGTGATGCAAAGTCCCGGCCGGTCCCGCCCCAAAACGAGAGTATCTTGCATGAATTGGTAGGCCCAGGGAAAGCTGGTTTGGTGCAAGCTGGTCGGCGCTAGGACAAGTTAAATTGCGGGATCGATAAGTATTAAGATGAAACAAATTTATAAGACGGTTGTAATGTTACTTCTGTGTTCACTCAGGAGCGTTATATGCACAATTCAAAAGGACGTCCCCGCGCAGCAGTATACGGGACCTGGAAGCGAAATTACTGACAATAGTTAAATTGAATTGCGTAAGTTGTGTGGCACATTAGCATAGGTAGGTATCATGCTGTCGAGGCACAGCCTGGTAATGACGGATGCACGGTTCCTGTGACGCAATTGGTCACAGTGATATGGTAGCTATGGGGCGGCCTCCAGCTATGAAGCTGGCAATAGACAGCAGCACTGCACATACCATGCCATTAGAATCCATGCAATGCCTATCGTTTTTCCTTGCATGGTGTCGTACAGCGAGGTTCGTCGCGCTGTATCGTTCTTGAAATTGTTTCATATTCCTATCGAAGCTGTCGAAGCTGATTTGATGGTAGCGTTTACCGTGTAGCTTTTATTTTACGAAAGCTGTCGACGCGAACACGCAAGTGACGTGGGCTGTTGGGCATAGCCCCCAAAAGGTTTCTAACATGATTATCCAGAACGCACGCAAATAAAGGCTTAAGCCATCTGACTTCGGGCAACGTGCACGCCGTGAAAGCCATGTCGCACGCTGAGGGCTGCTCTCGTAGCGGAGGACGGCCATTTGCGCTCGTGTGGAGCCCGATTCCTCTGATCAGCTGGCTCCTGCCATTCATTGGACACATAGGCGAGTGCAGCCCCAAACCCCTGTCTATTGACCAACCTTTCACTCACCTCCATGGACGGGTCGTCCTCTTGTAACCTGCAAATCCAGCAACTCGCTTCCATACCTCCGCTGTTTCCCAACTCCCCCGATGAAACAGGCGTCTGCTCCTCTGCCGGTCGCACCTATGACTTTGCCGGGCCCTTCATGGTTAACGAGGATTGCCTGCTGTTCGGCAAACCGACCAGGTGCATATCCATATCGTCTTCGAAAGTCATTCAAATATATTCCCCCACACCCCCAACTAATCCCTTTATCAAATGTTCTGACATCTTGCCTGCATCTAATTTTCCTCTTCCCATCATTCCTGCTACTGGACGCTTGACTCCCCACTATCCACCACAATTGCTGCTGCTGCCGCCGCCGCTGCCGCCGTCGCCCCCGCCAGGTTCCTCCAACTGAACCCAGATCAACAAACAAAACCAACCTCAATCGAAAGTGGGCGGCGATGCGGGAAGGCCGCCGGGGAGCCTGGAAAGGTAGCAGCGGGAATAGCTTTGGGGGAAGGTGATGATGATGATGAGGGAAAGTCTGTATTCCGGTCTCTAGGGATATCGGCAGGGGAGGATGCAACGGTGGCCGTGGAGGAGGAAGATCGAGACGTGGAAATGGGTGGAAAATCATCAAGACTGGCGAGATGCGGTGGCGGCGGAGGAGGAGGAGCAGGAGGCGGGGCGCCGGCTGCCGCTGCGCAGTCATGGGATCGCCGATTGAGCTTTGCGGTCACAACATACCGGGTAAATGAGTGGCTGGGTGATTGGGTGGGTGGGTGTGGAAGAAAAAAAGGGCGAGGCAGTGGGTGAGGGAAGGAAGGGACGGATGGGCGGCGGTAAATGTGCCGGGCTACTTCCGTTCCTGCCCTTCCCGCCCCGCATTTCCCCCCCCCCCGGCATTATCCGACCTCTGCATCTCTGCACATGCTTTTCTCCACATGCTCCTCCTCCCTCTTCCCGCTTGCCTCCCTCCCCCCCTCCTCGCCGTGGGGTCCCTTCATGCAGCTGTTGAACTACAACATCATGACCAACAACTGCCACTGCTTCGTGGCGCACTTCCTCAATCAAAATGGATATAGGTATGCGGGAGGAGGCGGATAGATGGGGGCCCCGCAGCAGCGGGGTATTGGTGGGGCTGAGGATGGTTCAGATGTGACGGTTGTGGGGTTGGGGTTGGGGTTGGGGTTGGGTTGATGATGTTGAACAGCGAATGGCATTTAAAGGGGGAGGGTCTATCGCTACAGTGCATGTGGGAGGAGGTGCGGAGGGAGGAAAGGACAACAGGCCGGTACATACATACATACATACATACATACATACATACATACATACATACATACATACATACATACATACATACATACATACATACATACATATATACATACATGCGCACCGAGACGCGCTGCTGCACGTCAAGAGGGGTGAAGAAGGTAGGTCGGGAGTTGGAAAGTGGGAGAGGATTTTCCCGAATATAAGAAATCGGCTGTTGCAGTCGCATCCGATGACCTCCGCGTTTCTCGAACCTCCCTCCCTCCGTTCCGTCCCATCTCTCTGACTACACGCCTGGGCTGCCTCCCCCCTTTGACACCCGACACCCGACCGCCATACATCGGTCCAGGGGCGGCGGATGGGACACGGTCAATCTGGTGAGGAGCGGGAGGGTGCTATCCGGCATAGGTGGCTGGAGATGAGAGGCCGTGAGGGGTCCGCTGTGCCTTGACAACCAGACTGGGGGGTCGCGTCAAGGGGCTGGAAAGCTGCCCCCCTCTCCCCTGCCAGCAGCTTCATTCGCGTGTGGTTCGTCTTTCCCCCCTCTCCCCTGCCCGCCTCCTCCTCTCGGTCCGAGCGCAGCAGATGCACGTGCACATGCTCTCGGAAGTGTGACTTAGGGACCTGACTTGTGCGCGCTTTTCGGGAATTGGCGATGGCAGGCACTCTTAAGGAGCCTATGCGATGCCTAGCAGTGAATTAATGATGTTCCTCCTAGCATCCTCCTTCTTTTCGTGTGGCATGCCCACCACTGCGGGGGCCCCCCTCCTCCTCCCCCCTTTTCTCACGGCTTCCCTTTTCCCTTTTGCCGGCAGGCCGCGCTCATGTTCGTGCGCGGCCGCTACACCTCCCTAACGGGGCTGTTGCATACTTGGCTGCCCTGGCTGCTGGTCACGTCACTTGGGGTGAGGGTTCGCGGCTGCTTAGCCGGGCTGGCCGTAGCCCCCTGCTTTGCCGATGAGTTTTCAGCTCAGCTCAGCTCGCTCAGTTCATACTCTCTGTTTGCGTGTCAATCATCTTGGTTAACGTTTGAAAACTTGTTTCCAGCGTCTAGCGAAGTTGTTGTGTGAACTCGCTTCCCTGGAGCTTACACTCTCCTATCTATGATACAACAACGGCAGCAACCACGAATGAAAACGGCAGGGACTCTCTCTCTATATATATATCTATATCTATATATATATATAGATATAGATATATGAATATAGATATGTTGATGAGGGTCATGCGAGGTTGCACGCAGCAGCACGCGGGAGTTGCAGGCGACTGCAAAGCAACGTGTAAAGCACTCTACTCAACCAACCGATGTCCCTCCCTCAATACTCATGTTTACAGCTACCCGCGCATGCTAAATATACCCCCACACCGCAACGCACGCAACGCACACGCAGGCCTACTTCGGGCGGTTGCTATTCCTGTACGTCTACATGGCGTTGTGTGTCCCGCTCTTATCCTGGTTCCTGTTCTACACATGGTGTTGCTGGCGCGATCTTAGCTTCTGAGAGCTCATGGTACTGCAGTACGGCACTGTCGTACGGTGTCTGTCGTGATTACGCATGCGTCGGAACGCATGCTTCTGAGAAGCCTGACTGCGCAAGATGGACAGCGGGAAGGAGACCGGGCCGTCTGATTGGCTCTAGTTGAGCGTGTGGTGCTTGTACGGCGCGATGTCGTGCGTGCTAATGTAGGCAGTTAAAAAGAGCTGCTGTTATGGTGGCCATAATCGTGTTAAGTATTTAGTTGAAGCCACATGGCCGTGATATTTATAGTGGTCTGCGTGAGCGGTTTTTAAGTGGTCTGTGAAGGAGCGCGTGGGTTCATGGGACTTCTGGATTAGACACGGAAAGCCTTACTTACGATGCTTTGCTTGGGTACTTAGCTGCTGTGAATGCACAGGGTGTTGTGTGCTCTTCCACACTCGTCAAGACGGAAACTGCGACACCTGTTTGTGTGTATGGGTGTGAATAGAATCGAATTCTGTCCGAGTCCTTCACTCGCGGACACAAAGGTGGAGGCGTGTGGAGACGCGAGGCGCTACTCGTGACTGATCCTGACATACATGATTTCCGATTTCCCTTTGACGACGGAGGCACCTGTGATATGAACAGTTGATAGCTGTGAACGAAATGTGTCTTATGTCTGGGGCCCTCTTGTCCTCACACATCGCATCACAGTACCTAGCGTTGCGGAAGCTTGACGTAGCTGGATGGCCGTCTTGAAGGCTGTGGCACACTTCCCCACTTTGCACCGTATCGATCATAACCAAAATTGAGCCTATGAGGTTATCTGTCATAGTGTCGGAGTTGAAACGCACTTTCCTAGGCTGACCCAGATTTGCTCCGTATCTACACGGATTGGATCGAGATCTTTGTTTTATCAAAGTAAGGCGGATCAGCACTGCCAAGGCCGGGCGATGTTAACCAAGCAACCCCCTGCACGGTAACGCGTCGAGGCGTCGAAATCGAAAACAGAGGATCTGGGCCCGCTTCTGCGAGACAATCGATCGCCACCGCGACTGCCTGGTGGAGGTCGCAGCTCCCTTCCCACAGCTGTCGACGCGGTGTCGTACAAGACCTTTCGTACTACACTGCAGGAAATTTGTACGGAGGTCGGCATCCAGGCCGACCTGTGTCCCCACGACCTGCACCGCGGCAGAGCGACAAAATGGGTTAACCGCTTCGGCTAGCGGGGTTGGGAATGAGGGGGACCCAGAGGTGGAGCTGGAGCACATGAGCACGTACTTGCATGGGCATCTAGGTAGGCTGGTTCTCTTTCTCGGACTTTTTGGAAACTTCAAAACTTTAATCCCCCAACGTCTTGTGACTTTTTCACGATCTGCATGGCGGTCGGTGTTGCTCGCTGTATTAACTGCGCAGAGGAGTGGTGAGATGGTTGGCCCCGACATGGTCGACATGGCTGTTTTTCCGCTGTTTCACTCAGTCCTTGGTACCATCCGCAAATAGGTCATCGTCTTTACACAAGCTACCTGCTCCTCATACGTGCCATACGCCGCACTACAATCGTTTATTACCCGCCTTTCAACAATTGCTATGTTAAAAGTCTTTTTGAATCGCATCGCAGCAACGACGTCCCTTTTCCGCAGCAACGAATATAATGATGTGAGACACCATTGCGCCGAAGCGCCATGAAAAGCCCCCCCGTTCTTTTTTATGCATCACATACACACACATACGACAATCTACCCACACCACACATGAATGCTAAATCTCCAGAGTAGCGTCTCCTCTTTCCCGAATTCCCAGGCCTTTGCCCGAGTCATAAGTACGCATAATTGTCTGCGATGTAAGTAGTAAAAAGTCTCGGATGGCAGAAGTTCGCGGCATGTGTGTACACGCCTCGCGCCGCCGACGCGCATTGGCACGCGCGGGGGCATTTCTTCACGCCTGTGTTTCCACTTTCCCCCCACTCCCTCCTTGCATAAGCCACCACAACTAAAGCCAAATTACTGGTATGCCGGTAACCGGGTATAGCTTCACGACATTGCCCTGCAGGTGCAAAAGCCGCTGCACGGAAGCCTTCATCTCAAAAGCGTGTTAGCACACCAACTTATTCATGTGCTCCCCATGGCAATCTCCACCCCCAGGCCCAGGTCCTGCTGAAGGGCGGTCGCTGCAGCGCGACCCTAGCGGCTAGTAAGTCTTCCACCCCCCATTAATGCCAGCCACAACTTCCCGTCCATGGACGTTCGGCTCTGCCCAACTACCACCTGCGCAAGCACACGACCATTCGAGTTCCCTGCAAAATGCCTGAAAATCATCTAGAATTAGACCCACGCTGCGTTTGATGCACCCCCATCTTCGCAGCCTACCAACAGCTTAGCTTCACTACCGCGGGTATGCGGGTTGCCCTGATCCGTTCTTGTAGGCGCAGCTCGTGCCGCGGGAGCTGTCCCAGCCCCAGAGCCGGCCGTAATTATCCGCACGTGCAGTACTCCAGGAGGGCGAGTCCGGGCATGAGGGGGAGTTGTCCCACACGCTACCCTTATTATAATACTCGGCCACATTGCCGCTCTGCGTGCGAGAGATATCGAACGGTGGGTTGGGACGCAGGGTGGGTGACTAATGTGATGAAAGCGAAACGCATGTCCGCGCCACATGTCCGCGTTGGAAACAAGGGGCAACGTGAGCGCCATTTGTGAGCCCTAAATTAAAGAAAACCTTCCACAGCTCGGCGCACAAAGATTAACCTCCATGCGACTGATACCTCCGCAATTGGGGTTCCTGGCACAACGTCGGCGCCATAGGACGTTGTCCTCTCCATGGAAAGCACACCTACCCACCTGCAGATCCGAGTAGAACAGGGGATAGCCACGGGCATCGCGGAAGACACAGCCCTGACCATTCTCGTAGCCCCACAATCGCCCCTCGCTGTCGGGCTTGGCACCCCACGTAGGCGGCTGACTGCAGCGGGGTGCATCGAACCAGCCGGACTTGCTAGTGCCTTTAGGCACGTATCCGGGTTGAGCGGACCAGTCTCCTGAACGGATTATAGCAACACAGGTTGGAGGATAGTTTACAGGCGGAGGGAAGTGGGGCTACTAAACAAGTGACATGCTAAACAAGTCCTAGCCGGATGCGTGATGACTTGCCTGTCGTCCAACATCTCCCACTTTACTCCCCTAAAGCCAGTATCCCCTAGCTTTCCCCGTCGCTTCGCAACCCTATTTTCTTGCGCCGCTGTACATACTGCCCGTACACCTACCCGTAATCAGCGCCGCATAGTAGAGCACCTTTCCGTCCGAGCCCTTAAAGACGCATGCCCTGCAGCGCTCATGTGATGGTAAGTTTAGGGCGATGGTATGCACGGCGATCATATCCACGACGATTGTGTGCACGACAATGGTTTGACAATTAGCAAGGATTATAGCGCACGAGAAAACCATAGCGCACGAGGTTATAACGCACGAGAGGATTATAGCGCACGAACACGAGAGGATTATAGCGCACGAGAAAACCATAGCGAGAATCACGCGCGGTACACGTCAACCTCAACACCCCTCCCTTTAGGCAGAGGGCATTTTTCCCCGCCCGCCCACCTGCCATCCTGCCAGCCCCAAAGGTAGCCCACGTCGTCGGGCTGTGAGGTCTCCATCATGGGGCCGCCAGAGCAGGTGGGCGCCGTGCGAACGTCGCCTGTGGCGTAGTCCATGGGCTTCATGGTGGTGCTGCTGAAGGTTGCTGTGGCAGTAGCAAAGGCTGAGGAGAAGGAAGCCGCGGTGGCGGACAGCACTGCATTGCCAGAGCCCTTAAAGGCGCAGGACCTGAAGCTCTCCCAGCCCCACAGCCTGTTATTAAGGGCGCCCCCGGGAAAAAGCAGTAATCCAGCAGGGAAGAATAGCGGTTGTTAGAGACGCATGTGGAGGGGGAAAAATTCTATAGCGTGTTGGAACACTGCTCGGGTCGCGTAAGTCCTTGCTATTCTGTCACACATTCTTGACTCATTTAAAAAAAAAGTTATAGCAAAATTAGAGCACATGGGTAAGTCCCCCGCCTGACGGGCAGTCCGCGTGTGCCATGAACTGACTGTTGCGGTCAGTCAGCTGTAAGAACTGGCCGCTGAAAAAGCCTCTCGATTTCATGGCAGTGTGCATTGGCGCGTATTTATAGGCAATGTGTGGCGTACTGTACGATAGCTACTACAGTCACTCACCGGCCCTTGCTATCGGCCTTTGAATTGCTGGTGGTCGGGTCAGCGGAGCAGGCCGGAGCAGTGGTCCACCCGTCGTTGAGGTCTGCGAAAGCCGTGGTGCTGCTAGAGCCGCTCCGGAACGCACAGCTTCGGCCGTTCTCCCATCCCCACGACCTGAAATCAGAAATTGGGAAAGCCGTGCAGAAAGCAAGATACGCACCCTATCACCCTTTTCTCTAATTCGCAAAGTCAAGCTCCGCCGAGAATGTTACGAGACAACCCTTTCGGTCTTCCTTCCCTTTCGGCCTGCACACAAGCTGGCATACAAGTCGTTGTTACCTGGCCTGTCCGTCAGATGGTCGCGGACTGGTGCCAGAGCAAGCTTGCACGATGTCCCACAGACTCGCGGGATTGCCGGCGCTGTCACGATACATGCAGCTCGACCCGTCCTCATTGGTGCTCCAGTACCTGCGGCGGTTTGGCATCATGCAAGTGTTGGGGCTTAAACGCCGTGTTGCGTGTAGCATCGCTCCTGAAGCGCGACGTTCACAAGAGATCATTCCGCCGTACCGCGCCATACACGTGAACAAGTGTGCAAATGTCCCCTCGTGGATTTTATTTTACACCGACCTTCCATTGTTATCGGATACAACATTGGCGGTAGCAGGCCAGGTTGTGCAGCTAGGAACCCAGGAGCCTAACAGGTGGCGATGGGCATGACGGGCTTGGCGGCGGGCCCCAGCGCTGCGGTCTTGTTTCCGATGAAAAGTGCCCGCGGCGGCAATAGCAGCGTTGGCGGGGCCTATGGCAGCTGCGTCTGCGGCGGCAGCGGCGATAGCCATACGCGACCTCAGATGCTGACCTCCCGAAGCGGCGGATAACCTGCGCGACTGGCGCACGTTGACGCTTCGCACCATCCGTCGATGGGTGGCCGAGCCCGGGTTAACGGCAGCGTTTGCGCCACCGGCGCTGGAACCTCGGAGAAGCGGCGATGTCATGGCCTTTGCCGGTGCAGCTTGCTGTGCTGGTGTGGCGTTGGGGCTGGGCGCAGTCGGAGGAGGCTGGGAGGCTGGCACGGTTGCTGAATACGTAGCAGCGATGGTGAGTGCATTGCCCTGATCATCGCGGTATGCGCAGCTGGTGTTCGAATCGTGCAGCCAGCCCCACAGGCGGCCTTGAGCGTCGGGGACGGCTGTGTCCAGGGAGGGTGAAGTGGGGCACCTGCACGGGTGACGGGCAACGAGACACATTCGGGGTTCGTTGCAAATTAATTTATAATGGTAATTCCTTGGCGCACACCACATGCCTTGAAAGTGAAATGACTGGCACCGCGTGATTCGTCGATTTGCCTATATGTTCGTCGTTCCCAGGCCATCATGAAAGCTGCGTAACGATGCTACCGCACGATTGATACTACTTTACTGGTGCTGCACTTCTCCACTCGGGAGTTTATTTTTGTTAAGCCATTTTGTGAAGCCACCAAAACGCACATACCTGGCGGCCGTGACCCAAATGCGCAGAGGCAGTTGCTGCAGGTCCTTGAATGCACAGCTAGAACCCACTTCGAATCCCCAAAGCCGGCCGGCCGCATCGACGCGACTGCCCTCCGCCACGTCACCCAGGCAACGTGGCGCCGTCACCCAGTCGTACACGGGTGCACCGGCTGCGTCCTTGTAGCAGCACGACGCGTTGTTCTGCCAGCCCCACAGCCGACCGCGACTGTCCATGACGCTGTCATACTTGGTGGGTGCCGTGGCGCAGGCGGGCCAGGCACGCCACGTTATGGACGGTGCTGTGAGCACGGCACCCTGCACGTGAAACCACAACAGGTCGGCGCCGGGACACAAAAACACGAGAGCGAGTCAATTGCAATTAATGACCGGCAAGGTGTCAACCTCGCACCACAAGAAATGCGCATGTTGCAGTCCTCAATACATGGACATCACAGACAGAAATAACAACAACAGGAATAACAATAAACATAAACAAGAAGCATCAAGGTACGTCGGGCTACAGGCTACATCGCTGATTTGTCTTGCAGCGACGTGAGTGGTGCCAGCACATGGCGCCGCGTGCTACGCGTGGTCTTAAAACTGGGGAAGGAAGCACAGCTGTGCTGCATGCAGCGGTCCCGTAACTGGCCCTGGCTGGACCCGCGACCCGTGTAGTCACCCGTGTAATCATCTCGTCGACGGTCACAGGCTGCACGTCAGTAAGGTTGGCAGAGCCCGCCGGGAACTTCAGAGGTGTATTGTCGGCGGCCTTGTATGCGCATTCGCGCCCAAGTTGCCATCCCCAGAGCCGGCCAAGGGCGTCGCTTTCCGAAGTAATTGACTCGGGCTTGGCAGAGCAGCTGCAAGGCACGTAAACAGGGAGCCATGAGGAAAAGAGGAAAATAAAGGAAAAGGGGGGGGGTAAGGAAGTCGTTGCGTTGGGGCCAGAACGACGTCGACGCGTGTCCTCTCAAATGAAGAAAAAGACATTGCTGAAAGGAGGCACGTGGTTTGTTTTGTAAATGCCTGGGTGATTTTGTAGAAAGGCTAAAAGCACTAGCACTTTTGACACGATGCACAAGGAATGATGACAAAGGATGACCAATGATGACAAAGTGCATCCCGCCCAAAACCGAGTCCGTAGTTGTGCATTGCTTCAATCATCATTTTAACTCACAATGGTGACCCAGATGAAATAGTAAAAAAACAGAAAGCTTCATGAAAGCGCATTCGATTATTCTCTTGATCATCGCTTCATACCAATCAGATAAATTTTTGCTAGCTGCATCAAGCAACGCATCCGTCAACTCCTCCGCCGTTACCGTGCCCGGATTGACTTACGCAGGTGCGGTGAGGAAATCGTAGAGCGGCCGGTCGCTATCGGCTGCCTTGAAAGCGCAAGAGCCCTCGAACTGCGTTCCCCACAAGCGGCCTTGGTCGTCCGCGGTGGCAGTGAAAACGGAGGGCGGCGCGAGGCAGCGGGGCGCGGTTTCCCAACTGAAGATTGGACTGCCGGACGCGTCCTTGAAGGCGCAGGATGAGCCAACCGTGGTATTCTGCGCGCTGGCGGAGGTGCTGTCTACAAGGATGCCCCATCGGCGGCTGTAGTTGTCCATGACGCTGTTGTAGGGCGTAGGTTGGGTGATGCATGCTGGGCTCGCCTGCACAAATGGAGCGCCCCAAAGATGGCAGTGCGCGACAACGCATTAAAGATGAATGAGCCATAGGTCAAGGGACGATAACACTGAATCGCTTATAGCATAGTTACGCTGGATGGACGATGGCACAGTTATCGAGTTATGAATTGCTTTGGTCATGTCCAGGAACTCGCAGCTAGCTTGAACGCGTGGCAAGCAAAACGCGGACGGACGCGATGTGCATTTTCCGCATTCCTTGGGCGCGGGATGGAGAGACATGTGCTGCGTGCATTCCGTCTATTACGGTAATGACTAACAATGCGCGTAACACTGTAGGTAAAAGCGAGCCTAAGCGAGGCCGAGGTGGAAAAATGCCGCCGAAAGCAATCATAAAGGCAGTGCCTCACAATCCGCTAAGCTTTTCAGATCAAAACCCTAAAGGCCCAGACCAGAGCCGACCTCCCAAGTGGTCGTCGGTTGTCCAGCTCCGAACGGATTAGTAGGTGTTATGAAGATAGTCGTGTTTAACGTGGGCGAGGTGAAGACGACGACTTGTGGTGACGCCTACGAGGTGCGAACATTCATACGTGACCTGTAAACCGAATCAATTGGTAATTGAGCTTTCAGGTGCAAAGTACGATGTGCAAACACTTTTCGGCGCGTGCTCAAGCTGCGAAAGCAAGCGAGAACCAGGCAGCTGCAAGGACCCGCGGCTCCTAAGCTCGGGAAACGACATTATTAATGAAAGACGACACGGGCAAAGGAGAAGAGCTGAAGTAGTCATCGCTCGCATAAAACTGAGGAAGTGAAAAGTTGCCAACGGGAGTTGTGCGACAGCAGCAGACAATCGCCCGTAAAGAACAGACTGCTGCAGAGCAGCAGAGCACGCGGATAACATGCGACATCATATGTTGTTAGCTTGGCTTAAGGAAGCAGTATTTGCATGTTTTTTATACAACCTACTCTCCAACAATTGGGTTTTAGCAACAAACGTTTGTGTGTGTGTGTGTGTGTTTGTTTGCACAGCGCTCATGCGAGCTCACCTGAACCGTCTGGGACCTAGCGCCAGGTTGCACAAAAGCTGCTGCTATGGCCAGGCGAAGCACCAACGAACAGAACCGCAATACATGATGGGATGGCCGTAGCCGCGGTTCGCTTGGTTGCATTTGTGCTGTCTCAAGAGCTGCGACCCGCGTTGAAACAAAATCGGTCCAGCTTTTGTAGGACACTGCTCCGTGTTGACGATAATCTACGCCGTAGGGATCCTGTCCTTGTCCGAAACCTGGTTGGGGTTGGCCGTAAATTGGCTGTAAAATCGAATGGAGTCGAGAATAAGTTAGGGGGATCACGCGTGGCAAGACTGGGAGTAGAAAAGAATATAGCCCCCAAAGCTATTAATACATCATAAATAGGGCTTACTTGTACGTAACCATGCGTACCTGGGTTTGCGAACGAATTTAGAACTGAAATCCCCCGCGCCATGCAGCCAATTTTTCCAGCGTACGGCATACTCTTTCGGAGGGCAATCGTAAAATGTTTTCGATACAAAAGCCTGCAACCCAAAAATTTCGCCTTCAAAGTAAGCTTTAAGTTTCCGCCTCGTGATTAGCGCGGATAATTTATTTGAGGCAACATAGGGCTATCTGCCCTCACTTTGCCATCGGCGACGAGCACTGCCTCGCTGACAAGTTGTTCTTCGCTGACGCTCTTCATCCTTCAATAGCCTAACCAATCATGACGTCTAACATAGGAAAGCTGGCCGCCTTGGTGCTGCTGGCACTAATGGCAGGTGAGACGTTTCGGAGATCGCGTTGCCTGGCGGCAGCCTGCGGCAGCTTGCCGCCGCAGAGACGATGCGCAAATTCTGGGAGAAATGAATGACATAATTACTTTTTCCAATATTCGTGACACGGACGCGTGTCCGTAAGCTTGTGATTTTTACCGCAGAACGGTTCAAGCAGAACATGACTAAGCTAGTTATTGTCCGGTCCACGTCATGAGTCTTCTCTAACCGGATCATTGCGACAAGCAAAAATCATGATAAAACATTATTTTCCTGAAATCCATTTTGCAGGGCACAGCCTTGCTGCTCCGAGCTTCCGCGCAGCTCAGCGACGCCTATCATCCAGCGCCTACGCCTCTGCCGTCGCTACCTCCGATGGAAGTGGCCCGCCCTCGATCGCTTCAACGTCATCTGTGGCTGGACCTGGGCAGGACGTGAGCTCTAGCGTCGTCGTTTTCAACGGCGAGACAAAGGTTAACACCTCCACCACGACGAAGACAACGACGACAAGCGCGACGACGCAGCAACAGGTAAGCGACATCCATCGTGATGCAGATTACCTCGTATGTGAATCCCAACTCGATATGGGTCAGCATTTATTTGGGGCGGTCTGCAATTTAGTTCATAAAAATAACGCCCCTTTTCCTCGATAATAATGCTTCGTTCTTGCACCTTTGCATTGGCAACTGCATTGTAGCTTAAAATGTGATGTACCTTCTGTTGCCAGCAGCATTTAATCCCTGCTGCCAACAACCCCGCAGACGCCCAACCCCACCTGGGACGCTGCGCCAGCCTGCACCGAGAACGCAATTGGCGATGTAGTTGTCGACTTCACCGGCCACAGTTGGCGCTTCGAAAATGGCAAGAGCTGCGCCGTCCGCGGCAACGGCATTACACTTGCTTCGCATGTCCAGCCTTCTGACAACCCTGCCGCCACTACAGCCGCCACTACAGCCGCAACGGAGCTCCCAGCGGATTTCGTGGCTGCGCCCGCGTGTCGTCAGCAAACGCTCTCCAGCGCCACCGCCGATGCCAGCGGACGCAAGTGGGGCTGGGAGGACGGCAAATCTTGTGCCTTCAAGGACGAGAACGGGCGGCCCATTATTAATCTGCTTGTCAAGGTGAGTCAGCAGCGGAGCTCGCTGTATGACGGCTGTATGACGCAAGAACTTTAATGTGGGTCAGGCGTTGTCTTACACAGCAGAAGATTGTTTATAAAGGTTTTCTCGTGTTTAATGTGTGGTCTGCATTTTCAACACGGATGACAATATTTTGTCTTCACTGCGCCCCAACGTGTTGGAGGAGGTCGTATGCCGTTGCAGTAATCGTGCATCACATGCGTCAGTAACATGCTCCTTATGATCGCCTTAACGTTTCTGCCGTTTCTGCCGTTTCTGCCGTTTTCTATCCTACCCTCAGCCCACCAACCGGCGTCTCCTAGGAGCAAGCGCATACGCCTCCGCCTCAGCCAGCGCCTCCGCCCTTGCCAGCTCAGCCGGCCCCAGAAACTCTGTATCCGCCTTCGCTGCCGCCAATTCAGCTGGTAGCTCGCAATCGTCGGCAGCCGCGACCGCCGGAGCGGACGTAGACGCTGGTGACGTGAATGGCGATATGTTTGGCGGCAATGCTGGAGGTACCAGCGGTGTTTCAGCATCCGGCTCAGGCGCTGGTGCGGCCGCCGACGGCAAGGCTTCCTCCGCCGCTGGCGCAACCTCAGGCGCTGGTGCGGCCGCCGACGGCAAGGCTTCCTCCGCCGCTGGCGCAACCTCAGGCGCTGGTGCGGCCGCCGACGGCAAGGCTTCCTCCGCCGCTGGCGCAACCTCAGGCGCTGGTGCGGCCGCCGACGGCAAGGCTTCCTCCGCCGCTGGCTCGACTTCAGGCGCGGGTGCGGCCGCCGACGGCAAGGCTTCCTCCGCCGCTGGCGCAACCTCAGGCGCTGGTGCGGCCGCCGACGGCAAGGCTTCCTCCGCCGCTGGCTCGACTTCAGGCGCGGGTGCGGCCGCCGACGGCAAGGCTTCCTCCGCCGCTGGCTCGACTTCAGGCGCGGGTGCGGCCGCCGACGGCAAGGCTTCCTCCGCCGCTGGCTCAACCTCAGGTGCTGGTGCGGCTGCCGACGGCAAGGCTGCCTCCGCCGCTGGATCAACCGCCGACGGCATCTCGGGCGCCGCAGGTGGATCGGAGGGCAAGGCCGCTTCAGTACCCTCCTGTTCCGCCGCACCGGCGAAGGATAACTCCATTTCGGTAAGTCCGTATGGGTTTGGGACGCGTGCGGTGTTCAGCAGCCATTCCAGCGCTTATGGAAAGTAGTGGCTGTATCGTCACGAATCTCCTTGAAAAGCCATGGGACATTTTTGGGCCTACATGATCACGTAATGATGTACGTGGGCAAACACGATATGAGCGATCCATATTTCACGCAGTTCTTATGGTATTATACCTACTTTGCTCGCTTTTTTGCTCGTTCATTCGTGAATGCTGCTTCAGCAGCGATCCTTTAGTAGCTGGCCGCTCCTTGCGTCAACCGCACATGAGCGATATGTGCAGTGCTCTTATGGATAGTAGTGAAAGCACGCACACGCACACGCACACGCACACGCACAGAACTGTTCATCTGATCACTTGTTGAGCCGCCTTGCAGGATGCATCTGGTGCTCTGTGGGGTTGGGAGAACGGACAGTCCTGCCGTTTCCCATCGTCAGCGTCTGCATCTGCGGCTGCCTCTGCGTCTGCTGCGGCTCAGAGCTCTGCCTCCCCCTCACCCGCTACCGCATCCGCCACTCAAGCTGCTGCTGCCGATTCCGCTGCCAAGGCTGCTGGAAGCTCCTCAGCGACCACAGCAGCCAACGCTGCATCGTACGATTCGGCACCGGTCTGCTCTCCTGCCGTACAGCGGTCCAGCACCACTGCTGATGGTAATGGCCGTCTGTGGGGCTGGGAGAACGGACATTCTTGCCGCTTCGACTCCGCTGCCAACGCTGACTCCGCTTCGACTGCCGCTGCCAACGCTGATTCCGCTTCGACTGCTGCTGCCAACGCTGACGCCTCCGCCTCCTCGCGTACAGCGGCATCCCAGCCGGCCGCCACCCGTCTTTCGCCAACCCCTGCTGCTTCTGCCGCGGGTAAATCCGTCTCAACCGAGAGCTCGCCTTCGCCTAATCCACCGGCTAACGCTGATGCTGCCGCTGCGGCAGCTGCACAGCAATGGCCCTCGACCACTGGCGGCTCTGCCTCCGCCGACGCTTCCGCCAAAGCGTCCGATAATGCGGCTACCAACCCCGCGCAGCCTCCTGCTAATGCTAAGGCCACCGCTGCAGGCGCTTCTCAGCTACCATCTAGCGCTCCGTCTCCAGCAGCAGGGGCCACTAGTTCCGCTACGCCTGGTGTTACAGACGCTTCTGCCGCTGTCCAGTTCGCAGCACACGCCGAGGCTACCGCGTCTGCCAAGGCAGCCGCGTCCTCTGGTGCTGTCGCCGCTGCACAAGCCTCCGGCAACGCGCAGGCGACTGCAACAGCTGAGGCGCAGGCGGCTGCTGACTCCGTTTCAGCGGCTGCTCATGCGGATGCGATGGTGTCGCTGACGGCAGATAACAGCAGCGCGGCCCCGGCTGTTGCGGAGGCCAAGTCTTCCGCTGTTGCCTCTTCAGGCCCTGCAAGGCAGCGCCGTATGATGGCTCGGCGGTGAAAACGGGTAAATAGATTTCCTTTAGGTAGACCTGGAGGAGAAGTCGTCGTCTGAAGAAGTTGATTTGAGAAGATGTGTAGGGATTCGCAGGGTTCGCATTTCGTAGGAACCGGTGGTACGGTGGTTGGATAGCGCTTTTGCATTGTGGCCTTGCGCCTATGTGTCTACTCGCTAGCGCAGTGGTAGGAGGAGTTTTAATGAAAAGCACGAAGCTGTTTTGAAGCAAAGGAACGGGAGAAGGAACTGGGCGAGGATTGGAAATGAGTGTGACCTGGTACGATGCATGCCCGCCATGCTAATGCCCATCGTACGTTTTATGGAGACGGCACGTTTCCCTAAGCAGGACATCGGCCGGCGAAATTGCAAAGACCTTCCCTACTCGAGAATGTAACACTGTTGCCACTGCTGGGTGCTTTGCTGCTAGATTACAAAAACGTTCGATGCAATGCACTTCCCTGAGGTGTACAAACATGGCCGTCTTGTTGCTCTTGCAAGATAACTACCCCATGATTTGCTTGCTGAACCTATCTCAAACCGCCATCTCAAAAGGCTTTTCTCCGACAGAAACGTTCAGCGGCAGCCCGCGCATACACAGTATAACACAACTGTGTTTGACTGTACAACATATCTGAAACTCCTAGAATACAACATTTATACACATCCCAGTAGAAGAGGTCCTCGGCCACACCCTGTTCCACCAGAATTGCCAGCGGTCGCGGGGCCTGCCTCCCTCCCTCTTAACAGAGACCGGTCCAGAAACCGCTCCAGATCAGATTTGCACTGGAAAATCTGCGCTCGATTCCAACTGTTATATCAGGACTTAAGGAAAGTACCGATCATATTCCGTGATACGCCCGTACCGATTAAATTCCGTTTGCAGGAGAGAGGGGTTGAAGGGTCCATGCTCTGCAGTCGCTGATTCGGCGTACGACATGGTTACAATGGTCATCAAGACCATACATACATACCTGGAGCCCTGATGAGGGCGCCGAGGGCGCTAAGGGGGCCGAGGGCTGTCCGAAACAAATAGGATCGTAATCTTATCACTTAACAAGTTGGGTGTCGGCTTCAAGGAAGCCGGAAAAAGGGCGGGGCCCCTCTGCATCCGTACAGGCCGGTAGCAAGGGTGGCAAGGGTGACAATTGATGGGTAGTGTCAACGCGGTGGGAGATATGCTTTGTTGCAGCAGTGCTGATGGTGTGAGAGCTAAGCTTGCACCGGCGGAATCGTCAGCACCGCCTGCGGGCTCCACGCGAATCGCATCCATTCCGGGTGCATGCCGCATGGACAGTGCGGCAGACCGCAAGTCGGAATGCCCGTGCGGGCAAATGGTAACGAAAGCTGGGTGAATTTCGGTGCTGTCTGTGATGTTTATCCCCGAAGCGCCAGCGGCCTCAGCAATCTGCCCCACAGCCGCGGGGTTCATCGGGGCACACCGCAAGTCTCAGGAGGGAGGCCCCGTGCATTGGCCAAAGTAAATGTACAAACAAGGAGCTTGTGTATTTCATAGAGAAATGAAAGCAAATTATGTTGGCCTGCTGGTGGCAAGTCGGATTGCCCATGCCGGCAAATGGTAACACAAGCTGGGTGTTCGAGTTATCATACGCCGTCATCTCAGAATTCCATTGTGAGATACGCGGCAGCTTTTGGGATGAAATTTAGCGCGAGAGGCGTTGATGTGGCTTTTGAGGTCGGTGAATGGAGGCAGCTAAACTTGTTTGTGCTCATACGGTCTTTGTTAGCTACATGCGAGATACCTTGCAATAGAGAATGCTGTATAGTACCGATAACGCGTTTCAGCCGGGCGAGATATTATGCTTGGTCCGTTACACACACACACACACACACACACACACACACGGACATGGGCAATCCTACAGGTCGGGGCCCCCCTGGGCGCTTCGCGCTGGGGCCCCGCCCAAAAAGAAACTAACTATGTGGAACTAACAACTATCCAAACTGCTATCCCTTCGTAGTTTGCCTACTACCTGCTATTGAAAGAAACCGTCCTTAGCCCGATAGGTACAGTGGCTAAGATTCGCCAATTTCAGTTGTGCTGGTCATCTGCAGCCACCACCATCACACATCTTCCATAACCTGATCCAGCTCCTGTAACCAGACAGGAAGTCCCTGCATTCATGTGTGTGTATGTGCTGCTGGGCACGGGGTGCACCCCCCCCCCCCCACACACACATACATACAGCACCTGTGTTTCGTCTTCCACGGCTTGGAGCTCGCAAAAGATCCTTGCATCAGATCCCCTGCTCGCGCGCGACACCCAACACCCCCCCCCCCATAAGCCCGTTTGCGTGCTTCTAACGGCCAGCAACGTAAACGAAAACGCATATATAGCCGAGCACAGGGGCGCGTAGACAGACGGACAGACAGACACAACGCCAAGCACCCCAATACTTCATCCACAAGGAAAAAGTACCCAAACTAATGGGTAGATGGAAAATAACCAAAAGCAGTCACGAGCGACCACGCCATGCCCACCATCAACACACACACACACACACACACACGTGCGCTCTCTCTCTCTCTCTCTCACTTTCAAGTACACACATATTTCGAATCCTTAGGTCCTCGCTTGCCGCCATCGAGATCCGTATGTATGTATGTGTGTATGCAGACACATATGAAGCTGGTATAAACAGTCAGCACGCCAACCCTAATGCATCAAATATACTGGATCCTTCTTCCTAAGCACCCTCCGCCTCCCCCTCCTCTTCATGCTCCTTCCCCCCGCCCTCCCCTTCGCTGGCCGACGAAAGGCTAGGGCTGCCGCCACCGTCGCCACCCTTGTGTGATGCTCCCGCTCCGCCGCCATCGGCGCCGACACCGCGCCCCCGGTAACGCCGCCGCGCTGACGGCGGCTCCGGGGCTTGTGTGTCGTACACCAGGGTACGGTTCTTTTGAAGCCGACACTGCCAACGAGGAAGGATGAAAGCCACATTGCAAAGGAAGGGAAGGGAAAGGGGTTTATGAGCGGAGCGGGAAAAAAGCCAGGAGTGTGAGAGGGATGGTCGGCCCTAGGTGGGGAGGGTGCAGGTGTGTATCGGCTGGGGGGGAGGGTGGGGATAGACGACCCACATGAACGAGTGAAGCTGCTGCCAAGGAAAGAGTGTACAAGAAACATAACTGACCAGTAGGCGGTTTTGAAGGCGGCGACCTCGGGATGGAAGTAATGAAGACGACCGCGGAAAACTACCTACCTACCTAGCCGCCAAGAAAGTAAGAGCGGAAGAAAAGCAGTAGAACGAAGCCGTAAAAAGAAGTAATGGTTGGTGTAGAGGCGGTGAAAAAGTAGGAGGGGGAGGTGACGCGTCTGAGAGATAGGGCTATGGCTAGGGACAGCCAGCTACCCCTCCCGCTACCCATGATGGTGACTTCGTGGGGGTTATGTCTCATTGCGCCCACGCGCGGTTGCCCTCTCCGTCGACCTCTCACCGCGTCCACCTTGATCTTGAGATTGTCCAGGAGGCCGCGGTACATGGCCTCATCTCCCTACGTACAATAGTGATGTACAGTACGATTGCATACGCAAAGTACGTATGGTGTGAAGTACAATCGTACCACGGCATGGCGGAGAATAAGGTGCTTGACGTGCCAGGGCAACGATACCACAGACATACATGCAAACACACTATATCGTATCGTACAGTTTGATCGTACGTCGTACCTCAAGTTCGTACAGTAACGACGCGACCGCCTCGACTGTGCTGACTCTGCAGCATTACAGCATTGAGCCCAGTAGTTATACACTGTGTTGTGAATTAAATTGAATTGAACTGAATTGTGTAACAATTCAAAATTCAACTGTGTTGTGTCATGTCATGTCATGTGATATCACACCAGCAGTGTCATGTCAGCACAGACAAAGTCAGGTCAATACTACTAGCCGGCACGTCGAAAAGGCCAAAAACGACAAAAAGTACAAATCGTCTGAGGACGTGCTTCAGCAGAGTAGCAGGGATCCCCGTCACGCAGCAGGGGGGTTGAAGGTGAGGCTGTCTGAGAGGCACATGCTGGTGGCGCGCGCATCAGAAGCTCCGCAATTTTCCGGCCACTGCGCATCTGTTTTGTCGTAGTCGAAATAGTCGGTCTCCCTCCATTTAATCGGATTTTTTAATTCCCTAAAACGGTTTATGAACCACAAACCCAAGACCCAAGACCTGGCGGGGGATAAGTACGCCTGCAAGCCCCGTACAATTTGCGTAATCCGTACTATCAACATGCAACCTGCCGCAACTACCCGGCGGCCCACCTGCCGCTCTCCAAATCGCCTCGGTATCTTCTGACGGGTCGCAGCAGACTCAGCTTGTTCTCCTAATCAGGCAACAAGCGTACGTACGGTAACATTTAAGGTTAAGATAATATGGTAAAAATGGTAAAAATTTAAGAGAAAGATAATATGGTCAAATTCTATAATTTACACCAGGTATTGAAATGAGATTGACAATGGGGATTTTGTCACCCTCAATGCCCACTATGGCGAGCCAACGGGGTTTACAACGGTCCCAACGAACTCCCTTTCTGTGAGGATTTAATCCCGCTTAATAAAATATTTTCAAATTCAGCAGCGAGTTGACTTGCTGTAGAGTTGCCAAACTGCCAGAGGAGCCAAATTGCTAATAATCATCCATCGCGTAATGTGCCGTGTACGGGAAATGTGTCAAAATGTGTCGTACACAGCCACGCCAGCTTTACTCTGTGAAGCATCACTTGGTGTCAGTTTCTATGGAAGGTTGTTACGCTGCTGTACCGTACAATGCCGTACCTTGAGGGTGCTCTCCGGGGGTAATCGAACCGTCAGAGTCTGTGTGGTGGAGGGGGCAGAACGGGCGACGGTTGTGGTAGTTGCGGCGGTTATGATGGTGGTTATAGTGGTAGAAGTAGTGGTGGTGGGTGGCAGGAAAACGGTGGCTGCGGCAGAGGCGCAAGAAAAGAAAGTCGAGCAGAACGATTCATGTGATCTGCAAGCGTTGATGACCGCAACCGCGACCGCAACTACCCCAACCAATCCCCTCCGAAACCAGCTCCGAAACCAAACTCTTAGTTCATACATATACATGGAAAACACACCAGGCTATCCACTGCAATTCCCATTCGTCCATCCACTCATCCAGGACACAGGCATGTAATCACCGTTAAAAATTGCCCGCTCCGAAACCCTTTGGATCCCGTTCATTCACCATGTATCCCTTCCCCAGGCCAGAACAACACGCGCTGTAACTGGACAGTGTCCTAAACAGGACCTTCGCAAAACAGGACACGCCAAGCAGAGCCTAAACAGGACAGTAAAGTACGTGCGGGGGGAGGGATGGCAGTAGCACTCACGCCTTTCGGAAACCAGCCCTGCATGCGCCTGGCATTCCCCCAGGTAGCGTCCAGAGCGACCACCGTGATGCGACCCTCCGTGCGCTGACCAGCCAGCGCCGCCAGCCCCTCGGGAAGGAGAGAGTCGGACCCTAAAAAAAGAAAGTCAAAAGATAAAAATGAGCGGAGTGGGAATCGAACCAGGAATGGCCGGCCGGTAAGGACCCTCCTCAGTAATATCATCAAAACGGCGGAAATGTCCGCGTGCATAACTACGCACAGGGAAATACCCTAAGGGTTGAGGGGGTCTCCGGATGTAAAATGTTGGGGATTCGGATGGGTGCGTGGGGGTTAAGGGTCAGGGCGACGATATGGATCCATTGGATCCAAAAGAGGCCGCCGGCTCCGCAATGCTCCATCCACATCTTGGGGGTGCGAGAGCGGCCCCCTTCGCAGTTCGCACGAGCACCTGCAGCAGGGGACCCGCACCCCACCCCACCCGACCCGACCCCACCACACTACACCACAGCCCAAGCGCCATCATCCCAACTATTCAAAAAAGTTCCTCTAATCGCACGTCCTCGTGTATGTATGTACGTGAAAACGTACGACACGAAAACAGCACCAGGCCCACCACACGCACCAGGCCACAGCAGCGCTGTCGTACGAGAGGTGTCGTTCAGGATCTCCCGCATTGCGACGTCGTGGTCCTGCAGTTCATTTCATTGGCGGTGGTGGAGGGTAGGGAAGGGGGGTGGAGGGAAGGGAGGTGGAGGGGAGGGGAGGGGGGTGGAGGGGAGGGGAGGGGGGTGGAGGGGAGGGGGGTGGAGGGGAGGGGAAAGATGAAGCACGAACGAGTGAAGGGACGGCAGGGGGAGGGGAGGAGAAGAGATGGCGAATGAGGGAACGACGGTCGCGCAATATTTCCCCTACCGGCTAGGGGCTGGGCGGCGGTGGTGCCGGCGGCTTGGGGCATCACGAGATGTTGGTAAGGGTGGATATTCTAATCATATCTTCATTGGTTGACCTCATAATCAAACTACTAATTGAAAGTTATGTACGTAGCAATGGTGGCTGCATCAGCAGCTTCCTGGACCCAAAACGTGTGTACGAAAGGACGACACATACATAAATACGGTACATACGGCATGTGCATCCGAGAAAGACCAAACACCTTTACATAATTTGATTTAGTACGACAAAGGGTTAGTACGACAACCCGATAATCACACCGCATACTTACGGGATGGCCGTACAGTAGGATCTCAGATCCCTCCAAGGAGGCTGGAAGAATACAGCCGCTGTTGCTCGCAGAGCCCCTGGTGGACGAGCACAACCACCATAACCGCCACAACCACAAAATCCTTAACGGCCGCAACATGTCCAACAGTCCACGCTGTGATCTCATGATTCAATATCCTTAGCGGTAAGGCGACGCGTCTCAAAGCAAGGAGGTTCATTCGCGACAATGCGTGATGGAACTCCGATATCATACTACAGGATCAGGATTGCACAAACATACATACATACATACACACATACATACATACATACATACATACATACATACATACATACATACACATACATACAGCGTATGGTCGCATGGTCATACTGAATTTGTCCCATCCTGTATTTCCCGTTATCTATCTATCTATCTATCTATCTACCTATCTATCTATCTAGCTATCTGTCGCCACATCCCACCTCTCGAAGTCTCCGTGTCCATTCGCCGCACACTCAAACCCGCCACGGACAAACACCCCCCAAAACACGCCACGACCCCCCCACACACACACACCAACCAGCTCACCACTCGCCGTGGTGTGCGTGCACCACCACTCGGGTCTTCTGAGGGAAGTACCGCCCCATGCGACCGCACACACACAGACCCGGAAGAAGCCAACAGTTCGGACAGCTGAACAGCACTTTCCGCCACCTGGTTTCGGATGCGGTTTGGAAAGGTAGAGCTGGTTGAGATGTTGAACGGTGGTTAACACGGTTAACGGAATGTACGAAGGATCAACTATGGAATGCTAACCGAAATCCAATCGTTGCATTGAAAAGCGGGTAACGCAAGGCGCACTGCAATTCAGACAACAGGCAAGAAGTGTGCGCGCGAGGGGTCACGATTTGTTGTACGGCAGAAGCTGTGTACGGACCTCAGGATGTACGACGTACGAAGGGCCATGCGCTCTGTGGGATCACGTGATGGATCGCGCATCGCCGCCACCATCGCCCGCCTCTCAGCATGGCGGCGCCGCCACTGCTCCACAAACGCGCGCTTGCCGGCATCAGGGTTGCCGTCCCAGATGCCGTACAGACGCTGCTGCTTGTGCGAAAGGCCCTGCAGCTGCTGCATCAGCTTGGCAACCAGCTCGTCTTCATTCTCGTACACGCCCGCGAGCAGCTCGTCCAGCTCGTCCCCATTCTCCATCTTGACCAAGCGTCGGTTGGCTTTGGATTTGGGCTCAGATTTTGATTGGTCGGACCTGGATATGGATCTTGCTGGATTTGAACTGGATTGCGATCCGGCCCTGTGCGTTTGGTCGTGCGGTGGACGACCTTGCGGAGACGCCTCCGCCGCTTCGCCAGCAGCAGCAGCGACGACGGCCTCGGTGGTCTTGCTGCTGTTGCCATTGAGTTGTTGGGTTTTATCCGACGGATTTAAGAGTTGCGGATCAGTGGGAGCTTTGGAAGCCTGGGCCGCTGTTGCCATGGTAGCCAAAGGCCGTTTGGAGAATGAGGGCCGGGGCGCGGCTCTGAGGCGGGGAATGCGGTTTTCGTGAGGATGTTGACAGCCGCTAATACTGCGTCGCGCTACACAGTTTCTGGCGTGATGGAAGGTAAGGGATGTTCGTAAGGTTGCTGCCGCCAGCACTCGAGGGTGGGAACGCTGCGACCAGATGGCCAGGTCAGAACCGACGAGGGTACTGCTGGGGAGCAACGCGGCGGGTGACGGCGCCGCGCAGTGGCAGCTGAGTGAAAGTGCAATATTTGGAGTGCAACGGTGTATAATTGTCTCTGGTAACAGGGCGCGGGGGGCCATCGAGCGACTAAGCAATTTAGCGCCGCATCGCAAAAATATTCAAGGTTCACAATGTCCGTTTAATGTTTTGGGCATGTGAAACCATTTCGAGTCTATGCTAGAGCGTACGTTGTCGAACGGACACAGGAAATGATGGTCAATTGCTAGGCAACTGCCTGGCGTACGGCAAGACTGGAAATGCATGCCTGGCCTTTCCTTTCGTAGGTAAGGAATTTCATGAAGGGCTCAAAGACAAGCCTGAACTCTTAAGTTATGCCCAAAACGCTTTAGGAAAGGGACTCAACGGGTTTATGAAGTACAGCGATTCTTAACGGACGCTTCGGTACTTACTGGCTATTGAGGACCTGGGTGTGACAACCTAAAGCATGACCACAACATACAGAGCTGCTTTTGGGAATCCGCGAGCACAGAAGCCAGTTGTCGATAGCCTTCTTGGCCCTCCGGATACCTCATCTGATTCAGCACTTGCAAGGGCCCTATCTGAGGAGGAGAACGGCGTAGCTCCGGATGAGAATGAGCTGGCGTCTCCCAGTGGAGTCAATGTACATTTCAGCATGTGGGAAGGCGGGTCTCACAGTCAAAAACGGAAAGCCGCTGACGGATCACCTTTTCAGCAACAAAGCAATCAAGGTGATGCACCCCATCATCAACAAATCAGCGATGCTGAGCTCGCTCTGCACCTGCAACGCGTGGAGCTGGCGTCAGCAGCCGATGCGACGGGTACATTACCAAGTAAGTTCAACCTCCTCACTTACTGGGCCACGTGTATAGACCACCAAGAGGACACCTTTGAAAACGAAATGGGTTGCCGCAAGCAAAGCCCTCTCTGCCGGGGGTTCTCCGTGCTCACTTAAAGCCCGGACTAGGACGGTGATGAGAATTGACGACGAACGCCAGCTGCCCTCTGGTGAACACCCCCCATCTGTAATCGCGCCTAGATCCAGATTTAGGATCCATCCAGGATCCCGTTTAACTCTGACTGGGCACGATCCGGTTTTGCAGCTATCTTCCAAGCCCACCTACTCCACCAGTAGTTTTACCTTACCCCCCAGGAATACCCCTGCACCCCCCGTTTTCCCCTTGGACACCCCCCCCTGGAGCATCCTCAGGCATGCTGTATCCGGAGCTTTTGGGCCAATGTTCAGCCAGAGAGCAGACCCTCTCCAGAACGCTCAGCCGGGCTCAGTCTGTGCGGGTGGGTAGTACGTCTCTCTTTCAAAAAGTAAAAAACCCTTAAAAGTGTGCCGCACCCACCCACTCCTACCACCTCCATTGTTGTTTTGGGCGCCGTCGTCAATTGGTGCTCTGACTTTTGCACCCCCAAAACTCCATTGCCTTCGCAATGTGAAGTTCACATCCCTCCCTCTCTCGGCCCACCACACCTTTCCCCACACCTCCCCCTACACACACCTTGCCCCCCACACCTTCCCCTACACACACCTTTCCCCCACAACTTCCCCCCCACACCTCCCCACCCCACACACATCCCCCAGGCCAGCCCCCGGGTAGCCGCCTTCTCGCTCCCCCCGCCAGAACCAGTCGTGTCAGCTGACCGCCAGCGGCTGCTCGCCACTCTACGACAGTACGACCTGGTGGAGCGGGAGGTGGCGGGCGACGGCAACTGCCAGGTACTACCCGCCTGTGGTTTCGGAGGAAGCGGGTTGGTGGAGCCTGTCGGTGGCGCCGCCTGTTCTGTCCTGCAGGCGTGTGTGGGGCTGATATCTGAAGGGTGTCTCTTTCTCGAGCGCCGCGCCGCTGTGCCCGGGTCTAGGCAGTGCAAGAGGCACCTCGTCATTGCCGAGGTGGTGTCGCACGGGCATCCGGCCGGATTCCTATCGCAGCCAAATATCCGGCCGTCATGCACCTCCTAGTCAGTTGCTAATGTACGCTACTAATCGGCCCAGAAGCTTCTTCCACTCCGTATTGTAACAATCATCATCAGTGGCTATGTAGATCGCAGCGGGGCCTCCGGTGAAATCTCCCGCGTGTAGTAGTACGGCTTGGACGTCGGTTGTTAATTCGTTACTTTTGGCAATTGATTCCCTGTCGTACCGTCCCCCGTCGTACATCTAAAACCCAACCCGGCCCAACCCGCGGGGGGCGGCCCCCGCCTGCGGTCCTCGGCAGTTTCGAGCTCTTTCGGACCAGCTGTACGGCACACCCGAGCACCACACTGCCATGCGACTTGCTGTTGTGGAGACGTTACGGAAGCGGGCGTCGTCGTACAGCGGCTACGTACCCGGCGATTACGACGAGTACTGCACGTCGATGGCCAAGTCGGGTACGTGGGGCGACCACGTGACGTTGCAGGTACGTGTGTACGGCAGGAACCGTTCCAGGACGTGGGCGAATACACATGCACAGAGGCCCCCCTCCTTTACCCGATCACCCACCCTCCAACTCACACAACTCAGCTCACCCCCGAGCTCTCCGAGCACCTTTTTCCTTTTCGGGGTCCGCGGTTTTCTCTCCTTCTTGACGATCTTTGGCTTTTTGATTAAAAAGAAAAAACACATATTACCCCCCATCCCATCCCATCCACCCCCTTCTCGGGGTTTCCCCCCTTTTTCTCTCCGTGGTTCTTCGTCTTAACCCCTCCCCCTTCCCCCATGGTGTCTGTGGTTCGTCTTACCACCCCCACCACCCCCACCACCCCACACACACACACCTCCCCTTGGTGTGCCTGTCCAGGCGGCAGCTGACCACTACGGGCTCCGCATCCAGGTGGTAACCTCGTTCGCCCACAGCCCCCTGATCTACATAGACCCGGCCACCCGGCTCTCCCCTCGCACCCTCTACCTCTCCTTCTGGGCGGAGGTGCACTACAACTCGCTGTACCCCGCACAGGTACGTCTGGTGGGGTTGTGTGTGTGGGGGGTTGGGGGGGGGTAAATCGCTTTTCGGACTCCCTCCAGCAGCAGCTTGCAACTGGGGAGGTTACTTACGTCCTCGTCCGCAGCGCCGCGCCGTTTGTTGTTGTTGTTGTTGTTGTTGTTGTTTTCCCTGCTTGTTAAAGCCTTTGCTCCCCTGTGCTGTGCTGGGCCCCATCCCCCCAACGTACCCTTCCCCTCCTCCTCTACATAGGAGCCGCCGCCGCAAGGCCCCCTGGCACGGCCACCCGCGGAGGTGGGCCCCTCCGCTTCTTGTTCCACTCCCTCAACGTCCCCCTCGGCTCCCCCTCTCCCTCCGGATGCGACCTGGGCGGACGGCCCCGGCCCCGCGGGTTCCAAACCGCCCAAGGTACTGGGCAGTCGTACATTGGGTCGTGTGGTTCGGGAGGTTGAGAAGGTGACGGCGCCGCGGCGGGGCGGCCATTAGCCGGGTTGGGGCGGGGGGCCAGGTCCCCCAGGTCTGGGAGGAAGTTGTATGTGAGGGGGAGGGCTTCCCCTCTTGTTGTTCAAACGGGTGGACGAGGGAGGGGAGGGGAGGGAAGGGAAGGGAAGGGAAGGGAAGGGGAAAGTGTCAGGCGCTGGGATCCCATCTATGCACCGATAAATAGACGTGTAGGAGCCACTAGACGCCGTGTACGCGGGCGATATAGCTGCTTCCTGCATGGGAACGATCCGTGCGATCGCCGTACTAACTAACCCATCCCGAGCCGCACATCTTGCTGCTGGGTGAGGAGCCCGCGTGGCCGGTAGGGGTAGTGCAGCGGAGCTGGGTTGGTTGGTTGTGGTGGTTGAGGTGGTTGAGGTGCCTGGCTGCGGCTACGAGCCAACAAGTACCTGATGCGTTGTTCAGATTGGCGGAGGTGGGCGGATGGGTAGGTGGTGGTGGCAGTGGGTGGTTAGCATATGGTGGGTGGGTGGCGTCTTTCAGTACTCGTCTGGGTGGGCATTGGGTAGTACATTGGGTCATCAGGCAAACGACTTGACGAGGTTGAGATTGTGATTGGCACCGTTGGATATCGTAATGCAGGATGATGGGTGGCAGCAGCTGGGATGTGTGTTGCGGTTTTGTAAGAGGATGTGACGCTGTTTGAGTGCGGTGCACAGCTTCGCGGCTCTCACTTACAGTGATGATGTTACTGATGCTGCTGATGCTGCTGCTGGTGGTGCTGGTGATGATGGTGGTGGTGCTGGTGATGATGGTGATGGTGGTGGTGCTGGTGGTTTACCTGGCAGTGTGCTACTGCGGCTGCTGCTAAGTCTGTGCTAGTGGCCAACGCCAGGCCAAGGCCAAGGCCAGGACCGGAATCAACCATGATAACCAGCAGCAGCAGCAGCCAGGCGCAGATTTTATTTACGTGATGACCAAGATAAGCATCGGGATAGGTGTACGGAAGTAGTACGGCAATAGTGCGCACCAGATGGACGAACTGGATTAGGTGTTAGGCTGGGGCTGTGAAGGGCCTGAAGCTTTCAAATTTATGGCGTGAAGCATAGTGGCAGTGATGAGTGCGGGGCAAACGTTTTTCTTTTTTTTAATGATCTGAGAACTGCGATGAAGGAAAATGCAAGCATGTGTGTGTGTGTGTATGTGCGTGCGCGTGTGTGTATTACACCTTTTGCGTTACCCTTTCGTCACCGTTTCCAGGTGTTTGAGGTGCGGCTCGTGACCTCAGAGAAGTTCTTCTCATATCCGAGTTTCCGGCCTAAGAATAGGAATAGGGGCTTTGGGTGCTGAAATTGGTCGGGGACGTGTTTCAGCACCTACGAACGGAACATCCGGAATGGTCACTAGGGTTTTAGAATTTTAGGGTTTTAGAAAAATGGAAATAAATAAATAAATGCTGCGTGTGGGATCACGATGGAGGAGACCAGGAGTTGCGTGCATTGATTTTCGAATGCACCCTTGTATCCGAATTTTTAATGTTTTTTCAAATTTCGACAGCCTGACTGCCATATTATTACAGATGGTATTAACAATATGGATGGATATTCTGTGATAATAAAAAACTAAAACTCAACGAAATTTGCATGAAGGGTTTTATGGGTTTTGCGCTTTTTTCAACGATTTGAAGTAATAAAAACATGTGTTTCCCCCTTCACTAGTGATAATGGATTCGAGTCAGCTCATGAAAAAAGCATAATAAGCTCCTTTTGTGAAATACCTTATCCATGGATACTCGTTATGGGCGGTGCCTCAAAGATTTGCTGTATTTTTTTGTGGGGTGTCTAGCGCTGTAAACCCCTAAAACCCAGCAGGTATGCGTTTCCCTAGAACTCTAAAAACTTCCTGACGGGGTTATAAGCCGGATGGAGAACTACCTGGTAAGCCAAAGGCAGTAAAAAAAACCCTACTCGCCAACCAGTTTTGGTGTGGGCCCAGCGGAAACCCCCCTTCACCGTACCGCGATTTTATAACGGGTTATATAGAACATATAACACGCGAATTTCATCTCGCGCACACAGCTCTCCTATTACTCTCGACAAGAGACCCTTCATCTGAAAGTTACCTCCTGCCTGCCTACACCCGCTCCCCGATGACTTGATGGCTTGGCGGTTTATCTTATTTAAGCAGCCCCTCGCAAAAACGTAATGCATGGACGAGCGACCCGAATAAAGCGTTCGTACACATCCATCCAAAATACGAAGGCCACGGCGGGCCGTGCAAAGGCCAGCCTTTTAAAAGCCAGGAGCGCGGGCTTTACGCGTATATGCGCAACATATTCGCGGGTGTAGATTTGTAGATGTGTGTTACACAGGCGCCCATTGGATGAGGGCATTGGGGTGCTGAAATTCGGCTGCTGTTTATAGCTTTTCGCCCAGGCGGCCGTAGCAAAGGCAGTACATGCCTGCCGTACACAGCGCCCCTGCAATCATGTTGCCCAGGGTTACCTGCAGCAGTTAGGCCCCGCGGTGGCAGTAGCAGTAGCAGTAGCGGCAGCAGCGGAGGAGAGCGGTTGGAAAGTTGATGAAAAACGAAGACACCGATATAAAATGAAAGAAATTTTACTCAAGGGGTTCAATCAAAGAAATGTTTTCTATTACCTAATTTTTTTTACTGAAACCTATTTACCTCATACCTATTTTCCTAACACCTGAATGTTACGTGAATTAAACACACGCAACCGCCCATCCCATCACTTTCACTTTCGGTCTCGCACCAGGCTCCCATCGCCAGAGCCCCTCCATACCATCTCACTCAACCCCCCCAGAGCCCTATTCCCTCCATTCCCTCCAACTCTCCCCATCTAAAACCCGGCATACCGGAATCAGGTTGGCTGTTAGGAAGGTCGCAATGCTGACGGGCGCCCCCAGCGCCATACCCATGGGGATCACGAACATGTTGGCAATAGAGTGCTCCAGGCCCACGGTCACGAAGGCCGTCACAGGCAGCCACAAACCCATGAGCTTGCCCTGATGGGGTCATGGGGGGGGCGGAGAGGTGGCGCGCGTGCGTGTGTGTGTGTCTGTGTGTGTATGGATTCACGAAATTTCGAACGCGGACTCCGAAGAAATGGAAACCCTTGGTGGAAGGTCCTTTTCCATTCAAGGGGGTCTGAGACGGTCACCTCCCTCCCACCCAAACGCGCTCACTGGTAGGGAGGTTGCCGCTGTGGCCATCCACACGGCCAAACAGACCATCCAGTTACATAGCACAGAACGGATGAGCGCCTGGGAGAGCGAGAGGAGGTGAGGGAGGCGGGTACGGGGTGGGGGGGGAAGGTGAGGGAGGTGAGGGAGGCGGGAAAGGGGAAAAGGGGGGGACGGGGGAGGTGTGTGTGTGTGGGGGGGGGGAGTTAGGGAATTGTGCGGAGGAAGGGGAAGGGGAGGAGGACTAGAAGTGAGGGAGGCCACATTCACACCGGGGACCGTAGAGACATTGATGCATGTGTGTGCGTGTGTCTGTCTGTCTGTCTGTCTGTCTGTCTGTCTGTCTGTCTGTCTGTCTGTCTGTCTGTCTGTCTGTCTGTCTGTCTGTCTGTCTATCTGTCTGTGTGTGTGTGTGTGCGTATGTGTACAAGACGGGTGGCTTGAGACGGCTTATGCAACTTTTCAGAAGAGCAAAAACATACACACTGAGGTGCCGCTCAACAATAAGCACTTTAATCAACAACAGTAAATTCGACAGCAAAACCTAAGTCATCAGATATACAAGTACATGTAAAAAGATATTGGTCAAATATATCAACAAATCTCACTTGACCAAGCGGCAGCGACGTCTTGGCGACTGCTAGCGCAGGTAGCACCGTGTTGGCGGCCATAAGGCCCGTGCCGTACACCGCCGCCACCATGCCCAGACAGCCCACCAGGTTGCCTAATCAGGACGATCGGAATCACATCAAGGAGCGAGCGCAGAGGTGGTGCAGTCGTGAGAGAGAGAGAGAGAGAGAGAGGTGAGAGCTCCAGGGGGAGGAGAGGAGAAAGACGGAAAAGACGGGGGAGGAGAATAGCCTCTGGGGAGCCCCCAGGAAACGGAACGGAGATCGATTTGGGTCCTGTGTGGGGTGAGCCGGGCAGAGATCTCGACTCATGGGACCTATGGGCCACGAGGAGGTCGAGTGGATAGGGGGGCCTGCCTCCCCTCCTCTCTCTTCCCCTCCCTCTTCCCTCCCGCTCTCCCAGAGAAAGACCCCAACTTTCCCCCCTGACACCCCCGGTAAGGTAGGGTGACGGTGGTTTCCTAGCAGCAGCTTACGCGCGTGTGTATGTGTGTGTGTGTTTTTCCCCCCCACACACACACCCGGGGGATTCCCCATGGTCAGCATGACCCCCCCTCCAATAGTCCTGATGGCTGTATGGAAATTCACACACAGGTTGAGGGCCCTCGAAGATCCGTCGACCTAACGAATAGGTGCCGTACCCGCATATACGACAAGCCAGCGGGAAAGTACGTCACCCCATGCCGCCTGACCCTCGTAAACCGCCGCGGGAAGAAGGGCGCTGCAAGCGGCAGGGAGGAGGGGGTAGGGAATGAAAGCGCAAGGTCAACAGGAAACTGTCAAAAACTGTGAACTGCCGAAGGTCCACGTATAAAAGCATAAGTAGGAGTTCAAATTCGGGAGGTGGGGGAACGGAGTTAGTTGTGCGGTTACACAGCAGGCGGGCTCCAAAAGAGGACATTGAGCAGGCGGGCTCCAAGAAAAGGTGGGTCAGGAGGGGGCGCGTAGACATAATGGGTCGATTGCCGAGCATCGCGGGGGTGGTTGCGGCGGTTGTGGCCAGCAGTACGGCACATAGACCGCATAAAAACACACCATCGCATAACACGCACACAAGGGCTTTGAGGGGTGGCAGTCGCCATATTGCTCATGAGGACACATATCGTACGTATGTACGTACGTATGTAGGTACGTATGTATGTTTGCATGTGTCTAGGTTCACACAGACATAGATAGTTACGTACATACGTACAGATAGACAGACCGACAGACGTACACGCCTGCTCACGTGTTCCCCGTGAAGAGCTCTGCTCCGCAGATGAGGATGAGCGACAAACCCATTGGAAACACGGAGGCGGATAGCAGCTTGGCAAGACCGGGATTCGAAGACATAAGACCTGTTTGTATGTATGTATGTATTTGTGTACGCATGTGTGTATAATATAAGGGGACAAGGGGGAATGGCGGCGACGTCAAGGTGAGGGGCGTGAAAAGCGGGTATTTCGGCGATAGATCGGAGCAAACGGCGAAGGGCAAGGCGTCAGCGACAAGACAGAACGATGGGGAGGCGCCCGCTCTCCCGTCGCCAAGAAATCTCCGTACTTCTCCGTACAGCAGTACAGCAATGTACTTACTTATGTAATGAGTACTTACCTGGCATGAAATTCAGAAGCGTGAAGGACAATAAGCCGCCGAAGCTGATATACACGCCGGCTAAAATCGCCAGAGCAAAAGCCTGTTGCGCGCACACGGAACTAACTTCGAAATGTATTCATAATTGGTTGTATATCTTCAACCATTAGGCAGTGCGGTAACCAGCGTGGGTCCGATGTCCGGGGCGCCCACGCAAGTGGGAATGCACTTGAAGCGACATGACACCGAGTTTCCCGCTACGCCGGAGTTTCATTTGCTACAGCGACTTCAATAGCTAGGTTAATGTAATGTTTTTCGTCGTTTTCACCTTTGCAAGTGGTAGTTGGGCTTTAATTGAGCCGCCCTTAACAGCTGCCGCGTAAATAGCAGCGGGTGCAAGAAGGGCTGGAGCAGGGGCTGCAGCCGCTGGCGATGACGCCGGGCTCGACGGCGCAGGCGTATATGAGGGGGATTCAGTGCGGTTATCTTGTGAGGTGGCTGCGTAGCAGATGTTTGGAAGAGGAGGAGACGGCACAGAAAGTGGTCGACCGATGTCTGGCAAGGATTAGGGAGCCAAGCCTTTACCGGCGTAGCGTTTTCGGTGGGAAGTAGCGACGAAGAGAAAATAAATACTAAAGTAGTTGAAGCCTAATCCTCAGTAGCCAGCTTGCCTGCATGGCCGTTGTTGGAAGCTGTTAGAGCAGCAATCGAAGGCTGCAGCTGTCGTCTTGCTGGTCCATAATGGCAACCCAGGCCAACACGGGTCAGCTTGGTTGCGTAAAGGGCACCTGGCGCCGCCATAGAGGAATTGCAAGCTGCGAAAGACCGCTGATGTTGCAGCATGGTAACTAGGTTTCCGACACCGAAAATGCTCTTAGGTTTGTGAGCCTATCGAAAAGAGAGACGCGAAGATAGATAAGTAAAATACAGATATTCTTACTAAAGCAAGCGATGGGCCGGGTAATCAGAGCGCGTGCGTTAGAACCGGGTTACTCTGCCAACGAATCTCTATTTAGCCATCATCTGGACTCCTTCTCCATGTAGCTGATTAACAAAGAAAATGAGATGCTAATTTACATGGGTTACTACAGTTTCTATGTTGCCACCGCGAAACGACGTTGTACAGCGACAGGACAGCCAAGTGGCTGTCCACATGCAGGATATATCAGATAATAGGACAGAGTGGAGAATCTTTAGTCCTGTTTGCTCTAAGCTGTATGCCAAGGCGAAGGAGAGTCCACAGGGATGGACGCCAGGCATAATGTGCCTGCATCTCAAAGACAAAAACATTATAGGATTTGCAGTAATTTCAAATCATGCAACATACTGAAATTTAGCACTGAAACCTCACAAAGCTCCAAAATGTGCAAACAAGTAGGAAAAGTCGTTACTTAACCGCTCGACAACGGTCACAACTGATGTTGCGACGCCCTGATTGGTAACATTGTCCATGGTCCAAATAGGCAAGGTACACAGTCCTCCCTAAAATGAAAAATGCAACTTAAATCATTAAGGGGTCTTTGACATTGATGGGACTCCGAGGCTGGTCCAATCACGGGCACTCATAGCCAAGCATCTTAAAATAGAATGAACTCAAGATCAACTCTTAAAGAGCGACATCCATTACCATCATCGGTGAGCGGGCACGTCATTTTGGCGCGAACGACACTCCTGTAAAGCTTGGAAAAAAGAAGACGCACTTGCATAAACTTCGACACAGAATAATCCACCTGCAACACAGGCCGGAAGACCAGAACGGGGGGCGCGAGATCAAGACAGTGACCGAGACGGTAGCGATGGTGATGATGAGGAGCCTCAGGTGCGTGCAGCGCTGGGGCGCATGTGACGACGCACATGTGACTGAAGGGGCCTTCAAGTTCCCAAATCCTTCGCGGATTACGCAGCGCTCAGATTAACGGTCTGTTGGAAATCTGTACGGGAGCGCCACATGTACGAGAGCAAAACGAATAGAAAGGGAATTGGGCATACAATACGCGGCCGCACAAACCATCCATATTCTGTCAAGGATGGAACTAGCCGGGGCTACTAACAGCTTCTGAGCACTCCATGTGGGGCATTACCACCTAGAACGCAAGCGGACAGCCGGTAGGCTGATTCGCACCCGCTTGCTATTGCTGGCCATAGATCACCAAATTGAGTCGTGCGAGAACCCGTCGCCCAGCCCTCCCCTCCTATATCAATATCATTTCCATTCTCTCCGGGACGATGGGGATTTGGAGTTCAGGATTTGGAGTACGAAACCGTACGGCCCTTTAACCGGTCCTTCAGGTCACGAGCCTGGCGCCGCTACTGACGTTGTTGATGCTAGTGATGCTAGCAATCCTAGTGATGCTAGTGACGATGGTGATGCCAGCGATGCTGCTGTCTTTTTGGTTATGTCGTAATTGATTTGGCGATGGCTGCTTGCCACCGGTTGGATGCCACCACATGGGCCGACGAAAAGCGGCGTGGGGCTGCATGGCGGGTTCTCACCTGCCCCGAGCTGAGCTGGTCTGGGATGGGATGAGCTGAGCTGAGCTGCGAAGGCCCACGGCCGACAGGCGTTGTTCAATCCGGGCCCCCGACCCTCGCGCGTACGGACTCTCGTACAACCACACATACATGACATACAGACAGATAAACATCATGATCAGATGAACCTCCGTGTATCTCTTCCCCCCTTATCCTTATCCTTATCCTTATCCTTAATCTGCGTGCAGCCAAGTCGCCGCGAGACGAAGGCCCTGCCCGACAGGCTGCTCTTGGATAATGTGTCGTACGCGCTGCAGGTAGGTGTACGGCATCTGCGGTATGGAAATAAAGGAGTTTTTTATTTAGCACGAGGCCAAGGTGGGTGCAAGGTTCCTTTGGGAGCTCTCGGCAAACAGAGGGCAAATGATAGGCCCCAAGGGCGACGTTAGGGAGGTTTGTTGTACTGTACGGCAGCATGGACGGGGTTGCGCCACACAACAGAACTACCCACTGCAAACACAAACGAGTGTAATCAGATGAACTGAGCCGCGATGCGGGTATGCCAACCTCGTGTATATATGTCAACTAGTTTTCTCTCTCAGTTTTTGTCGCTAGGTGGTGATGGTGGTGCTGCTGCTTGCTTCGCTGCCTTCGGCACCATCTTTCGCTCATACTCATACTCATTGCGTATCTCATTATCCGTTGGCCGTACGGCATGCCGTACCAACGGCATCCTTTTCCGTGCCCGGACATTTTACTATTGCTGTCCTCAACTCCGTACCACACCACGACACAAAAGGCCCGATTGGCCTTCTCGCCGTACCTGGCTGGCGCTACCATGGATGCCGTAGTGCCGTACAAGGATTCGGAGCCCAAGGTAAGCTGTTCCTACTGCCGTACCGGCCATATCGCTCGCATTTGATATGATGCTTCCGCCACCCGCACTACACTACTGTTTATTTCCTTTGGCTCTTCTTCTGGTGCGGTCCAAGTATCGCTCAGTCCCTACTGCGGGCGCCATCTTCGCCGCCGCCACCACATCTCACACACCGTTGCCCCTGTCGCCGCTGATTTTGCCACCGCCAACTGTCACGCCGTACTGCCAACTGCCGCCAACCGACAAACGGCGCCATTAATCATCATGACATCACCTCTATGTAGATGCCGGAACCTCTGGCTGCCGCGCGAGTACTGCTACAACGTGCCGTACTGCAGCGGCTCCGAGAGCTACAGCTGCTGGTGGAGTGGCCGCTACTGCGGCCCCCCTGTACGGCAGCACAGATGGAGCGCTTGTTTTCCGGAGGTGATGGATTGGGGAAGGCTCCGGCCTTAGGAGGCCAGGAAAGAAAAATGGGGCTTTAATGTTTTGTCGAACAAGGTGTTGTTAAAAATGTGATGCTTTTTGCAACGTAATGCTTTGCAGCGTAATGCTTTTTGCAACGTAATGCTTTGCAGCGTAACTCTTAGCCCAGGGATGACCCACGGGACGGGAGTCTTACGTGCTGGAATGGCTAACCCCTGTAAATGACACTCCCCTAAACACACCCCTATCCGGCGTGTGCGCCTTACCTCCCCTTCTTTCGGGGCCCTCTCACAGCAACCCCTCCCCCCCTCTCTCCCACCCTCTTCCCCCTCTCTCCCACCCTCTTCCCCTTCTCTCCCACCCTCTTCCCCCTCCCTCCCCCTCTTTCCTCCTCTCTCCCTCTCTCTTCCCCCTCTCTCCCACCCTCTTTCCCGCTCACTCCCACTCTCTCCCACTCTCTTCCCACTCTCTTTCCACTCTCTCCCGCTCACTCCTCCTCACTCCCCCTCACTCCCCCTCTCTCCCCCTCTCTCCCACCCTCTTTCCCCTTCTCTCCCTCTCTCTTCCCCCTCTCTCCCCCACTCACTCCCACTCTCTTTCCACTCTCTCCCCCTCTCTCCCCGCTCTTCCCCCAATTAGGCATGCACCCCTCCGAGCTGGTCGGGCTGCGCAATGGAACCCCCCTGGAGTATCCCCGCCTGCTGCCAGCACTCCAGGGGCTGTGCCTGCTGGGCCCTATGGACTTCGCGGTGGCGCTGGCAACTGGAGGAGCGCCGCCGCTGCAGCAGCAGCACCTCGGGAAATTGGTGAGCTCTCCCCGCTTCTCCTTTCTGCCTGCGGACGATAGAACTTAGAACTTCAGGCCCTAAGACGCGTGTGCATGGACAGCGTGTGATGTACCTGTAAGTAACTACTAGCAATTAACAACAACAGAATCGAAAAAAAATCTCAGTAAAAGTAAAAAGACGTTTGAAAGGTGAGAGGATTTACAAATTGCACTGACGGTTCTTAGAGATCTCAGTGCATTAGCACCCATTCAGTTAGCCATTTCGAAGTTGATGACGGACCCGGCTGGTCTTAGTTTTTTTCGCCGGTGGTTCCCAACCCCCGCTCGCGCCTTTTGGCAATCAATCACATCAGGACTGGATGCCGCTGGTCCAAGCTGCTCGGGGTAGTGGCGCAGCCGCCGCCAGCGGCGGCGCCAGCAGCGGCGGCGGCGGCGGCGGCGGCGTTCAAGAGGGCTCTCTGAGCTGGGTGACGAGCCTTCCTCGAAGCCTGGGACTGCTGCCGGGCCTTCCCGCCGTGGGCTCACTTCCCTGGACACCCCCCGACTTGGCCTGGCTGAGGGGCTTCTTCAGGGATATGCACCCCCGGCAACGACATGTAGGTTTTAGTAAGGAGGTTTTAGTAAGGAGGTTTTAGTGGGTTTTAGGAAGTTTTAGGAGGTTTTAGCGGGACCAGCGGGCATTTGTGTGCATATGTATGTTGATGTCGGTTTGCAAGCCTGTCGGTCTACCTGTCCGTCTGTCTGTCTGTCTGTCTGTCTGTTTGCGCTCCGGAACCGGGCATCACATCCCATCTGTGTCTTGTCTGTCTGTCTGTCTGCCCGGGTGTAACCCCTTGTCCCGTCTTCATTCCTGTCCGTTGCGCATATTAACCAACCAGCCATCGAACTAACTGCTAATGTAACCGCTCCTCTTGACATTCCGCGCTTTCCCCCCTCCGAAACCAACAACCTCCCCATTCAGATCGGTGTGGACGACCGCGCCCTCCCATGGTTTCGGGACATCAAGGTCGCGGCGGCCCGAGCGGTGGTTTCGGAGGGCAGCATTCGCGGCGCCATAGCCTTTGCCGTATTCGGTGTACCGCACGGCGAACGGGCTGTCGTATGGGAGACAGCTCTCGGCCTCAGGCGTCCGACCCCGCCGCAGCTACCACCGGGTTTCCCCCAAGCGCATGCTGGCAGCACCGGTAGCGGCGGCGGCGGCGGCGGCGGCGGATCTGGCCTCGGCGGTTCTGAGAGGGCCTCAGCAAGTTCGGTTGCTACAGCTGGTGGCGGTGATGGTGGTGGTGGCGCTACTGCCGATTCGGGTTTCGGAGCTGAGGAGCGGGAGCGGTTCGAGCGGCTGTGTACCAAGGTAACCTGTCCAAGGGGATAGGGGTCCATAGGAGTGTCGGTGGTATTTAAAAAAGGATTCGCGGACTCGGGGTTCAATGCGCGTGTGTGTTCGTGTGTCTGTGTGTGTTTGGGTGTGTGTGGGAAACGGGGCATAGGGGAAACTCACGGCTGCTGCACGTAGAGGAACGTATTACCCGGGCTGCTGGGGGGGGTCATGAGGGAGGTAAGGTTGTGTTGTGGGAGGTTGGTTCGGTTGGTTCGGTTGGGATTCGGGTGGTTGTTATTGTTGTTGATGCTGGTAGGGTGTTACGGGCCGGCGGGGGGGCCGGAAGGTGCGTGTGCGTGTGCGTGTGTGGGATGGGGTGTTGGGAAGGTCAGTTAGGGTTATCGTATCGCATTATCGAAGCGGGAGGAATGAGGTCCCTGGCCTGTGAAGAAGCAACAGCAGCGTTGCCGCGGCCCGCACGGCACCGGTAGCAGTGTGTACGGCCTTTGGGGCTTTGTCGGGTTGGGGGGGGAGTAGGTTTCGGGGACAGGTCGAAGATGGGGAGAAGCCTAATCCCACCTCCTACCTCCTCCGCCCTCGCCTTATAAAGCGCCACTGCTGGAAATAAAGCACACCCATAGCTGCTTAGCTTTATTATACTATTATGTAGTATGAAGTAATTTAAAATGCTTTAAAGATACCAACTCTATGGCCGGTCCTTGTCGAACAGGCAACCCGCCATTCATCGGAAACTTGCAGCTTCTCGTCCGCTTGCTCGCCAACCCTCACCCCCTCCACCCTTTCCTCCACCCTCCCTGGATTAGACTCTGGAGCAGCCGCTGCTTCTTGACGTGGTGGTTTCGGAGGATGTCGGGCCGTTGGTCGGCGACTCCGGGACGTTCTTCCTGTTTGAGGAGCCCATACGGTGTGGGGAGGGGAGGGGAGGGAAGGGGGGAGGGGAGGGGAGGGAAGTGGGGGAGGGGAAGGGGGGAGGGGAAGGAAAGGCGAGGAAAATTGTAGGGGAAGATAGGCGGTAAGGTGTAACACAAGTACGGCGGAAAAGCATTGCCGACTTCCGGAGGGGGCACCAAACCGCTCCGGTCCTAGAGTCCAAAGCCATGATAGCCCCCACTGTAGCCCACTGTAACAACCACACCACACCACACCACGCACCCTGAGCGGTCAAGGAGGGCGGTCAGGGGGCTCTAAGGGGAGGATCCTAATTAAGACACGGAGGTTAGACACGGGTGGGGGGTAATGGCGTGGTGTGGTAGGGACGACATGGCCCCTCCTGGTGGGGATGGAGCCCTCTGTGTGTGTGTGTGTATGTGCGAGGCGGGGAATATGGGTGTGACACAGCCGAGCACGGAGGGTTCCCTGGAGTCCCAACATACCCCCATGCGTTGTCGTACATTCACCCTCGCCCCCCTTGGCCCTCGCCGCGATCGCCCACTTCCTAAATTCGATGGATCGGTACGGCATTTCGTACTCCAGTGCCGTACTGCTCGCATTCCAGCGGGATGTCCAAGTCGCCAAGCGCCTGTCGGCGCCGCCCCTCGCGCAGCTTCACACGACCAACGCCGTACATGCTGTACTATCGACGGCGCCGCAACCTTCGCCACGCCAGAGCGGGACGGCGGCGACGCTGCCGACCGCCGGCAGCAGTGATGCCGGCGGCAGCGGCGGCAGCGCCGCCTCATCCTCCAAGCACCCGCAGCACCCGCCGTACTACCCTCCAAGCGGGGTCTTGCCGTATCGCGGTATCTCGCTGCTTGCGGCGCCGCTATGCTACATGTACGACAGCGCGGCATCGTCGTACCACATGTTCCGAGCGTTGTACTGCAGGTACGAGGAGGTTCTTGGATAGCAGCAGGGAGAGGACCTCACCGCCTTGATGTGTCCGCGAACCGCGTAAGAGCTCAACGACCGTTGTGCTGGATGACATCACAAGCCAAGGAAAAGTTGAGCGCGTGTAACGCACTTGCAGATTCAGTCCTTTTGCACCTAACCCGAGCACGGGAAACTGCACGACATGTGATGCGGCAGTCATGCCAACCGCTAACCGCTAACCACCAACGGACTTGCATAGGATCAATTTCAGGACCTCTACAAAAATATGCGCAGTTGAACACCTTCACCATCATATGCCGTACAGTGTTGTGCCGTATTTCACCCCCTGTATGTCGTAGGTACTGGAGCAAGCTTCATTCTCTGAGTTCCGCTGGACCGCCCTCCCCGGCCCTCCCTGGACTGTTGCGAGTCTTCGAGTACCTCCTGCAAGTGTGTGCGATACTGTTGCTGCTACTGCTGCTGCTGCTGCTGCTGCTGCTGCTGTTCTGTGTGTGTGTGCGTGTGTGTGTATGTGTGTGTGTGTTAATGATCTGAGCTGTGTTAGGGAAATGCCGGCACGGCAGCTCTTACTTCCTCCCTTGCCGGCAATCATACCCACCCACACATGCCTATTTCACCCCCTCCACACACTTTTAGACGTGTCGGCAATGGGCAATCCTTTCCTTAGGTTGGCCTGTGGCTTATATTTACACTTTACACACATACATATACACGTTTTGCACATAATCCCGTTTCCCTCTTCACACACACATACATACACAAACATACACACACATACACACACACACGCACACACGCACACACCTTAACACACCCCAGGAGCTGGACTCCGCGCTGGTGAACCACCTCTCCCGGCTAGGGCTGCTCCCCGCCACCCTCGTCCTCCCCTGGATCACGACCGCCTTTGCCGGGGTGCTGCCGGTGCAGGAGGTGAGGGGGGAGGAGAGGGGCAACCCCGGGGTGTGGCAGGGGTAGGATGTGTTTATGATGTGTGAAACAGAGGGGTGTATCTTCGCCCGTGGCAGCTACCCTGCGAAACCCTGCCTTCCCCGGTATTCCGGGACACCCGCATCCAGTCACCCTAGTCAACTTCTCAGTGGATCGCTCAGGTTCCGCACACACCACCAGCATCCAACGGAATCTGCCGGGTCGACAGCGGCCCAACTCCATTCCTGGTTGGCTCGCGGGTTATTTTTATCCCAGGTCACCACCGTCCATCAACTAGAGGTGCAATGCCTTGCACCATCGGAAGGACTTTGACCCTAACGGGTATCGATTCCGGGATCTCCCAGGGGCAATGGTCGCGCCTTACCAGTGGTGCCAAACCCTATATATGTCCTTATGTGCATGTACGTGTCCGTGTGGATCTGTCTGTGTGTATATTTTGTGAGTTGAGTGACGGGAAGAGGGGAAGGCATGCGAGTGCTGATAGACCCGCGTTTCCTGTCGCCAACTCCCAACTTCCAACTTCTAACTTCCAACCGTTAAATCTTGGTTTAGTTTCCTAACTCTAGCCCGTTGCTTCCCGTTGCTCTGTGACATCAGATTATTTTTCATTCGGTTCCGGATCCGAACTCAAAGTCGAGTGCAGCTTTGGATTTACATAAAGAAATCGCATGTATGTATGTATGTCCAGGTTCTCTTGTTGTGGGATCGGGTGATCGGACTGGACTCGTTGCTGCCGCTACCTCTGCTGGCAGCTGCCGTACTGTGCTTCAGGTAGAGTTCGGGGATTAGGTTTAAGGGTTCAGGGTTAGGATCTGTGAGGACAGGGCCCTGCGTGGGCGTTACAAAAGAAAGTGTGTGCTCCAGGGAAAGTTAGGGTTGGTTGGTTAGTTGGTTCCCTGCAGGGTTGTTACATGGTTGTTACCCGTGGTTAGTTGGGGTGGTTAGGGCCTTCTGTGCGCTACGTACACACATTCATGTCTGTATGTATGTAAATCTCCAAACATGCAAATGTCCACATGTTTCTTATTGCTCACAGGTGCGTCTGTCTGTATGTTCGTATATCAGTATACGTTACTTAGGGTTTCATTCATGTCCTCGTTCCTATAACGTTGGCCCCCACCACCGCTACCTCCGGTGGCTTCATTCGCCAATTGGTTCATCTTAACCCCCCACTCCACCCCACCCAACCCCACCGCACCCTACCCCAACCCCCCTACTGGTCAGTTCTGCTTCTTGTACATTCTTTCCTTAGCAGCAGCTTCACTCGTTCACGTGGTTCGTCTTCCCCCCCACCCCCCACGCCCACTTCTTCTTCCTGCCCATACATTTGCACATACACACACATGCACACACCTACACGCCCATTAACGCAGGCGCCACGTGCTGCTCTCCTGTACCTCTCCCTTGGAAGTGGTTTCGGCGCTATCTGACGTCAGCCAGCTGCGTGTCGTACCGCTGCTACAGGCGGTGCTGTTTCCTGGACCCGGGTCGGAAGCTTAGACTCCTTGTAGAGGTTTATCATGCTGGAAATTTATTGGGAAGTACAGAAACGATTGTAAGTATATATGATGTGTGAAACAGGGGGGTGTATCTTCGCCCGTGGCAGCTACCCTGCGAAACCCTGCCTTCCCCGGTATTTCGGGGCACCCTCATCCAGTCACCCTAGTCAACTTCTCAGTGGATCGCTCAGGTTCCGCACCCACCACCAGCATCCAACGGAATCTGCCGGGTCGACAGCGGCCCAACTCCATTCCTGGTCGGCTCGCAGGTTAACTTTATCCCAGGTCACCACCGTCCATCAACTAGGGGCGCGATGCCTTCCACCATCGGAAGGGCTTTGACCCTAATGGGTATTGACCCCGGGATCTCCCGGGGGCAATGGTCGCGCCTTACCAGTAGTGCCAAACCCTATATATGTATGTAAGTACGTTCGTAATTTCATACGAATGGCAGCCACAACCCTCAGCTCGTACTGGGCGGCTTGCAGCCGACCTAAGCGTGGTTGGAACACAGCTGGACCTCACCATCCCATTCATAAGGGTATGGACGGCAATTTGCTATGCATGGATGCACTCATCGACGATGTCAGCGGTAAGATAGCCCCTGAGTAAACGTACAGTCGCAGCAGGGAAGCCTAACGATCTTTAGTGTATTTGGACGCACTTTTTCCTTCAAACGCTAGTTTGCTTACCGGTACTGCTAGGCACGAGGTTATCAATTATAGGGGAGCTGTAACGTGTAAGAGCAGTTACATATCTCGGAATGATTCTTATCATAGGGGTTCACGTAGCTATTCTCAAGACTTTCCTTTTTACGACGTCGTGCATTAGTGCGGGTCCTACACTGGATAGCTACATCTTCGCTGGTGTATCGCATCCGGTGTCTTTAGACACGACCTTGACTGGTTGTGATAAGGCTAAACGTAACAGTAGCCATATCGGCAAAGTTCCAGCTGTGTTCCTGGTTCCCTGCAGGGGCGCCAGCAGTGCTGAGCATTGCTATTCCGGTCTTAGTCTATGCCCAGCCCAGCCCAGCCTTGCATTTCGTTCAGCGTCAGGCGGTGTGCCCTTGGCTCGGCTAATTTGCTTTCAAGCATAGAAGCTTGGTAGTCCGCTGTAACAATAATAGGAACATGTGCGTACTGGAGCAGCGTCTAAATGGTAATGCAAATCGTTTGATTTCACGTCACAATCTTTATAAAGATAAGCCCCCGAAAGCTGATTTTGCGCACGCGGGACTGCATCGCTAATGGGGGGGAGGTCCATAAGTGGATGTTGAAGGAATTCATGAAAGAACCTGCGGCAAATATATTACCTGATGATGGCCATTTCAATTGGATACTACTGGAGCGCGTTAAAAAAAGGGCCTTCCCTGGTTAGTTCAAAGTTTGGTATTATATTATAGCGATATAGATATGTGACTTCTTTTTACCATTTTGCGCACCAGAAATGCGCAACCGAGATTTTGCTGTCCTGATGACCCTAGGGTCATAGGACCGCGAAATGTCTAAAGTGTCTAAAATTGTTTTCAAAAGGCAAAAGTGATTCAGGCACAGTGTTTCAGGAAAACGTCGTTTTTTCCAGAAAAACGTTTAGCTTATGAAATTTGCTACTGGGGTATTATGCCGTGCAAAGAATGATGACCGCGCGCCAAATCACCATGCAACCTGGATGCTTGCTGGCCGGACAGCTAAAGGCCGCAAGGAAAAAACCTGTTGATTATAACACTGTAAACATATATGGGGCAACCCGTGACAGCCTCGGCAGCAGGCCAAGTAGGTGCCCCGTAAGCTCCAAGTAGGACAGTCCGAAACCTTGAAAATCCTGGAAGCCTTCCACAATCCGCCATCACCAGCTGGTAGATCAAACAGCAGAATAAATGACTGGAACAGTTCCGCGGTATTCTGTGTGGGACAAATGTAACATGAACCGAAAGGATCCCTGTCAGCTCAAACAGGATTTGTACGAGGCACGTGTACGAAAGTCACATGTAAGGCCACGTTTCCGGACTATCGGCTCACAGCAATGCACAGACAAACCGACGAATGCACAGAAGCGAAGACGTTTAACTCTGCGAAGCATTGATCTTATCATCAACGTAAGCGGTAACGTGATTCGTCGACTGGGCACAAGGCCACGCACTAGAGGCCTACCGTTGTCCAATGGTACCGATACTCACGCTTAGCCTCGAGAGGCGAACGATGCATGCTTAATTTTTTACTCGCACAATAAAGCAATCAGAGATTTTTTTCCAAGGACTCTCTCCTCAAACCTACAGTGATCCGGGCTGGTGGCTCGGGCATTCTTCGCTTAAATCGTGCCAGCAGCTGAATCGTCCAGGTATGGTGCTGTCCCTTCTCATTCTGGAATCGCTGCTAGGTGGCAGACTAACTATAAATAAATACGAGCTTAGCTGGCGCCTGTAAGGTGGACCTTTCATGCCAGTTGTTAAAAGTTTTCCGCACGCTCAGGCCGACTTGGCCTAACTTGGGGATGCATGGGTTTCGGCGGCGGCCAGTTGAGCCGTGCGGTGATTTTTCTGTCCTCCACCAAATTTACGCGCATAAAGCTATTTGCCTGCTATTTGTTGCTGCCGGGTCATGTGGAATATAATTGTTTGTCCTTTTTACCTGGCTTACCATACTATGCCCTCTTGAATTTGGCGCTGCTGGTTCGATGCGGCGCCGTGGCTCAATCTACGGCCCGTCCAGCTTTGGCCTCGCAAAATAATTACAGGAATGCCTTTTCATCAACTTCTTACGTGACACATACTGGGTAGCAGTCTAAGCGCTTATCTTTTCCTGGCTACTTATTTAAGTATCTTTCCTGTGCCGCGCGAACCTTGATTATTTTACGATACCCCTATCCTTGTTTACGACACCTTCCCTCGCTTTTGCCATAACTCTGTCTTTCCTTCCTGATACTGTTTTGCCTGCTGCAGGTGGCGTACTTTCCAGTCCTCTCTTGGTTTAGAGGTGGAAGTGCACCCGACAGGGAGGCTGCGTGTATTAGCTTTATCTACATAGCACACTTGCAAAGACATAGCATATAGCAGCAGCATAACATAGCAGCAGCAATCAGCAAAAAAAATAAAAATGAAGAGGTCAAAGATTGAGGATATGCCCGAGCGGACGTCCACGCCGTCGGCCTCTGTGGAGCCTCATTATCATCATCATACTTGGACCCACCATCATCAATCACTCGTGGGAACCCCCGTGGCGGCAATTGTGGGTCGAATGCTCGACGGCGCTTCATCCGACGGCCGCGCGGCGGCAGGCGCCGCAGCGGCGGCGGCGGCGGCGGACCCCGCCGATGACCTGACGGCCCCAGAAGCAGCAGCAACGGCGGCCGCTACTGCGCATGCCGAGTTCTCCATCGCCTGGCCCCCGACCTTTCCCGTCGGCGGACATCCCGCGGAGGTCATCGAGCTGAGGGCGGCGCTGTCGTACCGCGGCTGTGACGCGACTGCCTCTGCGGCGGCTCGTTTCGCAGCCGCCGCCGCGGCAAGTCGCTGTTCTCGGCTGCTGGCGGTGCGCGAAGACGTGGTGGTGGGGGATGAGAGCGTCAAGATGGTGGCTGGGGGCGGTGGCAACACGGGTCGAGCTCGAGCCAGGTGGGTTGGAAAGGGGGGGGGAGTAGAAGGGGGAGGGGGGGGCATCGACATGCATGCATGTTGTGTATGCCGTTTCGTACATACATACGCACCGGTGCAGATATCTGCTGCTGTACGGAAACTGCGACCTTTCTACGTTGAATCAACTACCAACACCAAAGGGATTACCAACCTAACAACTACCAACCAACCTGTTATATAGTTTACATTTGTACTGCTGTCGTACTGCTCCAGGCTACGTCTTCACTCGGACTCCCCTGGAGTGACGTCATGCATCCTGACCGGGGACCAGGTGGGGCTGGGAATGATGGGGGGGGGGGGGACGGACCCCATGAAGAGGGGTGATGTGTTTGTTAATGGATCAGGTGCGGGCAACTGTGCGCCTGCTACAGCTGGGACGTACGGCATCTTATCGATCCGGCGACTGACGTACGTACTGTCGTACACGCCATCTTGCAGGGTATTCCCACCCTGGAGTCTTTTCAGGACGCCGCCCCGCTGATGGGTTTGCCACAAGCCGCCAGGGAGGAGGCGCATAGGTACGGAAGTACGGCAGTTGGTTTCGGTGCGGTACGGTACAGGAACGGTACGATAGTGCGGTGCTAAGCTGTAATTTCACTGTTTTTTAACTCAAGATGAGGGATGAAGAAGTGTGTTGTCAGGTCCCCAACAATACTGATGGAGGTTACTGAGGTCTTACTAAAGGTTTGCCATCCAAAAGCTGTTTACTTGATCGTACGGAGATTATTACTTCTTTTAACACACCGCGATTTCCGCGACACACCAGTACTTCAGTCGGCAGTTATCAGCGGTGGCGCTGTGCTTTCATCGACTTATCACACCCGCGGTTTCCTGTTCCACCGTTTCAACTGTCTGTCCACAGGCTGCTGTGGCGCATGATGCACGAGGCCTTGCCGTACAACCACTCCGTACTGCCGTACGACGCAGACGCGTTCCGCTCGCCCGTGGATCTCCTTCCGCCTAAACTGCAGGTGGGCGCTACGAGTGTACGATTGTACGGGGTGCAAGTGATGATTGTTTGAGCTGTGCGGGCGAGTGAGTTGTTTTTTTACGTTTTTGTGAATATGTCGTTCTTTTGGGGCCTTATGTATGTAGAAATGTGCTTGGGAGCGTGGATTACACACTTGCGGCGACAGAAGAGTTGTACGACAAACGAGTACGACGTTTCTGTTTTCTTCACTACCCGGTTTCGCAGCCTGAGCAGCGGCGTCACTATATTATTACTGCGGTGCACGTGGTGGTAGTGCGGCCGATTTAGGCTTCTCGTCGTCCTTTCGCTGAGTTCATGGTCTTCATGTTCTTTCTTCCATTTAATACAATGTTGTTCTTAACACCGTATTAATCTGTGAACGAAGAGTTCTAAAGCTCATTCCTACCAGATAAAATATGAATTAATGTTTTAGGGTCCGGATCCTCTTCGGAACATTTCCCACTTAACTAAAAACTAACCTTAAAACCGCAAAACCACCCCCGCGTGCCCCCCCCCCCCCCAGGCCGCGCTCAGCTGGGCTTGGTCGCACCACTTCCGTCCCTTCGCACATGACTTCAGCTTCCTGCTCGACTGCATGCCGTACAGCACCTCTGCCGCCACCGCCGCCACCTGTACTGCTGGCGGCGGCGGGTACGGCGATGAATCCGCTGGTGCGTCTGTCTCTGATGCCGACGACGCGGTGTCCCACTACCAGTCCGTGCTCGCGCAGATGGTGGGGTTCCTGCGCGACAACGAGATGTTTGCGTGTCTGGCCACACTGCTGCAAACGGCAGTGGCGAGGGGGCTGGCGCTGCTGGGTGACGACGGAAGCTGCATGGCGGCGACGCCGCCAGTGGCGGCGGCGACGACGGCGGCGACGGCGGCGCCGCCGGCGCCACCGTCGCCGTCCGTCGTGTCGGATGCTGGGATTGAGCAGCAGTACGAGGCTGTTGCCGCTGAGGCGGTTGCCGGCGGCGACGACGGCGACGAGGGTACCGCTGCGCCAGATCCTGTTCTGACGGAAGATGCCGTCGCCGCCGCCGAAGGTGAAGCGGCGGGGTGCGCCGGACTGGCGGCGGCGGCGCTACCGCCGCTGATGATCTCCTCCACCGACTCGCTGCCGCCCTCGTCCTCGCCGCGAAGAGCAGCGCTACATGTGCTACAGCTAGCGTTGGCGCTTGCGGCGGCGGCGGGTACGGCGCTGGTGACGTACGGCCGTGGTGTTGATGGCGTGAGGTGGTCGTCGCGAAAATTCTCGGTCCTGTTGTGGATCATGATCATGCCGTACTTCCCGGCGGCGGCGGCGAGGATAACGGCTCGCGGAGGCGCTGCCGCCTCCGCCACCTGGCGGCAGAGATCCTCTTATCACCACCTCAGCGACGACAGCGCCGGCTTGTCGTACGTCCAATGTATCACCCGCCGTATGTCGCGGTTGGACTCGGCAGTAACGTTTTTAATAGGTGCCGTACATCTGGCAGTGGCGACGTGGTACGGCGTCGCAGCAGCGGTGGCGGCGGTGGCGGCGGCAGCCCCGGAGAAGGTGATTGCTGCCGTGGCGGCAGCGGCGGCGGCGGCACACCTAATGCAGGTCTAAATGCCCCTAATGCCGTACGCACCTCTTGTGGTGTAGCGACCCAGATTCGCAATGGGAGCGACTGTACGGCATTTCCTGGATGACTTTACGGACGTGGATTTTTTTATTTCATCCTCAGGAGGAAGGGGCGAAGGGCCAATAATATTTCGTGTTGAAGCCGTCGTCAAGCAGTGCGCCGTAGCGTGCTGCTGCTGGCTGCGTGGAGTTCTTTTTTGGCAGCCGGTCGCTCGGTCGATAATCGACGTTGTTTGATTGACTTGACGACGTTTGCGACCGCTGACTTGTGGCCGTTTCTGTGGCCTGTATGCAAATTTGCATCTTGTTAAGGAAGACGTGCGTGCCGTACACGGCTAGTCATGTCTTTTGCCAATGTCATGGTGGTTTATATACCTGGTTTCGTTTTGTTTTGTTTTGTGCGCGCCTTACGTAGAGGTGTAGGTTGAGAGTTACGAAGCTCGCTTGGCGTGCAGCATCAAGCTTCATCATCATGTCGTACGTGCCGTACACGAGTATGACGCGAGATGCTCCATGCGCGAATATTTAGCTAAGTGGCTAGAAAAATCATGTACGGCAATAGTCACTTTCTAGTCCTTGGAAGCGCACTTGCGCTTGAATTACACTCGTTCGTTCGTTCGTTAGTGCGTTCGTTGTGGCCTAACGGAATGCAACCGCGTGCAGTTAATTAACCGAATTGTGGGTGCTGGCTGCTGACTCAAAATCGAATTGTAGACTTTTTTAAAAGAGACAGTTAACAGTTGGAACTCGACAGGATGGTTCCTAACGAGAATAATAATAGTAATGGCATGATAACGTTACCGAGGATTTGGAGGGTTTGCTTTTAATCGATTGTCAGTAGGCCGTACAGTAGCCGTACAGTAGCCGTACATCGCAGCATCAAGGATTGTGCGTGAGGGGCGGAGTGCTTCAGATTCGTTGACAGTCTATATATCTTTGACTTTGCATGTATGCATATGCACGAGAAATTACATAAACACACACTGGTTTTCATCATTCGGTTGTTTAGTCGGACAGCTTGTCGCCATCTTAGGGATCCTCACCTCTCTCCATCATCGGGTATTTTCCTGTTCGTTCTGAGCTAGCTACTACTACCACCACTACTTGCTTCACTGTCGGGGTTCGATCGAGAACAAATGTCTCCACTGGGTTGATCGACCGATCGAACGAACGGATGTACGAATGTACGAACGAACGAACGTGCGTGCAATATGGAGGAGTGTCCACCACGCGGATGAGGATAGTAACGCATGCCTTTATGTACGGAAATCCTCGGTTGGTTGGGTGGTTGGCTGGTTGGTTGAGTCGGTTCAGAGTTAGTCAGGTCCTGTCGGTATGCCTTATCAATACAATCTCATGGTAAGCAGTTCTGTGGTGGTGTCGGGCGTTGTGGGTTAGGAGGGTTGCGGGTCTGCTGGGTCTGGGGTGCAAAATAGGATTGAAGATACGGAAATAGGGGGAGGGGGGAGAAAAAAAGTGGGTTTCGAGGCATCAGGCCCTTTATACCGCTCTCATACTAGCGCTCAGCCTAGTAGCACAACATATGTAGTGTTAGCCGCCGATGGCTGCACAGCCGTTCCTGCTCTGGGTAACGACGTTCTGTTCGTTATTGCTACTGCCGCGTGCTGCCGCAGCAGTGTAGATCACCCTTAAATCTTGCTGCTGCTGCTGCTGCTGCGGTAGCTGTTGCGCTTTTTTGGGAAGCTGTTATCGGAGATGGCGGCGGCGGCGGCATCATCTGTGCTGACTAATAATGTCCCCCCTGGCAATGCCTGTGGTCACGTTGTGTGGTTCGTTGGTTGTGCGGCGGCCAAAGGATAGTAAGGAATGAATCTAGAAATGTACGATGGAGCATGGAACTCAAAACGTTTTAAGATATATTTGGCTGATATAGGAGATATGCAGTATGCGCACTGGACCCGGTCCCTCCGGTGATAACGCAAGGCCAGACACCGCAGGAGGCTGCTGCTGCTGATGCTGATGCCTGCTACTGGACAGCCGGCTACAGCTCGGACAGCTCGTGCTGTGCCTGCGGGATCCTGGTGTATTGTTTAGCGTAATAACGCTAAACAATACAAAATAAAGAGTGGGCTGTCTGGGGTGTCAAGAGTCTAGAGCTGTTGGCATCAACCATTTGTCTCCGGTTAAGATATGAGTACCACCAGGTACCTCTTTACGCTCGTGTATGCGAGAGCAGCCAGCTGCTGGTCCGTCGGATCTTTTACGTAGTGATGCTGTTCTTACTACTGCTGCCGCTGCTGCCGTGTTACTATGCTACTACTGCTGCTGCCGTGTTAAGACTAATGCTGCTGCCGCAATATACTGCTACTGCTGCTGTTGCGGCGATGATGCTACTGCTATTGGGTTGCCTCCCAGTAGCAACCCAGTACTACCAGTAGCAATGTCGTACTCGGATGTACTCGGTGCATGGGCAGGCCGGTAGTCTTTATTTAGACGCTCTCGAGGTACATGGTGGCAACAAAATACAATCTCACGCACAGAAAATAGTAACAGTTATATGCCTCCTACGACAGTTAGTTGTCCTTCTGGGTTCCATCAGGCGTCATTTTGTTTGCTGCATTCTGCCGTACATATTTATCCAGTCGACGCAACCATCATCCCTGTCTTCCCCGCCTTTTTACCTGACCGAGTTTATAAAAGGCTAATTACATGCACATATACAATACTTGCACCCGGATCGATTACGCCGCAGCGTCATTGCGGGGGGGGGGGGAGGAGGTGTCCGTCCTCCCCCCGGCGAAAAAGAATAACTTCATAAAAGCCAATTTCTATTTTTTATTGAACGACGTGAAGGAATGACGTGCTTGCATCATCCTGCATTTCCTCCTTTACTGCTACTATAGGCTGGAGAGGGATAGACAGAAAGACAGGCACACACACACACACACACACACACAGACGGACAGACAGACAGACAGGCAGACGGACAGACAGACGGGGAGGGGCGTGTAACCGAACTTACGCATTATATAGCGGAAGAGCCATTTAATGATAGGGGCCTGGCAAGCAAGCAAGAGCTGTGGCTGACCAAAGTCGGCAGGACTTTTGCAGAAGCGGCAGCTCTGTGCAGTTACAGGTACTGTTACTGTTACAGTTACTGTGTCCGCACAAGTGTGGAGGGGTCCGTCAAAGCTGCATATGTATGCATGGGCATGCCTTGCGCAGAGAGAATATAATACACAGACGTACATATCGATATCGTCATTACATCATGAATAACAGATGTTTTGGCGTGACAAACTTCGCGCCGCTTCCGCTGGCTGTCATCGTCTGACTCCCGTCATATGTGGGATGCCACATCATACATACATGTGACTGTACGACAAACACACATGCCGTTTATATGTACATATGTATTTGCCATTTAGGTGTTCTATGTACTCTGTGCATTACTGAAATGACATACACCGACGCGCACGTACAAAGCCGCTGTACTTCGGTACGGCAGAGTAGGCGATGTCCGTACATCATAATGTGCGTGCTCACTTAATTCCGTCGACCTCGGTTTATGGGTGTGTGTGGGAGGTTGTGTGCCTCGCGGCCATCAGCTTTTACTCAATCTCGGTCGCTGTTTGTTGTTTAGGGAAGGTCTTCAGGCCAACATGGGCCTGTCTACGTCAGCTCTTAACCGCATTACTTGCGATGTTATCTCTGACTTTTGGGCCCGCTTAACTGCTTTTGCGGCAGGGGATTACTTGCCAAAACGTTGGGACAAGTACCTCACAACCCCACCCTTTCTTATATGTGAACTACGCAGATAAGGTTGTTTGCCGCTTACCGATGTACAATGACGAGGTCTGAGGGCTCACGTCGGAGCCTCATATTTCCTGTATGAGCGTACTAACTGAGGCCTTGTGTCCTCCAGTGAAGTTAGTACGGCCTGGCCGAGTTTATCTTGAATAAGGCCCACAGTGTTGTGCGGGAGGCGCTCCTACGGGCGCTGCACTCGATCCGTTCGGGGTCCACTGTAACAATCGCATTTTCTCTTAATAACACGTGCAGCGTGTTAGGGGCATGCGGGACATTACGTAGCTAGGCAGAGAAACAAAATGGCGAGAGGCGCGGCGTGGTGCAGCGCGGGGTACGAACGCGCGCGAGCGGAAACACACACACCCATGCCAGCCACACACGCCTGGATTTCCGCTGCAGCGCAAGCTGTGTTGAGCGGGTCGTAAATATGATGGTAATGGTGAGCGGGGGGCCTCTTACGACGCTCTTACCTTTTACGATGCAACTATAGTATTATGATTATAGTATATGCAACTATCGCCAATGGAAAAGGTCCAAAGACCCACATCGTTCGAAAGGCAAAATGAGTTGCAGCCTGCTGCCGTCTCTTAAGCCCTGCCAGTCATATGATACCGAGAGCGGAATACCGAGAGCGGAATACCGCAAGAAGTCGTGGGGGTAAAGGAGCGTGTTGACTGGTTGACTGGTTGTTGAGTAGACCTCTACCAGAAGGAGCGATAATAACGGCACTAAGAGAGCGTTTGATGAGCGGCTGGGACCATACGCGTCTGACTGTCTTGCCAGAGGAGTACCCATCAGATGGGAAGCAACCGGGAGTGCAAATGGCGAAGTATAAGCACTGGATGGGGCTGCCCTTTTCGGGAGCCGCAGCCGTCATGTGGCCAACACATGCTAAGGTTTTCATTCCTCGTTTAGCACATCGTAAGCTAATGCAGTTTCGTTTATGTTGCTGGGCTTTGGAGGCGAACAGAGCACGAAGGGGCAAGTACCATGTCCCCAGGGGGCAGCGGTTTTGCCACTGTTGTGGTCCTAATAGCCGAATTGAGGATGAAAAACACGTGTTATTGGAATGCCCAGCCTATAATGATATTCGTGCTGAAGAGGGATTCGATCATCAACAGAGTATGTTGGAGGCCATGCAATGGGAACCCGCACGTCTGGCGAGGATGTTGGAACGTATGTGGGCTCACCGAAACTCAATACCCCCTTTGGACGTTAGTCTGGGCTGATGTGCGGTGTTTTTTCCTTTTTCTCCGTGGCTTTTAGGCGTTGTAGTATTGCCCTTGGGCCCTCGGCTCGTATGGGTAGTCTTACAGGTATGGGGTCACGCACCCCCAACCATGTAACACACACACACACACATATGATACCGACCGGGGAGACTTGGGAAGCCGTGGAAAGGCGTAATAATCGAAGAATGCTGGGTGGCGGGGTAGAGCTGGGAAATTGGGCGTACTATTTGTGTATTATATGCAGGTCGGGTAAAAAAATTAGTGCCGATTTGCCAATAGGCTTTATTTGGCTTCACTGCCGATTGAGCCAGCCGTACGACCGTAATCTACATTTTGCAACGCGGCCAACTTAAAAATGTGGAGTACACACTCATTTATTATGAACTAATAACTAATAACCTCCAATTTGCAGTAAGAAATACTATCAAAGACACAACCAACATTACCCATGACATATGCGCGTAATTATTACCCAAATCTACACACACACACACACATATACCCTAGAACGTGCAACGTTTCGCCAAACAAGAAAAAAGGAAAAAGAATGATGATATACTTTTCTTACTGGCACGCTATGTGCTCTCCTCTGTGCATCATCAGCACGCAACGGTTTGTTTCGGAAATGGCTTTATTACATTCCCCGCCATTCCTTGAATACACATACCATTTGCCAGGTGCTTTAAACTAAACTCCTGACACTCTCTTATAATAGAGATCTACTTACACACACGCACTCGCGTCTCAGATTATTCATAATCCACTTATCATTCCCCTGATACCCCCGCTACAATTGTACAATTGTACAGCCACGCGTCGTCCGCCGTACACCGCCAAGCCGACACGGCAGCCCCCAAAACCCTAAACCCTAGCTTCTGTCCTCCACTAGTGCTAGTATTCAGTTGTTCATCCAACCATTCATTTTTGTTATAACTGTCCAGTCCATGGCCCCCCGGCTTTTACGGACATCCCCCCCCACATACACACACATCCCATGCACACATGGCTGGTTATAATTTCTTTACCTAGCCAGGATCCAAAACACGCGCCGCAGCACCGGCTGCTAGCTTTTGACCGTGTACGGTTTCCAACACATAATCCTCTTTTATAACACCGCCATCGCAACTACTAACATCATCCATCACTCCACACCACACACCACACCGCATGTGGTGTATTGTTCGTACGCTGCCGTACACCTGTCGTCAGTTAGGAAACAGCCTCTCATACCGTTCGTTGCTGCAATCATCACAACTTCCGCGAACTAACGCCTGCATAACGCCTGCATAACGCCTGCTGCCCGCATCCGCATATCCCGTTCATCTCGCTCGGAGGAACTGCAATCGTTCATGATGACGATGATTGACAACAGCGCCTCATAGCTCGATAAGAGGATTTATCGTACGAGGGTACGAGGAAACAGCCTTCCACACTGGCAGGCGACCATAACCGCCGCCGCATTACTTCTGGCACAAACGCGTTCGCACCCAAAACCAAAAATGTTAAGTGGATGATTCACCATATCTCTTTTTTTCTCGTCCTTCTCTCCCCAGCCTCTCCCGCGCGCGCCCACACACATCAGCCAATGATCAAACCATGTGGATGATCTCCCTTCTCTCCGTATTAGGGTTTGTTACCCATTTATCATGATTGCTGTCACGCTCCATTTCGCTCCAGTTCGCGGAACCCCAAAAGCAGGTCCAAGCAAGCAAAAGCTCGCGTGCAGTACCGCCTGCTTCCCTTGATGATGAGTAGTACTACCGTGTCGTACACTGTCGTACCTTAATGGAACATACGTAGAATGGAGAAATGGAACATACGTAGAATATTCCATTGTGACGGCGTGTTGTTGGCGTCCCACCGTCATGTGTGCTTAGGCTCACCGTACACTGCTCGCCACGCATTCCGCGCCACGTCAGCACAGAAACTGCCGTACGCGAACGCACGTACTGTGTGACTCACCATCGCCCCCGAGCTCGCTCCGCCTGACCCTTTTTTTGGAGATTTCTACCCGTCACGGCCCGTCTCACAATTTAGAGCACGCAAAATTATTCTTATTATTATGTTTTTAATTAACCTCACCAATCATCCGTTATTATAAATCCTCTGCAAAACAGCCAGACGGCAATAATGCCACAGCGCAAAGTGAAGGAGAGGGAGGAAAGCTCCTAAGGTAATGGGAGTAAATTTTGAAGAGGCGGCCACAAAAACACGACTATTGACTGCCCTATCCAAACAGAGACGCCAGCGCGCAGAAATACCCAGGCATACCCCGGCACATACACAGCCGCGGACACATACATACATAACACACATACAGATACACATACACAGCTACACCGGACATGCGAAATATACACATGTACACACATGCACACCTAACGTGTCTGCCTGCCCGGAGGTGGGTAGGTGTCGTCGTCGTCCAGAGGGCTGCTTTTGACCGCAACCGAACCGTACCGCCGTACGCGTTCTAACTGAAACAACAGATTCCTTGAAACACAAGCGCGCTCATACATTTCCGCCGTACACCGTACATCCTGCGTGCAGATCCGAACAACCTTCCAACAGGGGCAAAACCGCATCAATCCTGCCGTACACATGTTTTTTCGTACACATCCTGCTGAACACAAATTCTGCTAAAACGTGCATGCTTGGCAACCGCGCACATAGCAAATTTTATATACCTAAATTCAATTTTATATTTGTTGAGTTCTTTTTTCTCCTACTGCTAAAAATCTCTGATACCTACGGAATACCTGCTTCCCCGGAATCTGACCCCCGGAATCTCACAACGCAAAAAGACGAAAAGAGGTACAAGAAAAGTACAAAAAAAACACATTAAAAACGTACGGAAAAGGGTACGGAAAGAGTGCCAAAGCGCTCGTAAAAGATAAACAAGAAGGGAGACCTCTCGCACACACAACAAAGCAGGAGGGGCAACACCACAAAGCTACTAGCATCTCTTTCTCCAGGCGAAGCCACAACAAACTTACCAGAACCCCCAACTGAACCAACTAAACTACTCTGGCTACATGTCGATAACTTTTAACGTGTACGGCTCCTGCTTGGTATATATAAAGCAGTGGAAAGCTGCTGCTGCTGATGCTGATGCCCCGATGACCCGACACTCGACCCCACCTCCCCCCCTTTCCCGTCCACGTCCGGGCACGCGCTGAGTCAACTGGCCTTGTACAGCACATAAGCCGTGTACGGCACATAGGCAGTGTAACAGAAATTAATATATATACATCCTTTCCTCCTCTGTCTCATCCTCTGCCATGCAGGAATAAGTTTTGAGCGGCGACGTTCCACGGCCGTTGTACTGCATTGTACGGCGCGGCGTCATCAAACGGCAGGGGGCAGCAGTTGCAGGACACGTAATACGGAACCGGTAGCGGAGCAAACGATGGCGCTAACGGTTGTCACGGTGGTCGACGGCGGCGGCGCCGCGGCCATGTTGGCGACCACTACCACTGCGGCGGCGGCGGCGGCGGCAGCCGCACACCAAGTGGCGGCGCCCAAAAGTACGGCACCAGCCACGCGCAGGGCAAGCAGCAGAACGCGGCGACGACGCAGCGCCTCCATGTTCCCGCTGGCTTGATCATCTGCCGTACGTCGTCCGGCAGCATTGCTGCCGCGGCGGCGCAGTAAAGGACGTAGAGAAGTAACCACAACTGCGAACGTCAATACCATCGCTGCCGCCAGCACACACACAAGCTCTCCATCCAGGATGAAGTCGGAAAGCATGACGCCGCGGTTGAGTCGCGGTAGCTGCAGCGCCATTAATAGACGACACCGACACCAGGCCGCTGCTGCGGCGGCGACAACGAAACTGACGCCGGCGGCTTCCTGTCCGCCACGGCCGCCCTCCGCCGCCAGCACCGCTAACGCCGCCGTGAGAAAAGTCAAGAGGATGGCCGCAAGGAGCGACCCACGGGACGGGCAACCAAAGGCTGGCGGCAGCGGCGGCGGCACGGCGAGGGCGACGGAGGCAGAGGCAACAGCGGTGACGTGCACGAGGCCTTCTTCACCATCCAAAGCTCCATCCGCTGCCGCGTCGGCATCGTCACGGATGTCGTACGGCAACACACTCGCTGCCGGGCATACATTTGCGACGGCGGAGACAGCCGTCGGCCGCAGTGGCGCAGGGCTGCTGCACGCAGACCCCGGCATTGCAATGTCGTACAAGCTACCGTCAGCGCCAGCGGCTACGTCCGCGTCGTACGCGTCCGCGATGCCGCTGCCGCTCCTCGACGCGGCGGCGGCGGCGCGAAGCGCCGCCAACGCTGACGATAATACGGCAGCGGCGGCAGAGGAGTCGCCGCCGCTGCCGCCAATGCCGCGTGGTGTCAGCGGCGGCGCCGCCGTCGCCGCCGTCGCCGCCGTCGTCGCCGCCGCCACTGGCGGCGTCGCCGCCATGCAGCTTCCGTCGTCACCCAGCAGCGCCAGCCCCCTCGCCACTGCCGTTTGCAGCAGTGTGGCCAGACACGCAAACATCTCGTTGTCGCGCAGGAACCCCACCATCTGCGCGAGCACGGACTGGTAGTGGGACACCGAGTCGTCGGCATCAGAGACAGACGCACCAGCGGATTCATCGCCGTACCCGCCGCCGCCAGCAGTACAGGTGGCGGCGGTGGCGGCAGAGGTGCTGTACGGCATGCAGTCGAGCAGGAAGCTGAAGTCATGTGCGAAGGGACGGAAGTGGTGCGACCAAGCCCAGCTGAGCGCGGCCTGGGGGTTGGGGGATCACACGCGGGGTTGGTTTTGCGGTTTGAAGGTTAGTTTTTATGGGAAATGTTCCGAAGAGGATCCGGAACCCTAAAACTTTCATTCATATTATATCGACAAGGACAACATTGTATTAAATGCAAGAAAGATCATGAACATGAACTCAGCGAACGGACGACGAGAAGCCCAAATCGGCCGCACTACCACCTCCTGCACCGCAGTAATCATATTGACGCCGCCGCTCAGGCTCCGAAACCCGGCTAGTGAAAAAAACGGAAACGTTGTACTCGTTTGTCGTACAACCCCTCTGCCGCCGCAAGTGTGTAATCCACGCTCCCAAGCACATTTCTACATAAGGCCCCAAAAGAACGACATATTCACAAAAACGTAAAAAAACAACTCACTCGCCCGCACAGCTCAAACAATCATCACTTGCACCCCGTACAATCGTACACTCGTACCGCCCACCTGCAGTTTTGGCGGAAGGAGATCCACGGGCGAGCGGAACGCGTCTGCGTCGTACGGCAGTACGGAGTGGTTGTACGGCAAGGCCTCGTGCATCATGCGCCACAGCAGCCTGTGGACAGACAGTTGAAACGGTGGAACAGGAAACCGCGGGTGTGATAAGTCGATGAAAGCACAGCGCCACCGCTGATAACTGCCGACTGAAGTACTGGTGTGTCGCGGAAATCGCGGCGTGTTAAAAGAAGTAATAATCTCCGTACGATCAAGTAAACAGCTTTTGGATGGCAAACCTTTAGTAAGACCTCAGTAACCTCCATCAATATTGTTGGGGACCTGGCAACACACTTCTTCATCCCTCATCTTGAGTTAAAAAAACAGTGAAATTACAGCTTCGCACCGCACTATCGTACCGTAACTGTACCGTACCGCACCGAAACCCAAGTGCCGTACTTCCGTACCTATGCGCCTCCTCCCTGGCGGCTTGTGGCAAACCCATCAGTGGGGCGGCGTCTTGAAAAGACTCCAGGGTGGGAATACCCTGCAAGATGGCGTGTACGACAGTACGTACGTCAGTCGCCGGATCGGTAAGATGCCGTACGTCGCAGCTGTAGCACTTGCCCGCACCTGATCCATTAACAAACACATCACCCCTCTTCACGGGGTCCGTCCCCCCCCCCCACCCCCATCATCCCCAGCCCCACCTGGTCCCCCGCCAGGATGCATGACGTCACTCCAGGGGAGTCCGAGTGAAGACGTAGCCTGCAGCAGTACGACAGCAGTACAAACTTGAACTATATAACAGGTTGGTTGGTAGTTTTTATGTTCTGTTGAATTCGTCGAATATAATAAACGGGCTACTCGCAATCCACAACCCGCATACATTTAACAAAATGTGCAACCGTGAACAGTTTCCGTACAATTAAGCAGATCTGCAACAAGCCAACACAGCCGGACGACCCAAATGAAATCACAACAACTTACAACAACTAACAACGAGACCCATAACGACCCACAAACGCCTGTCTGTGGGTTATACAACTAACAAACAACGACCCACAAACGGCTTCGTTTTTCAGTGTCTACAAACTCTTAAAAAAAGAGGTAACACAAACTCGCACCTACCTAACACTCGCCAGGCCTCCTCTGTTGAGATTGACGCTCTCGTCCCCCACGACCACATCCCCGCGCACAGCCAGAAGCCGAGAACAACAACCCGCGGCGGCGGCGAAACGGGCCGCATCTGCGCCGCCGCCGCAGCCGACGGAGGCGGCGGCGCCGCCCCCGTCGCCCGCTTCTACCGCCGCGGCATCGAGCGACAGCGCCGCCCTCAGCTCGATGACCTCCGCGGGATGTCCGCCGACGGGAAAGGTCGGGGGCCAGGCGATGGAGAACTCGGCATGCGCAGTAGCGGTCAAATCCTTGCCGATAACTCCATTTAAAAAAGAAGAAGGAATCACGTCTCCCACAACCGCGACGATGGGCATACCAATACGAGACTGGCCGAGGACTTTTGTGCCGTACTCAGCTTTGCCGTACGGCTTGTTTTTGAAGTGCGCGATGGTGTCGGCGTTTGGGTCGACATCTGTTTCGGCGTCGGCCTCGAAGGGATGGGTGGTGAAGCCAGGCCCGCTGTTGCCAAAGGCCGATGGCTGCATACAGCTAAAAGCTGACATGTTGCGCGACTTGGTGGAGACTGTTGTCGTTGTCTTGAATGCTTGATCAGTCGGAATGTCGTCGTCTTCAACTTTTTTTAAGTCCCTAAATGTCCTGGCTTCAAGAATGGAGCAGATGGAAGCGTTCGAAAGAGCGAACGGAATAGCAACAAGCAAACTTAGCGTTGGAGGCGGAGAGTGGCATGCGAGCAAAGTTCCAGCAAGTTCCGCAGCCGTAATTGTGTGCACTATAAAGCTGCATCCTGAGCTAACGAACAAAACCCTTCTTTAGCGAGGTTAATTTTGAACTGACAGGTTAGGTTGGCAGGAAAGGAGAAGCAACCTGACAACAAACATGTGAGAAGATTGAATTGCGACGAGAGGTAAAAAGCTGAGTCTATGTTATGTGTTGTGGCGCAGCAGACAAAGGGAGAGAGTTCAAGGCCACGAGATCGCGCCGGGCGTTTTAAGGACAACTCCGACGGAAAGCGCGAAGCTTGGAGGCTACCCATGAAAAGGAGGCGCTCGAACGGAGAAGCATCAGCTGACCAACAAAACTTTCTTCTTGCAGATTCGCGGATTAGCAATCCATACCGAAAAGATGGATACATACACAAATATGGATAGGCCTTGCTTACCATAGGACCAAAACATGCGGCAGCCTCCAGGCTTTGGCCGCCGCGACGGTGTCAGATAGAAGAGGGCAGATCGAATAGTGGCTTGGGTCCCGAAGCAATCAAATTACAACGGCTCTTCGCTTTAGGTGCTTAGGATTGTTCTGGGCTCAGCGCCAAACCGGGGGGCGCCACGTTGTGCTCCGCGCGCGGCGTTTTGATATCGGTACACGGAATCAAATCCAATAGTTTCTTATAATATTTTACGCAGATGGTCATATGCTCTACGTTTGCGTCAAATTTAACACATGGTGGTGTGAAACTAAACATATGAACTCCAGGCGCGAAGGATGTGACGCACATCACCCGCCGCATGCGGCCTGGATGGCCTCTATGCCGTACGACTACACGAAATGCGGGTATCTTTTTTGCATGGCGCAAAAGCCTCCATGCTCCGTGCGCGGGTAAACGGCTAATTCCCGCCAAATAGGATCAGTCCATGACTGAGCTCAGGCTATTCCCACAGCTAATATGCAACGTGCACCCAATTGCCCAATTCGCTACAGTGCAGCGGGATGCTGCTCGCGGCAGCGCGCTAGGGCATTTACTCAGGCTCGTCTTATCGAGTTTATTGTATGACCCATGGGTCGCTGGCACTCTTTGGCACCCGCGCCCGAGGGCAGCCTACTTAGATTGTTTTTAAGGCCCCCAAATGTATTTCTTAACAAAATTGTTGTTTGCTTTGTGAGGCTTTGTGAGGCTTTACTTACTGAGCGACCCGGGAATGGCGCCGTAATTTGAAGACTGCAACAATTGCACCAAACTTTGAAGTGCTTCTCCCGGCTCTTTGTTTTGTTCTCAAGAAAGGAGTGTTTCGTGTTGATGGCTGATGAAGCTGAAATAGGTTAGCTTGGCATTTTCCACGAAACAATCGTTTTGCAAATGAGGAAGGAGTAGTCTCCTGGAGGCGATTAAAGATTGCGATGAATGTCTGGTCGGTAACGCTGAATATTGGACCCATGCTTCTTCAGTATCCTGCGTCAGGGAGACTTTTCTGACACTTTGTTGTGCCTGTGCGGCTTTCCCTCCTGCTGCTGCCGTTGCTGTCGTCATATGGATCCGGTATATCCAGCATGCAGGGCCAACCTCCTGGCGACTGCAATTTGAATATAATACGCAGTTTACGATGTTTACACGTAAGCAACCATGCAAGCACTCACACACTCACGCACAGACACTCAGGCATATGGGGAAACTACAGGATTACAAGCTCAAGAGGGCAATCTTCGGATGGGCTTGGCTGTTTGCACAAAGAGCTCGAGCTATAGTTTAATAGGTGTCATCTAGCCGACTATGCGAGCAGTTGGGTGCCTTGCTACACTTTTCGCAATCGCAGGGACCAGGACACCAGACAATAGGAACACAGGGACACAGACGGCGGCGGTCAATCTGGCCACGATGATCCTCAAATATCCTGATCATGTTTACATTGTTTCCAATAACGTGCTGCAACGACCAACAAATTCCTCCCGTACTAGAAATTAGAAGCGCCGGGATGTTTAAGCGCGGACCTTCTTAAAATAAGGAAAAAAGGAGTACACTGTGTATGAACAAAGTGTAGAAACAGTACCAGCATGTGCAAGATCCTCAATTAGCTGACGGCATATTCCGTGCAAAGTGTGAGCGTTCCTTGGCTGCCGTTTATGCACATTTTGGTTACGCCCACACTTTTAAGTAAGCACGTTCCGAGGCAGCTTGTGTCTAGCTGCGCGGTATCGCATACATCATAAACAAAATCCCTCTGTTCGCGAATATGTGCAGGTTCAGGCGTGCAGGAGCTTACGCACAAGGATGAGGCCCGAGCAGTACACAAAGGAAATGATCGATGTCGTGAATGCGATTTCCGATACCTTGAAGAAGAAAAACAAGATCAAAGTCCCGATCAGCAGCAAGGGCTATAAGGTAGATTTGCATTGCACACAATTTGTCGTGACGATGTGGACTCGCTTACGACCCGTGAGAACCTTTTCCGCTGACCTGGTCAAAACGTTTGGATAGGGCTTCCTGCTTCTTCACTCTGTCAAGGGCGCTGCAGTACTCGGTTTTGAGCGTGGCCATGGCATGGCTTTTAAGGTCCTGGAGACCCAACCTGACGGCACGAACAAGCTATCAGCGCCTGTAATGGTAAAAACGTCGAAAGTGGCGATTGGCTTGCAGCTAGGTGCGTATCCGCTTGCCGCGCGCTTTGAAGCACTGCGTGCCGCGAGTGACTTCGCGAGGTGATTTCCGCCTCGCCGCTATCTCGAGTTCTTCCCCCATCTCCCAATCACATCACTCAAGTATGGCGTCCCGGCATCTAACTGAGCTTAACAGTATATGTATGTTTGTCATTTGGGACGTGTCTGCGTGCTGCTTCTGCGTCTTTGTGCTGTCCACGCGTGTGTTTCCCTTCGCGCGGCGTTGTGTGCTGCGCGGCATTGCAGTTGTTTTTGCGGTAGTTGGAGCTCAATCGGGTCGAGTGCATCGCTTCCAGGTGCGCCTCTCCCGTACAATACTGCATTGCAGGTGACAACTCGGTGTACAGCATCATGCTGCTGATGGAGGACTCACAATTGGAAGCGTTGGTGCGGGAGACCGAGACCATCATTGTAAGCACGACACGGTCTTAAGTAAATTTATGTAGTTTTTGGTTTGAGTGAAACAGGGAAATAGAGTTCGGGCTGAGATCCGCTCAGGCCTCTTCATCGTCATCTTTCTTTTCACCAAACTTAAATCTGTTATTAGGTCAAAGCAATATTATTGTTATTATATAAGGGTTTATGGCAGCACACAACACAGCAAGCCATCCTGGCGGCCCCTGCTTTCTTTTTGTCCGCATCCCTAAGCATGTCAACCCGTCCCCCGTATATCATCATCGGCAGCAGTTAGTGATATGTTGTTCCTGGCAGCCCGCTGCACGCTCCTCGCCCACCAACTTTTGTCTTTGGATTGAATGCATGCAGGGCAAGGCGAGACGGACCGCAGGGGGGGGAAGAGGGGGTGCGGTGTGTGGGGGAGGTGAACCGAACCCGGCCTTAGGAACGATGACCGGAGAGAGGCGGCTGCCAAGGGGGGAGAACGAGGAGGAGCGGGCGGAGGAGTCAGGAGGAGCGAACATCCAATAATAATAATAATAATAATATAATAATAATAATAATAATCATAATAATAATAATAATAATAATAATAATAATAATAAAATATTATATAAAAAACATGTAATAATTAAATAATAATCATTAAAAATAATCATTGATGAAATAACAAATGAGTTGGTTTAATAACTAAGTTTTAATGATTACAAAATAATCATTAAGCCAATCATGTTAAGGAAAGAGGAAGGAAAGGGATGGAAGCCAAAAATAGAGGAGGAAGGTAAGGGAAAAGGGGTGGGGAGAGGCTGTGTGGCACAGCAAAGGTGAAACCCGGGATACTCGTGAAAGTTGTTGGGAAAGAAAACTTGACGACTGAAGATCAACACCTAGGCATACATGTGTGCATGTCTCTGGGTTTGTATGTTTGTACGTCTGTGCAGGGTTGCATGTGCGTGCATGTCTATGTCTTTTTCAGGCAATATGTGTTTTGTCTGTTCAGATGTACGTCTGTCCCTGTTGCCCTGTCTTGTCCTGTTCTGCACCTCACCTACTCTTGGCCCCCTTGCTCCGCTCCTCTCCTACGGTTCCTGGCGGGGAGTGGCCCCCCACCTTTCCGGGTCGGTTTCAGGACTTCGAGGTGAGTGGATACCCTGGAGTCAACTCGGACAACATCACCACCTTCCACAAGGTGAGAACACGGACACAGGTTTCACGTGTATGATGTGTGGGACAGGGGGGTCATATCTTCACCCTGTCACCCACGTGTATGCATGTATGTATTTGTGCATTATGTAGCGCCTGGAGGGGTGAGGGATGTGCCTTTTGCATGTTTCATGTGCCTGTTGCATGTCCTGGGAGGGAACATTGTCCGTCTGAATGTATGTATGTAACTTGCATCTACGTATCTTTGATCGTTGCACCGCCTGCCGACTTGATGTTGCACCGTCCAGAGCTCCATGAGCGCTGTCAACGATGGTTTCGTGATTAAGCCGGCCGTCATCTCGGCGTCGGACAGCCTCATGGTCTGCGACATTTCGTTGTATGGTATGCACGACATGATACACCGGGCTGTTTTTCTGGTGTCTTTGCCTGGGACCGCTGTCACGTGGCATTCTGCACAATTTCATTTCGCGAAATATGGATGCTGGCGCGGCATGACGGAATGTAGCCGCTGGTCGTCGTGTTTGAAAAAAACGAGAGCTTTGCTTTTGTCACTTCTAAAGCGCAAATCTACTTCTGGCAAATCTCTTTGCATCTCTCCGTCCATCCGTCGAGTGGCTCGGAGAAGCAGCCATTTTGAGAGCCATTCTAGGAGCTGTATGCACCAACCAACCAACTAGTTCGCCGCTTTGTAACTCAGATGTTGCTGGTGTGCATGTGTCGCTATCGGCAGGTGGCGTCTTGTCCGTGGAGTAGTACACGGATCCTGTCGAGGTTCTCCGTGGCAGGGTGGAAGTGCCTGAGATGCTGAAGACGCAGCTTGAAGAGCTCCACGCCCGCATCGCGAAGCTCTCAGAAATGCACGCCTTGTAAGGAGTGGGAAACGTTTTAAAGTATTAAAAAGCGACGTTTGGCAAGAATTGCAAAGCCTGAATGGTTCTTTGAAGCACGAAATAGCTCATCTTTTGATTCTTTTTGTGGCGAAAACCTGTTTTTGGGGAGATTATATTGTGTATAATAATGAAACTGAAAGACATGAG